TTCTGTAGCTGAAGACCTCTTATTACGGTGTCCTCGAAATCAAGAATGCATCTGGATTCTCATGGAGTGATGTGGATGGCACAGGAATTTCGTTAGAGTATGAAGCAACATGGATGAATTTTGTCAAGGTATGTAGCGGCTGTCTCAACTATACTTGCAACTCACCCTGTATTATTTTGAAAGGTCCATAAAGCTGCAAAACCGTTAAGAACAAGAGCTTCCTGCATTTTTAGGCCATTCACCACATGATGATGGAAGTCCTGAGGCAATTGGGTCTGCCAAAATAAACCTCCAGTCACATTCCGAGGACTCAGGATCCATTCCGCCTGCTGCACATCATATGTCACACTCTGATCCCCTTGCCACTGCTGCAGCTAGTAGCAGCACTGCACCACTGCCAGCACAACCACTTGCTGCTCCACCATTAGCGTAACCACTCACCACCTTGAACTTGAGTCAGCTTACTGCAGTGACGAATGAGATCGGCTCTTCTCCAAGTGTCAAACACCACATATTTCAGCCTGGAATCATACCAGCATCACCAGCCACTCCATCTACCTTCCTCATTTCTGACACGGACACTGTGTCCTCCATTATGACCAGCATCAGCCGTCAGAGAAGCGGAAGGCCAGCGCACTAGGCTCAGACATCTCAATTACTAGTTCGTCAAAGCGAGTCCGACCTCCCTCAGCAGCTGTAAAAGCGCAGCAGGAGAATAGCAGTGTGATGGTCAGTCTGCTGACATGCTCAAGGACTTCAACCAAACACTTGCAGACACCACAGCTGCAATGTCTGCAAAGGATCTTGCACGTGTGGTTGCAATGGTCAGCGCAGCACTGTATTCTCAGATGATGAAAAAGTCGATTTGATAGACTATCTTGGGAGCCCCTTCAGTGAATTCACCCGTCTCAGATGGGCAGCCAAACATGACAATGTACCAATGGGGATGGGCTATCCCATGTGGGCCCATGCCAATAATTGTACCATGATACATGGGTGGGCTGAGGTCATGTGTGTACCCGAGACAAATGGATGGGGGGGGGTATATAATACAGACAGTAGTATAGGAATGTACTAGTATACAGGACATTATGGTGAATCCGGTCTTACAATGGAGATGGGTAGGCCGAGGGAATGTATTCTCGAGGGACACAGATGGGCTGAGGGTAAAAAGTATAGACATTGGTATAAATATACTACTATATGGGACATTATATGTAATGAATACAGTGTGCAGTGGAGACGGGTGGGCCGGAGGAATGTGTGTACCCACATGACAGGGATGGGCCGAGGCCAGTTACCGGAGAGGAATGGGCCAGGTGCAGAGGAGGAAATGGATGGGCCGGGTATACAGGTTGTCCGGATGGATGTGTGTACCCACTCATACAGATGGGCCGAGGCTGATTACCGAGAGGAATGGGTCAGGTGCACATGAGGGAAACAGATGGGCCGGAGGAATGTGTGTACCCAGGGCAAACAGGTGGGCCGAGGGTATAAAGTGGTTGGCCGGGGATGTGTACCTACCTTACACGGATGGGCCAAGGCTGGTTTCCGGAGAGCAATGGGCCAGATGCATATATGAGGAAACAGATGGGCCGGGTATGCAGGTTGGCCGACCGGATGTGTGTAACCAGGGCAAACAGATGGGCCGGACGTATGTATGTACTCGCCTTACATGGATGGGATAGGTAATATGTGTACCCAGGGCAAAGGGGTGGGCCGGGGTATTGTGTGTACCCATGGCAAAGGGTGGGCCGGGGTATTGTGTGTACCCAGGGTGAATGGGTGGGCCGAGGGTATAAACTGGGTGGGCTGGGTATACAAATTGGCGGACGGAAGTGTACTCGCACACGGATGGGCCGTGTATGCAGGTTGGCCGGACAGATGTATGTGACAGGTGCAAAAGGTGGGCCGGGCAGATGTGTGTACCTACCTCTCACACAGATGGGCGGATAGACAGGTTGGCCGGATGGATTTGTGTACCCAGGTGATATAGTATAGACATTTGTATACAAACGTACAATGTAAAATAGTATCTACAACAAATGCAATGTAGAACGAAACAACTAAGCCGGAAGAAACTTGTAGCACCAGACATCCGGTCAATGTTATCACCTGGTATATCATCAGGGTGGATTGATCTTGAAGGTTTATCGTCTGGTACATCCAATTTATCAGGGCCATCTTACAAACCAATTGTCTGGTGCATCTTGAATACATTTACCGGTCGATCAAATACATAGATACAATGGACTAAGAAAAAAATGAATCATGTATACTAGTATTACTTGGGCCCATCCCCGGACGAGTCCTTGCATGCTTAGCACTCACCGACCGACCTTGTCGGCGTGATTGAGGTGCAAATGAACACTGTGGCAAGGGAGCCGAGACAGACTGACCATCCTCAGGTACATTTGCTGACCCGGTGACCAACATGCGAATGGTGCTAGTGGAAGGCATGGATTCTGTTGGGACCGTCAGTAAGTACTGGCAGTACCCCAGTGGGCTGAATGGATGAACCGGATTCCCTCATGATGGGGACCAGATTGATTGTGGAGGTAGAGCCAGATGTGGGTGCTTGCCCATGCCTTGTCACTGGCGAGCCATCTCCAGTGGGGCAGGCACGAGACAAGAAACATCTGGAGTAAAGACATTGTTGGTAACAGCGCGACCTAATGCACTGATAGAACTGAACTCGGGGAATATGGGGGTACTGGGGACGACAATGTGTGGTGGATTGAATGCAGGTGGAGTGATGACCGATGATGCAGCGGCCCTTTGGTTGTCCCTCAAGTACCTTGCAATTCCGCCCACCTGAGCAGTCAACTGATCTACCAGTCCCTTCTGGAGGCCAAATTGTTCTGTATAGTTGGCGTGCAGCTCATCGATGCGACTGGACAGATCATTGTGAATGGTATCATCACATGTGTGTAGCTCCTCCATATCAAGCTGAATTTGGGCCAGCATAGCCTCAATCTGCGCATTGCTGAGAGGATGGGGAGACTGATGAGACGAAATGGACATCAATGTGGTAACAGGGGAGGGGGGCCTTTGAGTGCGAGCCGGATAAATAGGAGAGTACCAGACCTCATCCAGTGTCTCATCAAATGGTGGGAGGCAGGATACTATCGTCCATGGGTTTGATCCAATGGTCCTCGGGAAAATCGTCAGCGGATGCCACTGGGGCAGCACTTGGCACCGTAGGAGCACCATCGACCATCTCGACATCAGCATCCAGTTCCTCTGGATAGGACTAGGCTGCTGAGTATCTATAGCAAAGAGTTGTACTAGTGGAGATGAGACGAGATATATGAGACTTGCCCTTGCGTCGCCCAGACTGCTTTGCCATTCTGGTGGCCCTGGAGCGAGTGGTGATGGGTGCGACTGGTGGTATGGGCCCGGTGATTGCAGGCACGTCCGGTCACATTGGCCGGTCGCATTTCATCCTCCACTTGTTGCAACAGGTACAAGTATGGGCAACCTCGCCCCTTTTTGTGAGCCAGGTCTCACATTCAACCTCCATTTTGGTGCATCTCTTACACGGAAGAAAGATGAATCGAGGGTGCTGCTAAGGATGAGGATGAGCTGACCAGATAGTAATGACCGGTTGTCTCACCGGCTGCGGACGCTTCCCCCTCTTCCTCTTCTCTGTTCCTAGATGCCTCGTATCTGACATCGACTATTATTTAATATCACATTAGTATCACTTACCAGCATTGCAATGAAATAAACATACCGGTTCCTTGACTTTGACCCGGTCAACATGTGGCTGCAACCGGATCAGGCATGCACCAATAGGTAGAAGAATACATACCTTTCGTTTGTCGTCAATTAACTCTACGTCTTCCTCGGTTCGTCTTCTGCAGGGTCACCACCCTTGTTTCTGGCATTCGAAGCTCGCATCAGCCGAGTGCGGATGTCAACAACTGGTATTTTCTGAGAAAACTGTGAATGTGTTCTGATAATAAACAAATGAACATACCTTTTTGAGCGCATTTTGTCTCGGTTTTGGTGGCTATTTTTGTTAGGCTAGTACAATATGCGAAAAGAAGAGACTTGCCTGACTTCCGGATCATGACTGGCATCTTTCATCATCATTTCCTGGGTCTCATCATCCAATAATGGTGCCCTTGCTCTTGCCTTTCCTTTGCCCTTTCCCTTTACCCCATGTCCTTTCCCATGCGAACTCTGTCACTGTCAGTATCGGTGTCGCTCAAGATTCGCTTGGACTTGGCTATCTTCCTTGCCCTCTTGACCAGACGTGGGGGGCTGACGCTAAATTGGTGTTTGCGATGTTTTGATGGGCCGGGCATTGCACCACCAGGGATCTTGAGGATGATACTGGGCCTGGCAAAGTGGCGATTGGAGGTGCTGAGGTTTGTGCCAGAGCCGGAGCAGAGGATGAGCCTGCAGGCTCAGGCTCAGAGGATTGACCTGCCGGTTGAGGCGCAGAGGATGGACCTGCCGGTTGAGGTAAAGGATGGACCTGCCAGTTCTGGCGCAGATGGGCCTGCCGTTCAGGCGCAGAGGATGAGCCAGCAGGAATGGTGGCAGTGGACGATGGACTGAGTGTCTTTGAATACAAGGGATGACTCCGGCAAATGTCCTCATTGTTCCCAACACGACTCCATCCGGTACTTGTGCCAGTTGTGCAGTGCCCCTTTGAGCGTGATGGATTTCAGCTGCCATTGACAGCAGGCGAAGGGGGATGTAGGTGGCCACTGTGAGGTGAGAGCGGGACTGCATTGTTCTACAACCCAATCAATATTACAATGTATAACAGAATATGAAACATACCAATTGAAAAGCAATGGTCCGGCTCAATCTCATTTTATCTTCCTCTGACTGTGAATGGAGGACCTCTTCAACCAACTCATTCAACCTGTCAAGAAGATCATGAGTGCCTGGTTTGCTGTGGCAGCAGCAGCAGAAGTATTGGTGTTGTAAGACATGGTTTCAATGAGACGATAAGGGCAGCTGGTTGGCTAGGACAAGAGAACCAGGTGGGAATGATGAATGTTGGAAAATTTACTACTACCAGATCTCCGGGTCATCTCGGAGATTGCCGGATACGTTGTCAATGCACCGGTTCGGTATGCCAAATTAATTTCATTGTTGTGTGAAAACATGCCGTACTTTATCATTATGAAATTCTCAAGCATCTGGTCATAGGTTTTGGAAGCACAGATGCAAGCTGGAAAAAGGTATCATCTCCCAGAGATGGGATTGCATAAATTCCAATCAGGCCGCAAGAAGATATCATCCATAGAGCTGACTCTAGATAACTTGCAATTATCTCACGAGGCGAAGGTACACAACCATCCATTTTCAGAACCTAGAAGGCACTAAACATTCATTGGTAGTGTTTGACATTTTGGAGCAGCAAGGTGAGCAGCAGATCTACAGCAACCCTTGGATGATTGCACCAGCATGGGGGAATGTGAGTGTTGTCTTGTGCTGCTACAAAAGACTGATAATTAAGATTTTCTCCAGACTCAGATGTCTTGTCAGCTCACGACCGGTGGAAGGATGGTAGACGATTGAAGCAGATGGAACACATCTGGTCAGGAGACATCCGGTTTGCCCACATCCCAGGTCAACCGGAGACAGAACTATTGGATATGGGATTCCTCCCTCGACACAATGTTGACCGGCCATCGACTCCTCCATCCATATCAGCATTGGACATGGGATTTCCACCAGGCAGCGAGTTAGATACCCACCAGGCACCTGACATCATCAACAACCCTCTGGACATGGGCTTTTGCAGCATTCCGGCTCATGATGTTCCGGCTCGTGATGGTCCGGTTCAGTCATGTAGGTCTCATCATTGTGTTGTGTTACACTGTTCAATGCAACTTTAGTAGACATGCAAGTGGAACAGATTCCTTTGAACATGGGCTTTCACACAGATCCGGCATCTTGTCACTCATGTATGTGCCATTCATTAATTTTGTTCCATCCTCATGTCGATCCAGTGGACATCCAACCGGATGATCTCCCTTTGGATATGGGTTTTGACACACTCCAACTGGACAATTGCCTTTTGCATACGGATTTCAATGCACTCCAACCGGACGAGCACCCTTTGGATATGGGATTTTGTACACTCCATCTGGTACACCCGGATCACTCAAGTGAGTCTTCTCATTGTTGTGCCTTACCTTGTTGATTGTGAATCCAGTGGATATTCAACTTTCTCACAAGCCTCTGGACATGGGCTTTGGGACAACTCTGGCATCTGTTCAGGAAGACAGGCCATTGGACATTACAATCGCCACTCCAGATCCGGATCCAGTACATGGTCTTCCGGATCCATCATGTATGTCTCCCATACTATGAAACATCAGTGTTATTTATTGGTATTTAGTTGCGGTTGGTGAACCGGTACCCATTGGATTTGTGATTCAGCATGCTGTAGGCGATTTGCGCTTGGCGATCCACTGGTTGGATATGGAAATTGCCCACAGTACAATGTCACCGGAAGAAGCATCTGTCAGCCAGGAAGTTCTTCAGTCTGCCAATGAGTTATTACTGGCATTTCAACTCATATCAATATATAGACTGTCAACATGATGTATATATATACACTTGATACTCTCTAGCCTTGTATAGTACATTCTATGGATCCGGATGATCACTGCCTTTGCATGTAGTTCACTTTATAAGACACCTTTGTGGTTCTCGCTGAGCTCTTTGGCTCCGGGTTATCAATTTGAGCTTTGGTTGTCTTCCTTGTTTTATGAGTAGCTTGTGTCGTCGAAGGTGCCGTGGATTTTGGCGTAGGTTCCTTTCGACGCATCTTCCTCACCGGGACAGCATCTTCCTGCTCTGAATCGGATTGAACAGCTTGATTTTGCCTTCCAATTGATTTGGACTTTGAAGGAAGTAATTGGACTTCTTCATCACCTACATTTCTCCCACGACTTGACTGGTGTTCCATCCTTTTGGTTGTCTTCCTAGTCGGCTTGCCGGTTGGTTTTTCAACCGGAACACTGGTCTTTGCTGTTGTCAGACCGGATCTTGTGCCATATCCAGCACCTTCATCACTATCCTTCCCCTCATTATTTGACTCCTGCTCTACCCATCTGGTCAGCTTTCGTGACTCCAGCTCCATCCTTCCAGTCGGTGTTTTAACTGGAACCTTGGTCTTTGCAGTTGCCAGACCAGATTTTGTGCCATCGCCAGCACCTTCGTCACTATCCTCCCCCTCACTACTCGACTCCTGCTCCACACATCTGGTCAGCTTTCGTGACTCGGGCTCCATCCTTCCGGTTGGCATTTTAACCGGTGCCTTGGTCTTTGCAGTTGCTAGACCGGACCTCGTGCCATCGCCAGCACCTTCATCACTATCCTCCCCCTCACTACTGAAGTCTTGTTCCACCTGTCTGGAGGTCCTCTTCACTGGTTCTCTCATCTCCTTGTTGTGGTTTTGCCAGCCTTTGAATTCAAATGTTGATGGAACCTCGTCCTTTTGTCTCTGATGCCAGAGCTCTAACAGCTTATCAGCTTCATGCAACTGAAGCTTTGACGGGTCCTTGATCTTCACACCAGCAGGTAAAAACTTGGACTCGATAAAATCATCCTGAGCCTCTGTCACTGCAGACCAAGGAACGGAAACCTTTGGCTTCTGACTGCAAAACCCTGCAAGATATATAGTTGTGTGATTGAATCTTCAGATATTTAGTTGACGAAACGTACTGTAGTGTCTTGTGAGGAATGTGCAGATGAGAGACTTTTTTTTCTCTAGGCTGAGGTCCTCGATATCCGGTATGACCGGAAGCCCACAGGTGTCCACCTCCAAAGCAAACTCCTCCTTTTTTCTCCTTTGCTTTCCGCTATCCTTTCCCCTCCGATCCTCATTGTCATCCTCATCATTCTGATCGACTACTGGTATCACAACTTGGTGTAAGTACTTGACTGGATCAATTGACATTGCACATAAAAGAAGCTCACCGAACTCTTCTCTGACATAGGCATTCCACTCTGATAACATGGGCTTCCAGTCCTTTGTATTGGTAAAACTATTACCTTCCAACTGTTCATTGAAGTCCATTCTGATGACCTGATCAGCCCTTTACCAGTTGGGAGCATGAGAATGCAACTCACCCATTGATCCTCACTTCCCCTTCCTCTGTTTTCCATGCTGACAATATGAATATCCTTATACCAGCCTGCCTCCATAACTGAGTTGCAAGATCTTTCATCATACCCAGAGCTTTCTTCTGAGCAAACTCAGCCTGGACATCCATAGGAGGAGCCTTGCTAGACCACTCTATTGCAGTCTTCTTCGCTTCCTCCAGCTGCTCTTCAGATAAACCTCCCATAATTGCATTGACCGCTCCCTGGTAGTTTTTAATCATTTCCTTTCCTCCCAGCCTTCCTCCAGTCTTTTCAATTATCTCCTTCTTGTACTGGCGTTCTATCACCAACCAGGCAGTCCATTTCTTACCGAACTTACTCTCTTTTTTGAGAGTCTTTTCAGCTCTCCGATTATACAACCAGTCCTGGTACATCTTCATACATCATGAGGATGCATACAATTAGAGAATCAGTTGCTCACGGATTTCCTTTTCTTCAACAGCCGGGAATCCATCTTAGGGGCTTGCATCTTGGCCTCTCTTATGACTGCATGCAGAATCACTTGTCTATTCTTGCCGATGGCCTCCTTCCATTCTTCTAGGTGGGATTGTAACACCAGCAGCTCTTCCTTTGTCAATTTCTGCTTGGTCTTTTGGGGACTGTGTGCTGATAAGTTGGATCGGGCCATTGCAAAGCAGTTGAGGTATTGGTAGAAGAAAGGATACAGTATAAGATTACATAGCCAATCACACATGTACTCAACATTAGACCGAACAAGAGATTGTTCGCCAGCATGTCACCCTCAGGCTCAATATATCCTGTGTTTCTGTATTGTAGAACTTAGAATTGTAAAAAATGTGAACTTAGACCAAGTTCATCATATAGCACCTGGATCCCATACAGTAATACTCTTAAATATGGCATATAGGGAGACACATTGATACCGGAGGAAATCTACTCAAATTTGGGATGATGGCAGGATTACCATGTGTTTGGTTAACTGACTCAGATATGACACAACTTATGGCAATTGCAGACCTTAATATATTCTAAATGGACATAATATTCCGAGATCTTCAGTGACATTATTGTCCTTTATACTAATATGGCCCGAGAACAGTGATCTAGTTGGATGATCAAATCAGTCCCTTTCTCATCACCCGAGGTACCTCAATGACTAACAGGAACAGAAGATGTTGTGCTGGTCTGGCAATTCAAATCGCTCAGAGACCGGAGTTGAAGGAGAATGAAGGCAGAACGTGAAGTCATATGCCTACAGGTCATCATACTTAACCATACTGCCCGGCCCAACAATCCTAAGTGGTGATATCAATCATGGCAAAGACTAGTAAACAACAGGGAATCATATACACTCCTCCAATGAAGAAACAATTGCCTCAGCTATATAAACTCAAGGAAAAAACTACAGCCAGAGGATCGAGGTCATCTTGGGTGAAAGATTCATGGTCTCCAAAAACGAAGTTGGTGACATCATCACCAACAAAATCTCCCTCAAAGCAAACAGCCGGGTTCTCTCAGATGCTTCACGAGGGTGAGGACTTTGACTTTGATCAAGGCGACATCCCTCAGTTTAAATTACCAAAATCTCTGGCAAGCAGCAGTCATTCTGATTTCTGCAGTCTGCATCTGACCGGATAATGCAGGGGCAGAATGAATATCTTCGGCAATGGAAGCACAAGTTCAAGGACTACATCAATTTACTAATGGTCAGAGAAGCCCCTCCCCCAGACCGGCTTTGTTCAGTCTGCAAGAAGGATGGGGTTTATAAATGCCATGGCTGTTTTAATGAGCCCCTGTTTTGCACAGACTGCTGCAGAACCCAGCATCAAAGACATCCATTCCATCGCATCAGTCAATGGACCGGATCATTTTTTCAAGAAACATCACTCATTAAAGTTGGCCTGCACATTCACCTTGCTCATGATGGTACTCCATGCCCCAGCAGCACTAAATACACATCAGACCTATTTGAATGGCCAGATACCAATGAAAATATACACTATGATGATTATCCGGAGGGAGCTTCTATTCCACTTGTCACCGACTCAGATCATCTGGCTATCACCATAGTAGACAAATCCGGTGTTCACTCTCTATCCATCTCATATTGCCAGTGCCCCGGTGCTCTCTCCTGGGATATGCAGCTCTTTCAAGCAGGCTTGTTTCCAGCATCATTCACCAGACCAAAAACTGCATTCACATTCTCTGTCTTGGACGACTTTCTGCTAGACAACCTCGAATGTGGTACATCAGCCATGAATTACTACAGTAAGATCCGGAGGCTGACCTCGAGCATATTTCCATTGATGGTTCCGGTCAGTTTTCATTCTCTGTACTCAGCGATCTGGTGATTAAACAGCAGGATCTGTAGGATCGCTACAGAGAACTTATGAGAACTGCCAGGAAGTGGCACCAATGCAAGCTTTACAAGTGGCATGGGTTTGCTCACAAAGATGATGAGCCAAAGGCCGGTGATCTCACCCTATTTTGCCCTGCATGTCCACAACCAGGGATAAACTTGGACCTGTCGACCGGTACATCCACCCGGCCGGACAACACACCTTCATGGCTCTTCACCAGGACTTTAGTCATGGATGGTAATTTCAAAGCCGAGCACCTCCATCCAGGTAATCCATCTGATGAAGTATCATTGATGGATGGTCTTGCATTCATGGTTGGAGATGAAAGATACAAGAGTCAGATTGCAACAAACCATGGTCCAAGGTCAGAAACATCACCATGCAGTAACACAAAAGCTGGAGGCCACTGGTATAGGAGGATGTGCATGTGCACGGCACAGATGTTTTGTCCCACATTCCATGGTGGATTTTCAGAAGGGTGAAAGGTGAATGACCATCACATCCAGTTACAAGCATTTCTGGTCTTACTGAGCATCCCAAATAATTAGGCAGATGAACATGGACTATGCCTTGAGTCAAGCACTCAACTACAATACAGATGGAATCTCCCATGTCATAACCTTCTACGACATAAATTGTCAGTATCATAAGTTTTGAAGGACCGGATTGCATCCAGCATGTACCTTTCCATCCCCATTGGCATGGACATCATTCCTGGAATAGGTTGTGGCATGTACACGGTCATCAGGACAGCTGTTATGTCCGGTATGCATCAAATTTTATCCATGGAACCGGCAGGATTGATGGAGAGATCATGGAAACACTCTGGGCATCTTTGAACATAATCTCTCCATCGGCTAGGGGCATGGGGACTCCAATCACAAAGAGGTATTGGATTATCAAATGAATGATTGTAACTTCATTAAAATGATACGCATGAGTGAGTTGCCAACCTCCGGCCGGATGTACAAAAATCTTCCGGTCTCATATTATTCCTTCCCGGCTAACTTGCCCTGCAGCCAAATTTCTCTGCAGAAAGTTTAAAGAGGCTGCCAGGGGTGCTGAAGAGAGCAAAAAGTCATTTCAAAATCTTAATGAGACAGCTCACCCTGACATGGTCATTCTTTGGGAAGCGGAAGAGGCACTTGCTCACAAGAACAGATTGGAGGATCCAACAGCCATGGACATTTTATGAGGTCCGGTTGGAAAAGGGTAAGTGTCGAATTTTTACCACTACTCATCCGGGCCTGATGGCATTCTCATTATGATTTGAATACCATGATGTACAGCTCCAACAGAAAGCAGCAGGAGTTGCGCCTGCTACAGGCTCAAAATCATCTGGATTATTTGGTTGCCAATTCTATTAGTCGACGAGGAGCTGCCACTTGGCTCACAACCAGTCTCACCATAGAAGAATTTCAAATCTCTCTCTCTAGAGATGTGAAAAGGCTTGGGAGACATCCTACAGACATTCAATTACTGAGAGTGGCCCGACTTAGGGATAAGCTGCAAACTCAGATAACAAGTTTTCTTGAGATGGCATCTACATATCTTGGATATGAAGTTGATGCAAACGAACTGGATTCTCCAGTAAACAGGGATCATGATTCACTGGATGAAGAAGATTATTCTGATCTCGATGATCATGATCAACATCCGGATCCGGAAACACATACCTCAATATTTCAACCAGAGCTTACTATCATACCTTTGCCTTCTAACCTTGGTGAAGCCAGATGCAAGGCATTAGGTCTAACCAATCTCATGAAAGAGAAATTGTCCTCCGTGAAGGCCAAGCCAATGATGCACTCCATGCAATTAGAGTTCATTTGGTAGATAAGGCTGTGATATTGGGACACGGTCCAGTCAGCTAAGTCACAAGCCACCTCAACCCAGGCATGGACTCGAGTTCGTACGGTGGAAGCAGCAGTCAAACTCAATGCCAGGATATACTGGAAATGCCGGTTGCAGCTAGATCGACTCCCCAATCACAACCTCTTGAAGAAATATCTTCCGTTGAAGAAAAAACACCTGAAGGCAAGCGCTGCAGTGGCTGATTCAAATGCATATGGTCAGAGGAATGCTACCCTTGCATGGTTCTGGTTGCTTGATGTTCAGGGTGATACAGCCAGAAATGACTGGATGACAGAATGTGAGTGTCCATCGCATCCGGTGATATGATGTTATCTGGTCTCACCCACTGAATAGTTATCGGGTGAACTGGCTCTGGACCAAGGCACTTTGTGATCATTGGAATAAAGAGGTCATTCTTGTCAAACATGAAATGCAGTGGACCATCAATTTTTTCAAGCACAAGGCCAAGCAATGGCTTGCTCACATGGACAATGCTGCTTCCAATGAGATGACTGGACATGCATGTTATGCTGCCCGACAATCTCAAATATACCATGACCTGGCCATACATGGGGCAGATTCTTTTTGCAAACTCAGTCCGGATATTCAGGGTGATATACAGGTTGTCAGATGATTCATGGTACCGGTTGTATACTTCCTAGAATGGTTGATATGTAATTTGATAGGACACGTACATAATCATACTTTGTCTGTCTCACCACTACTACAACAACAACAACAATCACCACTACAATTGCTACATCATCCTTCTTTCGCACTCTATGAACCACACTGGAGATCTGGTTGGCTCTGAGCAAGTCATCATGGCCTATTCAGATGATCAGGTCACTGCTGGAGATATTTCTTGTGCCCTATTCTATGCCAATTTGTATTTGTTGGCCATGCGCCTGTATGTGGACAAGAGCTTTTCCACTTCCCTTCCTGGATATGCAGAAGCTTTCCACAAACTCATGAAATGGGAAATGGAGGTATGTATCCGGTCATCCGGCCATCCGGTCATCCGGTCATCCTGATATTGTATTGATCTCAAAGTTGTCATTTGTCATATAGACCTTTGTCACGCCTTTCATCAATATATCCTTCCTCAGCAGGTGCTCCGCTGTCATTCCAACACCCCTTCATCATGTGATTGCAATCATGATCGCACATACATTGGTGGACCGGCAGCTGGATGTCACTGAGTTTTTGACGGATATCAAAGCATTGAACCTCTCTGTGCACTGCAAGGAGTCAGATGAATATGACATTGCTTGTATGCCCGACTACTTTAATGCATGGTGGAAGGACAATCTTGCCTCTTGCAAGGTGTCAGACATGTTGCCAAAGCCATCTGTCCAAGATGTGATGGAGTTGGTTGAGGGCCATTTTGTAGAACTTGTGAGTCCTTGAAACATTGACAGCCCGCACAGGATCCTCACCAAATCCAACATTCAATATTATAATAGCCGGATCATGTGGAAACCGGCCTTCTTCCATATATGCTCAAGCTTGGTCTGGTTTGTACACCGGAGACAATCAGATCAGTATCACTTGCAGAGTGCCGTCAGACGGCAATTGGTAAAGATCTCATGGAAATATTGCAAGGGAGAATGATGAAACTTGCACATTCAAGTGATAGGTTGGCACACTTAGCTGGGCCGGTTGAGGAGATCACGAGGGCTGTGGTTTCCTCACAGACACTCATGGACCAGTTGAATGCAGATGACAGTGCATTCAAAGGACAGTCGAGCATAATGTGATATCTAAAAGCATTCATTTTGTATATTTTATACTGCTTATTGTATTCAATCGCAATAGACATGGGTGGTGATTTCTAGCTTACATCTGATCATGTGAATGACACTGATACCTGCTCATCCTGGTCATGGATCGATCCGACCAGTCTTCTTTTTCTTTCTTCATTACTCATTTTGTTCCTCAACACATGGTGAGTATCCCACAAGACTGGGCATTATACCAGACCGACCTTGCCAGTGAATTGGTGTATGACACCTTTATGTCCAAAATTCATGGACGGTCAGCAAAGCAAATGAGCATTGGACTGTTGGATATCAACACCTGTATTGCTTTGGAGCAACTTGCCAATGTCCTGGCCATCACTTACTCTAATCCTGGTATTCATTTTTGTATATATCATCCTTTCCGGTCGACTAACTTGCCAATAGTTCATCTCAACATTGACATGCTTAGATATAATGAATCCCTTGACAAATATGAATCCAGTCGAAACGAGAAATGAGAGCAAATTCTTTTGGACAGATTCCCTCCTGAAGAACATTGGATCTTGGCAAAACCAAGTGTCATCATTGATTCCGGGGGCAGAATTATTGTCTGGTATTTGCCTGGAGCCATGACCGGCATGATAATGGCCTGTCATCTATTGGCATTCATTTTGTATTTCATCTCATCTGGGTGTATCCAGACAGATATGCATTGTGCTACAAACTCCATGGGCAATTTGCTGAACAATAGCATCACGATCAGCAAGCCTACTGAATGGTGGAATCACAAGTCCAATTTCTGTCTGAGTTTGGATGAGAAGATCACCCCCAGTTGCATCAATATATCTCCAGCTTAGTTTCAGCAAGGAAGAGAGGTACATCCTATTCATATGAATTCAGGTTACCCATCTGAAGTGTCATAGAAATATGGTTTCCCAAATCTTGATCCAGAAGATGGTTTCTCACCTGATGTATCAGCCACATTAAAGGGAGTTGATGGTCACAATATCACGACCTCCCTCCAAATGTCTGGTATCCTTGTCTCTGCTGCACTTTGTATCATGCATCTGGATCTCTATCTTGCCGGAATTCAAACCCAAGTCAGACTGGGTGAATGGGCGAGCCAGTATGAGTTGCATGATATGTGCTATCATTTACAACGTTGGACGTCTGTTTTCAATGTGGTGTCAGTCATTTGCAATTGTCAGTCACCACCTAATAGAGATCTGAAATGTCGACCGGAGGCATTTGATATCATGACCACCGCAGGTATTTACCATCTGGTCATCATGGATTTCATTAATCTTGGGATAAAATTCTTATATAACTCCGGGTCAATGTTGGCCTCATTGTGTCGGCTTGTGAGACATCATATGCACGTGGAGGAGGGCAACCGGATTGTCACTGCATGGTACATGCGAGATAGTATCCATAACTTTGTTGGAACTCCGAGAACAGAGTACACAAAATATGGCAATGTGAAATATGGTGACCTGGTTGAGCAGAGTGCCTCTGTGTAGAGACATTATTGTACACATTGTATACAAATTTTAGTCAGATGGCCCCTTGAGTACCTACCTGATCTATACTACATACTCTTGTAGAGACTGGATGATAACTTTGACCGGATGTCCGGTGTCACATACTCCAGCCCACCTGTTTGCCTCGAGTACACACGTACTCCGGCCCACCCATTTGCCTCAAGTACACATCCCCCAGGCCACCCATTTGCCTTGGGTACACACATAACATGGCCCACCCATTCGCCCTGGGTACACACATTGCCCCAGGCCACCTGTTCACCCTGGGTACACACTTGTCTACGGCCCACCCATTGGCCTTGGGTAAACATTACATCGGCCCACCCAATTGCGCTGGGTACACACATTCACCTGGCCCACACGTTCATCCGGCCCATCCATGTATAAGTTGGGTACACACATCTGCCCTGTCCACCCATTTGACCCATTACACACATCCGTCTGGTCAACATGCATACCCAGCCCATTCCTCTCTGGGAATCAGCCTCAGCCCATCCGTGTGAGGTGGGTACACATCTGTCCGGCCCACTCACTTTATACCCTTGGCCCACCTGTTTGCCCTGGGTACACGCATTCCTCCGGCCCACCCGTTAGCCTTGGGTATACACATTACCTTGGCCCACCCGTTTGCCCTGGGTACACACATTACTCTGGCCCACCCATTCTCATTGGTTACACATGTCTGCCCGGCCCATCCGTGTGAGGCGGGTACATATATACATCCGGCCCATCTGTTTGCCCTGGCTGCAAACATCCAGCTGGCCGACCTGCATACCTGGCCCACCCATTTGCCATGGGTACACACAATTCCCCAGCCCATCCGTGTAAGGCGAGTACATACATATGTCCTGCCCATCCGTTTGCCCTGGTTGACAGCCCATTGCTCTCCAAAACCAGCCTCGGCCCATCCATGTAAGGTGGGTACACATCCGTCCGGCCAACCCACTTTATACCCTTGGCCCACCTGTTTGCCCTGGGTACACACATTCCTCCAGCCCATCCATTTCCCTTGGGTGCACCTGACCCATTCCTCTCCAGTGATCAGCCTCGGCCCATCCATATGAGGTGGGTACACACATCCGTCCGGACAACCTGTATACCTGGCCCATCTGTTTCCTCCTCTGCGCCTGGCCCATTCCTCTCCAGTAACTGGCCTCGGCCCATCCCTGTCATATGGGCACACGCATTCCTCTGGCCCACCTGTCTCCACTGCACACCGTATTCATTACATATAATGTCCCATATAGTAGTATATCTATATACCAATGTCTATACTTTTTACCCTCGGCCCATCCGTGTCCCTCGAGAATACATTCCCTCAGCCTACCTGTCTCCATTGTAAGACCGGATTCACCATAATGTCCTGTATACTAGTACATTCCTATACTACTGTCTGTATTATATACCCCCGGCCCATTCATTTGTCTCGGGTACACACATGACCTCAGCCCACCCATGTATCATGGTACAATTATTGGCATGGGCCCACATGGGATAGCCCATCCCCATTGGTACATTGTCACGTTTGGCTGCCCATCTGAGACGGGTGAATTCACTGAAGTGGCTCAGAGAAGCTAAGCACAACAACCCTAACTTTATTGAAGAAATCTCTGACAACGAGTCTTTACTTGACAAACCTTCCCCACAACCTTTCACACCCTTACCTAAACCCTTCCCGGGGAACAAAATCACTAGAGCCTTTAGTTTCCTTAATTCCTTAACCCCGAATACAGCGAAAAGAGTTGTTGGTGCCCTTTCAAACACAGATACATCTTCTAGTGTTACAACACCTTCCGTACCTACATCTTTGTCCGCTTCAGATACTATAGTGTTCAAGGACTCCGATACTGTAATTATGAAAACGGAAGACACAGGAACAGAAATCCCGAGGCCTATCATCAACCTTGCGAAGGCACGGATCCATGTTCCTCTCACACTTCTTATGCTCACATCACTCCGGAAGATACACCTGGACCCATCTTGCGTCAAGATGAAGAAAGGTCTCGTTCTAGACGATCCCAAGATGAGCGTTATGGACACTTCAACATTCCCGGCAGAATCGACACTTCCAGCTGATTGCTTCTATGAAGCTTATAGTAATTTCCTCAAAATGATGACTCTGGTCGCTGACAAGGCAACTATAAAGTGTTTCATAGAGCATCGCGACTTCTGCTTGTCATGCGACAAGTTTAGCGATGACTAGAACGCAGTCCTAAATTTTGATATAGAAATTCACAGGAAGTTCTTCAATGCTCAATCTTTTCACAATCCGAGCACATATATGCAGCATTGGAACGAAATAAAGATCAACACCTCACTTTCGTCAAATAATGTGCACACTTCAGGGAGTAGTTCTCGTTTCAACCCCTACCCTCAGCGAAAGGCTGAAGGCCAATCATCCGTTGGTTTTTCGAACGATGGGAAGCCCTTTCAGAAGGGCAAAGGGTCGCAAGTATCCGACACGACCCTTTGCATAATCTGTGGTCAGTACGGACATAGAGCCAGTGGATGCACCCACATGCACACAACGAAAGATGTCCCTGTTGTTAGCTCCTGGCAAGGGAAACTTGTTCAAAAATCCTCCTCCAGTCCCATCTGCATTTGTTTCAATCTTGGACGTTGCTTCACCCCTAAACACTCAGCTGACGTCATTCACCTCTGTTCTATCTGCGGAGACAGGAATCATGGAGCCGCTTCAAAGTCTTGCCTCTGATATCCGTGAGCATATCATCACGCCATACGACACCAATGCATATGATGATCTCTTGCACCAATATAACTTGCAACACATTTATCCGACCTTGACATTCAATATGTGCCATGGGTTTCCCATTGGGGACATTCTGCCACTCACCCGCACTTATACACCAAAAAATCATAAATCTGCTTTAGATTATCTTGACATCATTCACGCTTATTGTAACAACGATGTTTCTCTTGGTCGCATGTCAGGCCCATTCTTGGAAGATGAGGTCCACAACATCTTGGGAGGTCATTTCACCTCATCACCACTTGGGGTGGTGGAGAAAGCAGGAGAGCGAGGAAATTTAGGGTCATTCGTGACTTATCTTATCGCAATGCAGATGGTTTCTCGGTCAATGGGTTTCTTGATTCTGACAACTTCCCCACCAAATGGGGTACAGCGGCACATGTTGAAGAAATTGTACGTTCTATGATTCTGGGCTTGTGCAGCCCATTTGGCTGTGTTCACCCCGTTTAGTTGCAAGGGGTGGGTGGGGTGTTCAACCCGCCCTTCATTCAATTCGCCTTCGGGCCTTTCGAGCTCTTCTGACCACATTTGGTCTTAGTTGCTCAGCTTCTCGTACCTTCGGGTACTAGTTGTGCATGCACACTTATCGCTCTCGAGCATCTTGTGCATTCACTTCAGCATGTCTCACGTGTATTCATTCTTCTTCGTCTTCTCCTTCATCACTATTCTCCATTCCATTCCTCATTCATATGTTTGTAGGTCGCCACAGCACCTCCAGGGACACAAGCAGCCACTCTTGATATAGAGGCAGCTTATCAAACTGTGCCTGTCTGGCCACTGCATAAATGTTTTCTGGTTGTGGAGGTTGATGGCTGATACTTTATAGATCACATGTTTCCTTTTGGATTGTCTACAGCAGGAGGCATCCAAGGCAACGTCGCAGACATGACTGTCAACATTCTGCACAGAATGGAATTGGGACCAATCAAGAAGTGGGTCGATGACCACTTGTTCTTTTGTTTTGCCTCGGGTGGAGGGAAGCTGTTAGAAGACGATTCCTTCTCTCCCTTTGTTTACTTACATGACCTCGGCCACATTCTCACTGAATCTCGTCCGCTTGGGGTGCCTTGGCACCCAACCAAATGGACTGACTTTGCCTACATTTTCATTTACCTCAGATTCCTGTGGGACCTAGTCCTGCGCACCATCACACTACCGGAGGTCAAACATTTGAAGTACTGCGACAAGCTTTTCGCATTGCTTGACATTTTGACGAGTGGAAGGCGTATTTCGTGCAAAGATGCTATGAGTATTAATGGAACCTTGTCGCACGTCGCCTTTGTCATACCACATGGCCAGGCATACCTCGCAAACCATTCAGCATTCATAGCTGAGTACCCTTCCATTCATGCCTCTCGCTTCCACCCCTTCATTTCGGATTATGTCTAGCACACCTCCATTCCAGATGTCAGCCCATGCAGGCATCACAGAGGATTTGACCTTACTCAGGGAGTCTTTGGCAAGACAACCTGTGGTAGGGGAACCGCCCACATCTGTTTGCAAATTGCTGAAGCCACAAAAACCTAAAAAGAATAATATTTTGGCACATTCCACCCTTCGTCCTCACATTCTTGCATGTGATCGTGTTCACATTTGGTCCGCTCCTCACTCTACATCTTTCCATTCCTCAGTTCTCTCACACCTTCCTTTCGACGATGTTCTCAAACTCCTCGACGTTATGTTGATCTCTATCGAGGTCAAGACACACGAGAACTATGGAGCTGGACTCCTTAGATTTCATCAATATTGTGACTCGAGGAGGATCCCAGAGCAGTTACGCATGCTGGCACCAGACCACCTCTTGGCCTCATTCATCGCATCATGGGCCGGGAAAGTCACAAGCTCGACTGTCCACAACTGGCTTGCCAGGATCCACTTCTGGCATAACCTCCACAGTGCACCTTGGCATGGTAGAGTACTACTGTGTACAGTGACTTCCAGTCTCGCTAAGGTGGTTCTGCCGTCTTCAAAGAGACCATGCAGACCCCCAGTTACCCTAGAACACATGCACACTCTCGTTCGCCTTCTTGACTTATCCAATGCTTTTGATGCAGCTGTTCTTGCTGTCGCTTCCACCACTTTTTGGTCTTGCTGCAGGTACCTTTGTTGATTATCAATTTGGCCTTCTTCTAATGTTCTGATGTCAGACTTGGGCAGTTGTTAATTGACTCTGCTAATTCCTTTGATTTTACGTGTCATGCACCGCGAAACGCGCTTTACAACATGGTCAAACTCCAATGGGTGTACCTTACATTGTTCTGACGATACCGTGGACTAAGACAACACATGGTGAAGGTGCAAACCTTATTGCTTTGGGGGTGGAGGACCCCTCAAATCCAGTTTCAGCGATCATGCATCACCTCTCAGCCAATGCTTCAGTACCTGATTCAGCTCCCTTCTTCGCATTTGAAACAGATCAAGGCAGCTGGGCGCCCATGATATGGACTTGGTTCATTCACATATTACAGTGACATATTTCCGTATTATATGGGTCACCCGACCTACATAATATCCCATATAAGACAGGCCAGCGGACTATGGGCCGAGGTTATGTATATCCCCGATGTTGACGGATGGGCCCATCTATGCTGATATTATATATATCCTCGAAGATGTCGGGTGGGCCGACATAATGGTTTATTGTATAGATGGGTGGGCCAAGGTACAGGAAGTATTTTGTACACGGGTGGGCGGAGGGAGTGGTGGAATATGTATTATATAGACGGGTGGGCCGATGTAAGGGTTTATTGTATAGATGGGTGGGCTGACATACTGGAATTATTTTGTAGATGGATGGGCTGAGGGAGTGGTGGAATATTTATTATATAGATGGGTGGGCCGAGGTAGTGAGATATCTGTCTGACATTCACGGATTACCGAGTCCCAGATGCCCAAAACCTGAATCCCATTGTGCAACATCCATTCCAGACACCCAAACACCCCACCAAGTGCTGAGTGCCGAGGCCTGTGCCCTGATGTCCGAAGCCCAAAATCCGAAAATATGTATACAACATATCCATATTTCCCTCACTGCACAAATCACCGGGTGTCGAGTACCGAAACCCGAAACTTGACACCTGGTACACAAATCACCAAGTGCCGAGTGCCGAGGCCCGCGCCCAAATGTCAGAACCCCAAACCCTGAACCCCGAAAATATGTATACAACATATCAATATTTCACTCATTGCACAAATCACCGAGTGTCGAGTGCCAAAACCCGAAACTCGAGATACGGTACACAAATCACCAAGTGCTGAGTGCCGAATGCCGATGCCCAAAACCCAACATCCGAAGCCCAAAACCCGAAGCCTGAAACCCAAAAATATGTATACAACATATCCATATTTCCCTCATTGCACAAATCATGGAGTGTCAAGTACTGAAACCCAAAACTCGACACCCAGTACACAAATCACAAGTGCTGTGTGCTGAGGCCTGAGCTCCGATGTCCAAGGCCCAAAACCTGACGTCCGAAGCCCAAAATTCAAAGCCTGAAACCTGATAATATGTATGCAACATATCCATTTTTCCCTCATTGCACAACTCACTGAGTGTCGAGTACCAAAACCCGAAACTTGGAACCCAGTACACAAATCACCAAGTGCAGAGTGCCAAGTGCCAAGGCCCAAAACCCAACATCTGAAGCCCAAATTCCAAAGCCCGAAACCCAAAAACATGTATGCAATATTTCCATTTTTTACTCATTGCACAAATCACTGAGTGTTGAGTGCCAAAACCCGAAACTCAAAACCCGGTGTGCAATACGCAAAGATAATGAAAACATGGAAGTTGTTGTCCAATTTTAGGTGAGTGTATTGGTAGTCTTTTCTTGTCCATTGGTTATCATTTGACCAAGATATAAGCTAAAGAAATCTGAAACATTGGCGAGAATGAAAAATGAAAGTTGTAGTCCAAGTCAAGGTGAGTGTATTGGTAGTCTTTTCTTGTCAATTGGTTATTTCATTACTCGGTACTCGGTACTTAGAAATCAGTGCTCAGTACTTTGTTCTGATACTCGGTACCTGGTGTAATGATAGTCGCGGCACTGGGCTCAAAACCCGTGTTTTTGATACTCACATTAAACAGTATTTGTCCGACGCATCCCTGACATTCTGATCCTGATCCCGACGCCCGACCCCAGCCTGAAAGTTTCGGACCCAGCGTTTTTGCATCGGACTCCTTCCTATGTCCTGTCTAGTCGTATCCATCCCCACTGGTGCATATTTACTCATTTTCGCATTATTGAATATTACAGACAGCGTTATTACATGTAAGCATAGACCATTGCACTTTTGACATTTTTCACAATTTTCAGTATCTTGCCCTTGCATCCATGATCCAACCTTTAATATATAATGAGCATAGCTTATATTATTGCCTCTTATGACCAAGATCAGCTCACAATAGGCTGGAGTTTGTGAGCTAGTGTGCATACTTGCCATTTCTCCTGATAAGGGGCCCATACGTTCAAAACATTGAATCTTCATGATCAGAAACCTGGAGTACATTTAAAATATATTAAGTATCATAGACATAAATTTACAGACAAATCTGCCAAGAATTGAGTACTGAGGAAGTGAAATAGATAAGAAATGGAGTGTGGGAAACTTCAAAGACCCAAAGCATCGAAAATGGTCAGTGAAGCAATAATAGGACTTTAATGCTGAGTCAACTCATGTTTTCACTATATCCCTTCCACCCACCCCCTACCCTCAAGGCAGTAGGCAGTATGGGTTCCTTAGGTAGTTTACAATCTATCCTACATATTTTTATTGAAATCTTTGGCCTGAATCATCTATAAATGCGACTTTGTAAAAATATGTCTATTGTCACATTTCACACATGTGCCTGTCATTACATCAATCCTTCATGTATCTTTCTAAACTATTAGGGCTATTATAATGGACATATATGGGTGTTATTCCAGGTCTCTGATCCCATCACAGGCTTGTCATGTTGGATATCTCAACATAATGTGCAAGTCTCCCTATTAATATTCATTCTTTTATCTGTATGCTCACTTACTGCACACATGTACAAATGCACACCTCATCTTTACATCATTGCTAACATGCCAGACAAATATATAATCCTCATACCTGCATCATCCTACCTCAGTCTATTTGTTCTCAGACTGAGGTATGACTATACATTCATTATCATACTCGACACTGACTAACATTTAATATAGTCTTCAAATAATCTTCCATTGACAAGAATGACATGAGTATGAAAATCAGTGGTTCTGAGCCCAGCACCGCAACCATCACTACACTGAGTACCAATACTTGGTAGGACCACCAATACACTCACATAGACTCGGACTACAACCTTCATTAAGAAAGTGAAGCATAATAATAATTTTCATTTTTCATTATCATTTTCCTATATTGACTAGCGAGTCCCGAGTCCCGACCCTTGGTAGTCAATACAATTCCCAAGTTATTTGAACCCTACATCAATGGATAATACATACAAATACAGAATTCATGTCCAGTTGTAGTCACGTGTACCGGGTGTTGAGTTTCAGGTTTCGGTACTCAACACTTGGTGATTTGTGCAGTGAGGGAAATATGGATATGTTGTATACATATCTTTGGGTTTCAGGCTTCGGGTTTCAGGCTTTGGATGTCAGACCTCGGCACTCAGCACTCAGCACTTGGTGATTTGTGTACCGGGTGTTGAGTTTCGGGTTTTGGTACTCAACACTCGGTGATTTGTGCAGTAAGGGAAATATGGATATGTTATATACATATTTTCGGGTGTCATGCTTCGGGTGTTGGGCTTCAGACGTTGGGGCTCGGGCCTCGGCACTCGGCACTTGGTGATTTGTGCAATGAGTGAAATATTGATATGTTGGATACATATTTTCGGGTTTCAGGCTTTGGGTTTCAGCCTTCGGACATTGGGCTTCAGGCCTTGGCACTCGGCACTTGGTGATTTGTGTACTGGGTGTCGAGTTTCGGGTTTCGGTACTTGACACTTGGTGATTGGTGCAGTGAGGGAAATATGGATATGTCATATACATATTTTCAGGTTTCAGGCTTCAGGTTTCGGGCTTTGGACATTGGGGTTCGGGCCTTGGCACTTGGCACTTGGCACTTGGTGATTTTTGTACCATGCTTTGAGTTTCGGGTTTTGGCACTCGACACTCGGTGATTTGTGCAGTGAGGGAAATATGGATACGTTATATACATATTTTCGGGTGTCATGCTTCGGGTTTCGGGCTTCGGCCATCAGGCCTCAGCACTCAGCACTCGGCACTTGGTGATTTGTGTACTGGGTGTTGAGTTTCGGGTTTCAGTACTGGACACTCGGTGATTTGTGCAATGAGTGAAATATTGATATGTTGTATACATATTTTCGGGTTTCAGGCTTCGGGTTTCGGGCTTCAGACATTGGGGCGCAGGCCTCAGCACTCGGCACTTGGTGATTTGTGCAGTGAGGGAAATATGGATATGTTGTATACATATTTTCGGGCTTCGGGCCTCGGCACTCGGTATTTGATGATTTGTTTAATGTAAATAAAAAATGGGCATGTTGCATACTGGGTTTCAAGTTTTGGGTTTTGGCACTCGACACTTGGTCATTTGTGCAATGACTGAAAAATGGATATGTTATATACATGTTTTCAAGTTTCGGACTTTGGGGTTCGACCCTCGGCACTCGGTACTTGGTGATTTGTGTACTGGGTCTCGAGCTTCAGGTTTTGTCACTTGACACTCGGTGATTTGTGCAATGAATGAAAAATGGACATTTTGCATACATGTTTTTGGGTTCTGGGCTTCAGATTTTGGGTCTCAGGCTTCGGGTCTATCAGGACTCAGCACTCAGTGATTTGATAACTGGACTTTTAAGCTTCAGGCTTTGGGTGTTCAGGTGTTCATGTGTTTGGTGTAAGGAAATAGAAATTTCAGACATTTTCACCAGTTTCCAGTTTCCAGTCTCGAGCTTGGGGTGTTCGGGTGTCCGGAATGGATGTTGCACAATGGGATTCAGTTTTTGGGCATCTGGGACTCGGTAATCCATAAATGTCAGACAGATATCTCACTACCTCGGCCCACCCATCTATATAACATCCCCTTCCATCAGCCCACCCGTCTATATAATAAATATTCCACCACTCCCTCAGCCCATCCGTCTACAACATAATTCCAGTATGTCAGCCCACCCATCTATACAATAAACCCTTACATCAGCCCACCCATCTATACAATAAACCATTACATCAGCTCATCTGACATCTTCAAGGATATATATAATATCAGCATAGATGGGCCCACCCATCAACATCGGAAATAATATCCCTCCTGGCCCATCCGTCAACATCGGGGATATACATAACATTGGCCCATAGTCCACTGGCCCGTCTTATACAGGATATTATGTAGGTCGGGTGACTTGTATAATATGGAAATATGTCACTGTAATATGTGTAAGTCAATGATATTTTGGTGAAAGACAGCCCTTTGGACATGGGTTTCAATTCACCTCCGGTTCAACATGGTCATCTGGATTTGGACATGGGTTTTCATTCACCTCTGGTTCAACATTGTGATCCGGACCAGATGTCATTAGACATGGGTTTTAATTCGCCTGTGGTTCAACATGATCATCTGGACCAGAGGCCTCCCGGCGTTGATCCAGTTGATATTCTGGATCAGTCAGGTGAGTTTTATCATTGTATTAGGTTACAGTGTTACATGTACATTCAGTGGGTCTTCAATCAGAAGAGACACCTTTGGACATGGGCTTTGGGACAGATCCGGCACATGATCTTGCCCATCATTTGAATATTCAACTGGAAGAGACACCTTTGGAGATGGGATTCGAGACACTGGATCCGGTACATGGTCTTCCGTATCAGTCGTGTAGGTCTTATCATGCCATCAAATATCACTGTTACTCATTCAAATTTAGCCATGGTTAGTGAACCGGAACCTATGGGATTTGTGATTCAGCATGCTGTAGGTGACTTGCGCTTGGCAATACACTGGTTGGAGATGGAAAGGGCTCATGGTACAATGTTGCCAGAAGAAGCCCTTGTTAGCAAGGAAGTTCTTCAGGCCACTAGTGAGTTATTGTTGGCATTTCAACTTATATCAATATACCGACTGTCGACATGACATCTATATATATACCATTGATACTTTCCACCCCTTGTATAGTACATTCAATGAAATGTGATGATTATGCTCTTTGCATGTAATTAACTTTATAAGACAGCTTGGCAGCTCTAGTGGAGTGCTTTGGCTCGGGCTTATCAATGGGAGTTCCATGTGTTTTAGTTTTCTTACCAGTGCTCTGTGTTGTGGAAGGAGCCGTTGGTTTAGGTGCAGGTATCTTCTGACCGGACTTCTTCATTCGACCGGCTGATGCAGGACCAACAAAGCTACTTCTCAATGCAGTTTTGGGAGGCAGTGGGGCTGTAGAATGATTGCTGGATGATCCTGCTGAAGGAGTGCCAGCATTGTCCTCCAGTGGTATGTTGCGCCCAATGACATTTGATTTAGATTTCTTGACCAATGGGCTGGAATTTTCCTCCGCATGAAATCTGACTGCTCTGCTTCGCTTTCCAATAGATTGATGCTCTAGGGGCGGTGATTGGACTTCAGCATCACCTTCTTCATCCCCATTCTCATCCTCACCACTTGACTCCGGTTCCACCCTTCCAGCCGGCTTACCGGATAATTTTCCGGTTGACTTGGCAGGTGGTTTTTTTAACCAGAATAGATTGGTCAGCTTTGCCTGGCTTTCTGGTCGATTTCCGGTTGGATGGCGGTAATCGGGCTTCATCGTTTTCACCTTCACCTTCACCATCCTCGCCCTCACTGCTTGATTCTGGTTCCACCCTCCTGGTTGACTTGCCAGATGACTTTCCAGTCGACCTGCCAGTTGGTTTGTGAACCGGACTACCTGACTCTGGTTCCACCCTGCCGGTTTTGTTTTCACCCTCACCCTCACCCTCACCATCCTCACCCTCACTGCCTGACTCCGGTTCCACCCTGCCGATTGACTTGCCAGATCATTTTCCAGTCGACCTGCCGGTTGGTTTTTGAACCGGGCCTGTGTCCTTTGCTGTTACTGGACTGCATGTTGTGCTAGAGTCACTCTCTGAGATCTTCTCCACCGGTTCCCTCATCTCCTTCTCATGGTCTTGCCAGCCTTTGAATTCAAATGTTGGCCGAACCTTGTCCTTTTGTCTCTGATGCCAGAACTGCAAGAGCCAGTCAGCTTCATGCAACTGAAGCTTGGACGGGTCCTTGATCTTTCCACCGGTAGGTAAAAACTTGGGCTCGATAAAATTCTCTTGAGCCTCCATCACTGCAGACCAAGGAACAGACTCCTTTGGCTTTTGACTGCAAAACCCTGCAAAATAAGTAGTTCCTTTATCAACCCTGCAGATATTTCATTCGTGAAACTTACTGTAGTGTTTTGTGAGGAATGTCCGGATAAGAGACTTTTTGTTTTCTAAGTTGAGGGACTCAATATCCGGTATGACTGGAAGCCCATAGGCATCGACCTCTAAAGTGAACTCCTTCTTTCTCCTTTGGTTTCTGCTCTCCTTTCCATCTGCATCCTCATTGCCATCGTCATCATCATTCCGGTCAATTGCTGGCATCACATGGTGTAAGTACTTGACCAGATGCATCAACATTGCACAAAAAGACACTTACCAAACTCTTCTCCGACATAGGCATTCCACTCTGGTAACATGGGCTTCCAGTCCTTTGTATTTGTAAAACTATTGCCCTCTAACTTTTCATTGAAGTCAATTCTTATGACGAGATCAGGCCATCTTTACCGGTTGAGAGAATGAAAATGTCACTCACCCATTGATCCTCACTTTGCCTTCCTTGGTTTTCCATGCAGACAATATGAATATCCTCATACCGGCCTGCCTCCATAACTGAGTTGCAAGATCCTTCATCATACCAGGAGCTTTCTTCTGAGTGAACTCAGCCTGGACATCTGTAGGAGGAGCACTACTAGACCATTCTATCGCAGTCTTATTTGCTTCCTTCAGCTGCTCTTCAGATAAATTGGCCATAATTGCATTGACCGCACCCTGGTAGTGTTTAATCAATTCCTTCCCTTCTGGCCTTGCTCCAGTCTTTTCAAGGATCTCCTTCTTGTACTGGTGTTCTATCACCAACCAGGTAGTCCATTTCTTACTGAACTTGCTTTGTTTTTTGAGTGTCTTTTCAGCTCTCTGGTTATATAACCAGTCCTAGTACATCTTCATCCATCATGAGCATTTATGAAATTAGAAGATGGACTGCTTACAGATTTCCTTTTCTTCAACAGCCAGGCATCCATCTTAGGGGCTTGCATCTTGGCCTCTTTTATGACCACCCTCAAAATTGTTTTCCTATCCTTACCAATTGCTTCCTTCCATTCTTCTAGGTGAGATTGTAAGACCAGCAGCTCTTCCTCAGTCAATTTCTGCTTGGTCTTTTGGGGGCTGTGTACTGATGAGTTGGATCAGGCCATTGCAAAGCAGTTGAGGTCTTGGTAGAAGAAAGGATACAGTATAATATTACATAGCCAATCACCACCATGTATCCGATAGTAAACCAAACAAGAGATTGTCTGCCAACATGATACTCTCAGGCTTAACATGCCCTGTGTTTCCGGTTCATAGAATTTAGGACTGCAAAACACACAAACTTAGACCAAGTTTATCATATAGTATACAGGCAGCATACAGTAATACTCTCAAATATGCCATACAGCATAGGGAGACACATTTATACCGGAAGAAATCCATGGGAATTGGGATGATGGCAGGATTACAATGTTTGATTGACCGACTCCAAAATGATGAAACTTATGGCAAACTCAGTTGCTCTGACCTTAATATATCCTAAATAGAGATGATGTTCCAAGATTTCTGATCGCCTGGTAACCTTACTAACACACAGGAACAGAAAATGTAGTAATCCGGTGATTCAAATCACTCAGAGGCCGGAGTTGGTACCTCAATGACAAACAGGAATGGTAATCTGGTGATTCAAATTGCTCAGAGGCTGGAGTTGAAGGAAGGCACAGGTGTAAAGTTATATGCCTGCCGATCATCAAGCTTAAGTGCACTCCCCAGCCCAACAATCCTTTAGGTCCTGGTATCAATCATGGCAAATACTAAACAAAAGGGAATCACATACACTCCTCTGATGAAGAAACGATTGCCTCAGCTATATAAACTGAAGGAGAAAACTACTTCCAGAGGAACCAGGTCATCTTGGGTGAAAGATTCATGGTCCCCGAAAACAAAGTCGGTGACATCATCACCAACAAAATCTCCCTCAAAGCAAACAGCCGGGTTCTCTCAGATGCTCTATGATGGTGCTGACTTTGACTTTGACCAAGGCTATATGCCTCAGCCTAAATTACCAAAATCTCTGGCAAGCAGAAGTTCTTCTGATATCTACAGTCTTCATCTGACCGGATCATGCAGAGTCAGAATGAATATCTCCGGCAATAGAAGCGCAAGTTCAAGGACTACATAAATTTACTCATGGTCCGAGAAACCCCTCCTCTGGACCGGCTTTGTGAAGTTTGCAAGAAGGATGGGGTTTATAAATGCCATGGGTGTTTCAATGAGCCCCTGTTTTGCACAGAGTGCTGCAGAACCCAGCATTAAAGACATCCTTTCCATCGCATCAGTCAATGGACTGGATCATTTTTTTAAGAAACTTCACTTATGAAAGTTGGCCTGCACATTCACCTTGCTCATGATGGCACTCTATGTCCCAGCAGCACTGAGTACTCATCAGACCTCTTTGAATGGTCAGATACCAATGAAAATATAGACCATAATGATTATCCAGAGGGAACTTCCATTCCACTTGTCGCAGATTCAGATCATCCAGCTACAACCATAGTGGACAAATCCGGTGTTCACTCCCTATCCATATGGTATTGCCACTGCCCCAGAGCTCTAAACCCGGATATGCAGCTCTTTCAAGCAGGCTTGTTTCCAGCATCCTTCATCAGACCAAAAACTGCATTTACATTCTCCGTCTTGGACGACTTTCTGCTAGACAACCTTGAATGTGGTACATCAGCCATGAATTACTACAGTAAGATCCAGAGGCTAACCTCCAGCATCTTTCCATTGATGGTTCCAGTAAGTCGGTTTTCATTTTCTGTACTTCAGCTGGTCATTGAACAATAATATTTGCAGGATCGCTACAGAGAGCTCATGAGGACTGCCAGACAATGGCATCAATGTAAGCTCTACAAGTGACATGGGTTTGCCCATAAAAACGATGAGCCTAAGACTGGTGTAGAAAGCTGATTTCTGCTGGGCTCAGCAGAAATCGTACTACCTAGACAACAAATATTTAGGTAGATCTCCTAAAGGGATTGCTAATTGGTATTAGTGGTAAAAATGTGTCAGTAATGCAAATAACAAAATGTCTGATGGTGCGAAATGATGTCCGAAGGTACTTATCCAATGTCCGAAGCCAAAGTGCGATGTCCGAGATTTCGGACTTTTGGACTTCACAATAATGAGTCGGAAACTTTATAATGAGTGTCAGGTTGCAAGCGGTATGCACGAGTATAACAAGTGACGGAGTATGATGGTGAACGAATGGTAATATTTTGCAATGCAACTAAGAACTACGAGAATATTCTGGGTGATCCGCAGAGTCGGGAAACGGCTCCTAACTACTGGATCATGATTGCTACGGGTCACTACAGAGTATTTAAGTAAGTACATAGAAATTTGGAAAACTACAGGCGAAGATAGTAGCGCTATATTTCAGGTCCGATGTCCTATGTAATAAGACACGAGGTGCTGTGGACATGTAATAACGCGGTCCGAATGTCAGAAAATGTGCACGGGAATAACTACGCACCTAGTGAGGCTAGTTCGGATGGACAGCTAGTTCAGATGGACAGGACACGGGATGGACAAGTGCGCGCAAAGTGCGATTGGCCGATGCGATGTCTGAAGGTCCGATGCGCCGGATCCGATACAGAGTGGCTCGGACATGTGCGAAAGTGCATCAGGACATGTGCGCATATGTTTCAGGTGTTGACGTGAGTATGGAAATATGTGGTTTTGAGCCCAACACCACGACCATCGCTACACCGGTGACCTCACCCTATTTTGTCCGGCATGTCCTCAACTGGGGATAAATTTGGACTGGTCAACTGGTATGGCCACTCAGCCTGATGACACCCCTTCCTGGCTCTTCACCAGGACTTTGGTCATGGATGGTAATTTTAAAGCCGAGCACCTCCATCCGGTGAATCCATCCGATGAAGTATCATTGATGGATGGTCTTGCATTCATGGTCAGAGATGAAAGATACAAGAGTCATTTGGCTGTTGCCCAAGACCATGTCCAAAAGTCAGATTGTAACAATCACCACACAGTCAATCAAGCAAATGCCTCCCGACAAAAGCTAGAGGCCACTGGTATAGGAGGATGTGCATGTGCATGGCATGGATGTTTTGTCCCACATTCCATGGTGGATTTTCAGAAGGATGAAAGGTAAATAGACATTGCATCTGGTTACATGTATTTCCGGTCTTACTGATCTCGAAAATAATCAGGCAGATGAACATGGACTATGCCTTGAGTCAAGCACTCAACTACCATACAGATGGAATCTCATGAGGAATAATGTTCTATGATATAAATTGTCAGTATAATAAGTTTCTCAAGGACCGGATCGCATCAAGCATGTATCTGTCAATCCCTATTGACATGGATATCATTCCTGGAATAGGTTTGTGGCATGTGCATGGCCATCAGGACAGCTGCTATGTCCGGTATGCATCAAATTTTATCCATGGGACTGGCAGGATAGATGGAGAGATCATGGAAACACTCTGGGCATCTTTAAACATAATCTCCCCATCAGCCAGGGGCATGGGAACTCCTCATTGCAAGGAGGTATTGGATTATCAGATGAACTGATTCAAACTTCATGAAAATAATTCACATAAGTGAGTTTCCAATATCCGGATGTACAAATATGTCCCGGTCTCATATAAGTCATTCCCGGCTGACCTGCCCCTCAGCCAAATGTCTTTACAGAAAGTTTAAAGAGGCTGTTAAGGGTGCTGCAGAGAGCACACTCTCATTCCAAAATCTTAACAAGACAGTTCAGCCTGCCATGGTCATTCTTTGGGAAGCAGAGGAGGCTCTTGCTCAGGCAAACAGACTGAAGGATCCGACAGCCATGGACATTTATGAGGTCCGGTTGGAAAAAGGCAAGTGTCAAATTCTACTACTACTCATCCGGGCCCGATCACATACTGATTATTATGCAGGATGGCATGATCTACAGCTCCAACTAGAAAGCAGCAGGAGTTGCACCTGCTGGAGGCTCAAAATTGCCCAGATCATCTAGCTACCAATTCCCTTAGTCGACGAGGAGCAGCCACTTGGCTCACAACTGGTCTCACCATAGAAGAATCCCAAATCTCTCTCTCTAGAGATGTGAAAAGGCTCGGAAGGCATCCTACAGACATTCAATTGTTGACAGTAGCCCGACTCAGAGATAAGCTGCAAACTCACATTACAAGCTTTCTTGAGATGGCACCTACCTATCTTGGATTTGTGGTTGATGGCAATGAATTGGATTCTCCAGGTAGACAGGGTTCATAATTCACTGGATGAAGATTATTCCGATCTCAATGATCACAATCCGGATCCGGATCCGGAAACACATCATGCCTCCATCTTTCAACCTGAGCTCACTATCTTACCTTTGCCTTCCAACACCGATCTCATGAAAGAAGAAACTGCCCTTCGTGAAGGTCAGGCCAATGATGCCCTTCATGCAATTAGAGTTCATTTGGGAGATAAAGCTGTTATATTCCAGAATACTATCTGGTCAGCCAAGTCACAAGCCTCCTCCACCAGGGCATGGACTCAGGTTCGCTCAGTGGAAATGGTAGTCAATCTTAATGCCAGGATATATTCAAAATGTCAGTTGCAGCTAGCAAAACTCCCTGATCATGACCTGCTGAAGAAGTATCTTCCACTAAAGAAAGAACACCTGAAGGCAAATGCTGCAGTTGCAGATCCAAATGCACGTGGTCAGAGGGATGCTACTCTCGCATGGTTCTGGTCAATAAATGTTCAGGGTGATACATCCGGAAATGACTGGATGACAGAATGTGAGTATCCAGCATATCCGGTGATATTGGGTGATCCGGTCTTACATATTGCAACAACAGTCTATAGAGTCAATTGGCTCTGGACAAAGGCCCTATGCAATCGTTGGAATGAAGAGGTCATTCTTGTCAAACATGAAATGCAGTGGTCTGTCAATTTCTTTACCTACAAGGCCAAGCAATGGTTAAGTCTCATGGACAATGCCACTTCCACTGGGCTGACCGGACATGCATGTTATGCTGCCCGACAATGTCACATATATCAACAACTAGCTGCACATGCAGCGGAGTCATTTCAGAAAGTGATTCCAGTTATTCAGCTGGAAGTACTGGTTGTTACATAATTCATAGTACCGGTACCAGTTACATAGTTCCCGGATTAGCTAATATGTAGTTATATTGAAAATGTGGGCATAAAACAAACTTTGTTTGTCTCACCATCACATCATCGTCATACACTCACCATGAACAACGCCATCACTTTGGTTCCCTCTGATTAAATCATTGTGGCCTACTTGGATGGTGAGATCACTGCCGGAGAGATTTCTCGTGCTTTGTTCTACGCCAATTCTCACTTGTTGGCCATGCGCCTGTATATTGACAAGAGCTTTTCCACCGCCATGCCTGGTTATGCAGAAAATTTTTACACACTCATGCAATGGGAAATGGAGGTAAGTATCCAGTTGTCCAGTTGTCTGGTTGTCCGGATGTCCGGTCCACCGGACAATTCTTATCTTGCACTCAAATAATGTCGCCTGTCATATAGACTTTTGTAACTCCATTCATCAACATATCCTTCCTGAGCAGGTGCTCCGCCACCATTCCAAAACCTCTCCACAATGTGATTGCAATTTTGGTTGCGCATAAATTGGCGAACCAGCAACTGGATGTGAATGAGGTCCTGATGGAAATCAAAGCATTGCCTCTCTCTGTCAATTCCGCCACATCAGATGAATATGACATCGCTCATATGCCAGACTACTTTAATGCCTGGTGGAAGGAGAACCTAGGCTCTTGCAGGGTGCCAGACATGTTGCCAAAATCATCTGTCCAAGATGTGATGGAGTTGGTTGAGGGCCGTTTTTCAGAACTTGTAAGTCCATGAGATCTTGACCTCCTACACCGGATCCTCACTAAATCTTACTTGCATTGTAATAGCCGGATCATGTGGAAACCGACCTCCTCCCATATATGCTCACACTTGGCCTGGTTTGTCAACCGGACATGGTCGGATCAGCATCTCTTGAGCAGTGCCGTCAGATGACAATTGGTAGAGAGCTGTTGGAAATTTTGCAGAGAAGGATGACAAACTTTTTGAGTTCAAGTAATAAGTTGGCCGGAGTAGTTGGGCCAGTTGCTGAACTCACTAGGGCTGTGGCGTCCTCACAATCACTAATGGACCAGTTGAATACAGATGACAGTGCATTCGTATGGTCAAGCCCAATCTGACATCTGGAAGCCTTCAGTAGATATGTTATACTCATGTATATTAAAATGCAATGTAAATGGGTGGTGATTTTCGAAGATGAAATCCGGTTCATTGCATGTGACACAGATTTCTGCTCATTATTATCCAGTTATGGATTCATCAAACACTTTTCTTTCCTCATACTTTAACCACTCATTTATTTCCTCAACACATGACAACAATTCCACTGGACCGGGCATTATACCAGACCTACCTTGCCAGTGAATTGGTTTATTACTCCTTCATGTCCAAGATTTATCGACAACCGGTAAAGCCAATGAGTGTTGGACTTTTAGATGTTGACACTTGTATTGCTTTGGAGCAGCTTGCCAATGTCCTGGCCATTGCTTACTTCAATCCTGGTATGCATTCTCGCATATATATCTGTGCTGGTTGAGTAACTTGGCAACAGTTCATCTCAAAATTGACATGGTCAGATACAATGAATCTCTGGAAAAATATGAATCCGGACGAAGTGAGAAACAAGAGCAAACTCTTTTAGACAAATTCCCTCCTGCAGAACAGGTTGTCCTAATAACACCGAGTGTCATCATTGATTCTGGAGGCAGAATAATTGTCTGGTATTTACCCAGAGCCATGACTGGCATGATAATGGTTTGTCTTATATCCACATTCATTTCTTATTTCATCTCATCCGGATGTATATGACAATATTCACAGACAGACATGCAATGCGCCACAAATTCCATAGGAAATCTGTTGAATGATAGCATCACCACCAGGAAGGCTACTGAATGGAGGACCCATGAGTCCAATTTCTATCCGAGTCCAGATGGGAAGATCACACCCAGTTGCATCAATATATCACCCGCCTGGTTTCAGCAAGGCAGAGAAATATGTCCGGTTCACATCAATTGGTGTTGCCAGTCTAAAGTATTGTAGAAACATGGTTTCCCAAAACTTGATCCGGAAGATGGCTTCTCACCTCAGGTATCCGCTGCATTGAAAGGTGATGTTGGTCGCAATATCACAACCTCCCTTCAAAGGTCCAGTATCCTTGTCTCTGCTGCACTTCGGGTCATGCACCCAGATCTATATCGGGCTGGAATCAAAACTCAAGTCCGGCTCGGTGAATAGGCGACCCAGTATCAGTTACAAGACATTTACCATCATCTCAAACATTGGGCATCTGTCTTCAATGTAGTGTCAGTCATTTTCAATCACCAGTCACCACCTCATAGAGATCCAAAATGTTGACCGGAGGCATTTGACATTATGACAACCGCAGGCATTTATCATCCGGTCATAATGGATTTCATGAATCTCGGCATCAAGTTTCTATATGACTCAGGGTCAATGTTGGCCTCATCATGTCGCCTTGTCAGACATCACATGCATGTTGAACAGGGTAGCCTGTGTGGTACATGCGAGATAGTATCCATAATTTTGTTGGAACTCCAAGGACAGACTATGCAAAATATGGCAATGTACAACTCAGTGACCCAGTTGAGAAGAAAGATGTCTAGACAAGTGATGATGTATATTTTAGTCTACTCCGATTGATATTCACTTGTTCAATGTTTTTAGCATATGATAGTGGATGTGCCGGACGACAGGCTTGTGAGATGACAGATACACCGGATCATATATTTGCCTGTACCGGATCATAGATACACCAAATCATCACCTACCAGATCGTATATTTGCCTGTACCGGATCATAGGCCAGTGAGAATATTGATGCACCTGCCGGATGATAATCTGACCGGATCTCCGGTGTATATCATTCGTCCAGCTCGGTCGTTTCCATTTTACACCGGATTTGCTATTCAAGTAGATTCCTGTACCAGTCTATACTATATACCCCTGGCCCATCCGTTTACCTTAAGTACACACATCCGGCCGGCCCACTTGTCTCCATCGTAAACAGGATTTGGTATTCATAGTATCATGTATACTAGTAAATTCCTATATCACTATCTATAATGTATGCTCTTGGCCCATCCGTATGCGTCAGGTACACAGATTCACTCAGCCCACTCATATGGTTGGCCCATCTGTTTACCTTAGGTACACACATCCAGCCAGCCCACTCATCTCCATCGTTAACAGGATTTGGCATTCATAATGTCATTTATACTAGTAAATTCCTATATCACTATCTATAATGTATGCTCTTGGCCCATCTGTATGTGTCGGGTACACAGATTCACTCAGCCCACTCATATGGTTGGCCCATCTGTTTACCTTGGGTACACACATCCGGCCGGCCCACTTGTCTCCATCGTAAACAGGATTTGGTATTAATAATGTCATGTATACTAGTAAATTCCTATATCACTATCTATATTGTATGCTCTCGGCCCATCCATATGCTTCGGGTACACAGATTCACTCAGCCCACTCATATGGTTGGCCCATCTGTTTACCTTGGGTACACACATCCAGCCGGCCCACTCGTCTCCAATGTAAACAGGAATTAGCATTTATAATGACCTATATACTGATACATTCCTATACCACTGTCTATATAATGTACCCTTAGCTCATCCATGTGTCTTGGGTACACACATTCACCCAGCCCACTCGTATATCATGGTACAATTATGTCCATGGGCCCACATGGGTCCCGATGTTAGGGTTAGGGTTAGTTTAAAACTCCGCTTAAAACTCGCTTAGATCAGATCAGTTGGATCATGATAACGAGTGACAGCTACTATGCCTCACCAGTCTCAACATCAACAACTGCTTGATCAAATAGATACTGCTACTATATATGTAGCCAGAGCCTGGGCTGATCATGCCATGGCAGATGGTGAAGTCTCTGAGTCTGATTCTTCTATCTCCGAGGACTCTGTCATTAGGACCCCATCTCCAGTCTCCCCCATGTCACCCTACATGTCTGACTCTTCAGACAGTGGCTCTGATAATTCCAACATGTCAGGTTCTATCACAATTCATGAGAATTTCCTCCATATTATTGGATCCCTTGCTGCTCTTTGGGAGGAGGTGGAGGAAACACGTGTTCTCAACTGTCCAGATGAGCCCCCTATGTGAGCACCCCAGATCCAACTCCTTGATCATTTTGCCATTCACTGCCCTCATTTATTCCAGAAGCAACTATGTGTTTCTCCTGAGATTTTCGATGCTATCCTCGATCAGATCAGTAATCACCCTGTTTTCCACAACCAATCCAACAATCCCCAACTTCCAGTTGCAGTGCAGCTTGCTATCTTTCTTAATCGAGTCGGCCACTATGGCAATGCCATTTCTCCCGAGGATGTCTGCCAGTGGGCAGGGGTATCTGTTGGGTCAGTCACTAACTGTACTAATCGTGTTATGGCTGCCTTGCTGGCAGAACATGATAATTTCGTCTTCTTCCCTGCTCTCGACTCTATCGAAGTTGCTCATGCCCGAGCCTATGCTCTCAAAATATCAGACTGCCCAGAGTGGCAGAATGGTATCCTGGCTGTTGATGGATCATTTTTCAATCTTTTTCAAAGGCCAAGTATTTTTGGAGATACCTTTTATAGTAGGAAGTCTCAATTTTCTCTCAACTGCCAGGCATGTTTTATTTATTATTTATTATTTATTTGATGCTGATTTTTCTAATTTTTAGGCAGTCATCATGCCCCATAATCTTGCTATAGTTGATTATTCTCTTGGTCACACTGGTAGTGCCCATGATGCATATGTGTTTTGCTCTACCCATGTCTATCAAAATCACCAAACACTTCTGGGTAATGACCATTGGATTTGGGCTGATAGCACTTATCCATTAGAGTCATGGTGTATTCCCCCATTCAAGAAGCCTATTGGGGGAGCCTTGACCCTTGAGCAAAAGGCATTCAATAATGTCCTTTCCAAGGTGTATGTCTAATTTTATTTTCCTGATTTTTCCTGGTGTGTATTCATATTTCTTTTAGATTCGCGTGCGGGTAGAGCATGCATTTGCTGCTCTTAAGGGCCATTTCCAGTGTCTCCGAGAGCTCCGACTTCCACTGCAGAATGAAGACCAACTCAAGTATCATTCCTATTGGATCATGTGCTGCCTGATTTTGCACAACATGATCATTAGGTTTGAGGATCAATGTGGTATATCTGGTGGTCAAGATGGTACTGAGAATTGGGCCTTGAGGAGTGAGGGCTCAGATCTTATGCCACCTCCACAGCCAGAAGATTCTGACATTGATGAGGTGGGAGATACCTCATTTGAAGGGACCACTGGTCAGCAAGTTCGTGCAAACTTGATGGAGTGCTTATTGAGGTAGAAACTTACATGGCCTTCAAGAAGCAGGAAGGGGACAGCAAACAAATGTATTCATAGGATGGAAAACAAATGATAGGCAATGTACAACATAAAATGAAACATGTAAGCAAGTACAAGTGTCCAAGGTACAGCAACAACAACAATAACAACAAGACAACAGGACCAGCCCTAACCTAAGACTACCCCAAACCCTAAGCTGGACTTGGGCGAGACGGTAAGCTCTCCTTCAATTTGAGAAGCTCAATTTGAGCTCAAGCATAACCCTCTTCTCAAGATGAGCCTTGGCTTGGGCTTCGAAGAGCTGAATCTCCAGGGACTTTGATTCTTGAACACGTTGATGGATGATAGCGGCCTCGTTGTGTTCGAGCTCGGCTTGCTTGTGCTGGAAGTCGATCTCAACTTTCTGGCGGTGGGAATTTACTTTGGTGATCTTGTATTCAGAGTGCACCACCTTCACCGAGTAAACGTAATGGATGCCCTTGCTAAGAGAATCGACTTGGCTGCACATGTCTTCGATGTTGGATTGGACTTCACCCGAAAGGCTCAATTTGGCTTGTGTGACCTGCTTGCTTTGTGTGCAGATGGCGTCAACCTGATGTGAGGATAATATTGTGCGTGCTGATGACGATGCTGCCGATGATGATGTGATGGATTGGGGTGATGGGGGTGAGCGAATGTCAGTGATTGCCCATCGCGCGGCCCACATGGGACCTGAAGGTCCCATGAGAGGTGGGCGGGGGTGTAGGTGGCGGCGAGGGCAATGAGAAGGGGCGCTTGCTGGCAACATGATCCTGGGGGCCAGTCTGCTCCTGGTCCCCCATCTCAAAGTCCCCTTGTCTGCTCCTCCAGGTTTTAGAAAAAGTAGTCGTCCTCCAGCGTATAATAGTCGATGGGAGGATTGAGGCGGGGGGCAGCGGGGGGAGCATCCATGGCAGGAGCATTGACAGCAGGAGCATTGACAGCTGGGAGCAGGGGGAGCATTGATGGCAGGGGCAGGGGGAGCATTGACGGCGGGGGCAGAAGGAGTATTTATGGCAGGGGCAGGGGGAGTATTGACAGCAGGGGCAGGGGGAGCATTGATGGCGGGGGCAGGGGGAGCATTGACAGCGGGGGCAGGGGGAGAAAGGCCATCATCAGCGATCTCCATCTGCTTCGTCATCGAGATCAGGAGGGACCTCCTTTTCTTTTCCCTTGCGCTTTGACATGAGTGCAATCATGTCACCTGCATGATTCACCCCTGGAGCAGATGAAAATTTCTTGGGGGCATATGCAGGGTTGTGCCCCCAAATGTCGTCGAAGAGCGCTGTACCACGGGAACTCCAGGATCACTTGTTCTAGGCATGTTTTAGATAGATTCATGAAATAAAAATTGAAAAACATACCAAGTAGATTATTGCTGGCATTAGGTTGAGATGGGTCAATGCCTGCACCAGTCTGCGAAGAAGCAACCACAATGTCTCTTGTATTTGTTCATAAGGCTAAAAATTACAATAAACAGACGAATAGAATGTGAAGAGGAGGGAAAGGATGCACTAATTTAAACAATTGGTCACTGCGCTCGTGAACTTGGCCGGGTCCTCAGAATACCACCCCATATACTCCTGATCTGTCTCAAATATGTGCTGTGCGATCACCACTGTAGAAAGCTGATTTCTGCTGAGCCCAGCAGAAATCGTACTACCTAGACAACAAATATTTAGGTAGATCTTAGCACGACCTAGTCTGCTATACTTGCAGAGCAAGTGCGTTTGATCCTATAGGGGTAGCTGTTTGGTATTAGTTTAGATAGTTAGTTATCAATTATAGGAAGATAATCCAAAGCTAGGAACTACTCGTCCGAAGGGAGACTGTCGGGTCCAAAAATATCGGAGTTGGGTCGGGTGTCGGACTACGCATCAGACTGTCGGGAATGCATCGGACAGTGAAGGAATGTGTCGGAAGTATGTCGGATTGTTGGTCAAATGAGTGTCGGGTGTGTTGGAATGTTTTGGAGAAAAAGAGCGGATAGATATTTCGCAATACAATGAAGTACTACTAACCAATGACTTCCATCCTACTACTGAGTAGGGAAAAGTAAGTAATGCAATAGGTAGGAAGTACTAGATATTAAATAGTGTCTATGTAGGATTTCAGAGTGCATTAGGCGAAAACAGTAGCACAAAATTGGGTCCGAATGTATGTAAAAGAGCATGTGTACTGCACCTTTTTGTAGATAACATGTAATAACGCTGTCTGTAATGTTCAGTAATGCGAAAACGAGTAAATACGCACCAGTGGGGGTAGATACAACTGGACAGGACATAGGGAGGACGAGTCCAATGCGAAAACGTCAGGTCAGGGTCGGGCATTGGGATCGGGATTGGAATGTCGGAGATGCGTCGGACGAATACTGTTTAACATGAGTATCAAAAACATGGGTTTTGAGCCCAGCGCCACAACTATTGTTACACTGTGCATATCTTAGTTTTGTTGCTGCCAGATGGAGGGCCTTCATCGTCAGGTTTCTTCCCTCCTTCGTTGAATAGAATCCGGCAGTCCACAGCATGAGTAACTAGATATTGCACAGGGGCATTAGTGCACTGGATATTTCCCTCCTGCCAGATCTTCATGCCAGAGGATGTATCAGCTCCAACATCTCCCAAGATGGTGTCAGATTGGGGAGGATCAGCGGGTGCACCGGTGCCACTGGATGCAGCAGTAGTTATGGCAGCTTGTCCTTGTCCTCTTGTACCTCGAGTAGTGCCCCTCCCCCTAGTGCGGGGAGGTCTTTTAGTAGCCTGGGACATATGTGGTCTATTTCGGGTGTCAAAATATGCTTTAATATGTTCTGAGCGACGAGCTTCAGGTCGTTGTACAGGCATCTTGCGCATTGTGTTGCATGAAGTTTGATTTCAGACTCCAACTGTGCATGCCGAACCTTCCAAGACTTTCTGACACGCTTCAGAAAGCTTTCATAATAGTTTCAGAGTGTACCTTGAATCAGGCTTCTTCCCACCACTGGTGGAGAGGTAAGGGCAGTAGTCTACAAGTACGGTAGTTCAATGTTTAGTAAACCAGAAACACACGCAAATTTTTAAAACCCAGCCCAACCTTATCCACCCAACCTCTCCACCAGCGGCTGGAACAAAACATTTATAAACAACGTCAGCCACACTTGCAAAACCCAGAAAGAGACAGTGGAGTTGAAAAATATGCAAAAAAATACATCATATCGCTAACAAATATATATATATATCAATATGTCATTATCTGACCTGGTGGACAACATTCTTGAAACCCTGCAGCACGTTGGCATTTCAGCTTCAGAATTTATACTGGCACTCCTCTTGAGTGAAAAACATAGTGCTCATCTGGCTGTAAAAGACATCCTCTCAAATGGACGAGAAATTGTTAATGCTCTTACAAAACAAACTTCAAGTACTGCAAAATGGGCTACTGATATTACAAAGGACATCTGTGCACGGGAGATTTGTAACCTTGCTTCTAAGGGTAGCAGAACTCATTTTGATGTAACACACACTACAGTGAAGCAACTGGAGGATGGAAGGGAGTATTTGATTTTGCGGACTCCAATTTTGATGTTCAAACGATCGGTGGAGACGTGGATGGTGACGAGATTTTCTGATCGAATGTGAAGGAGTCTGTGTACATCTCTCAGAGCATCTGATGTGAGTGTCACTGATGCGATCATGAAAGGTACCTGGCAAGGTAGGACATAGTGCAATCACTCTAATTCCTTGTACTCAGACCGAAATTCTCCCCAGGTCACGATACAGTGCCCTTCATCGAAGATGACACCAATCAATTGCACCGCAAAGTCAACCTTTCGCAACTAGCTTCTCGAATTCTCCACCTGGTTTCATCAGCTGTTCCGGGCTGGTGATGATTGCGCGGTAATGTGAGTCTTCTATGTCCTGCAGCAAACACATTGATTAGACATTTATAACCAACAGATGAGAGCCAACTTACACGGAAATTTGCCATGCTCACCATCTCAGCAGAGATCGTGATACTTCATATACCAGCCTTTTTGAGGAAACTGACACTCTGATCCCCTAGCTGGTTGAGCGGAGTCACAAGGATCAAAATGCCTGTGTCGTTGAGTGCTAATGGTGACCAGAAGGCAAGTGTTTTCCCTATCCCTGTCCCCGCTATACAGATAATATCACAGTCATTTCTCAGGAACACATCTGTGACTTTGAGTTGCCACAAACAGGCTCGCTTGTTGAAATGATCCTGGACCTTCTCTCGAATGGCAGAGAAACTAGGGGCTTCAGCTGGCATATGACAAATAGGACAATACTCGTCGGGTACAACTATTTACATCTATATGTTCGTTAGCAATATGATGTATTTTTTTGCGTATTTTTCAACTCCGCCATCTCTTTCTGGGTTTTGCAAGTGTGGCTGACGTTGTTTATAAATGTTTTGTTCCAGCCACTGGTGGAGAGGTTGGGTGGATAAGGTTGGGCTGGGTTTTAAAAATTTGCGCGTGTTTCCGGTTTACTAAACATTGAACTACCGTACTCGTAGACTACCGCCCTTACCTCTCCACCAGTGGTGGGAAGGAGCCTGACCTTGAATACCATTATTGTGGATTCCGGATCAAGTAATAGTACAATTTTGGTGTTCACTGATGATCATGATCCGCTTGCTCGGCTGCCCATTCTCTTTTGCACCATTACGTCTGATTTCACGTTCAAGTTGAACGTTGAGGTCTCTCACATGTCTTTGGCTGCTCGCGTATATTTCCTGTCTCGCGCCGGCATGTATTCTATTTCTCAAGTGGAACGCAACTTATTACTAGAACTCCAATATTTGAATGGCAACTTGAATTACTACCGCCGAGCGCCCATTGCAACACAACTTCACATGCTCAATTTCTCAGTCGATTCTCCTCAGCTGATTCTCGCATATTATCTTCTGCAAAGTACGGAGAAATAGGTACGAGGCGGTGACAGCCTGAGCGCTTGAGCTGCTACTGTGTACTAAATTAAGTGGTGAAGCTGTCACGGTGGTACTTGCTGGGTAAGTACATACACGAGGCATCTGCGAGGCATGCAGTGCATCATCCTGTATTATGCACAGCTGCCTAACGTTATAAACCTGGTACCGTCTTGCTTGTATCCTCTCTCACCTCTGAACCATCTGATCAAAATGTCCCCTCCACAGCGGGTCAGGGATTCTGTCAAAGATTTGGGCAAGGTCTTCGCAGTTCGTTTGAGGCGCCCCAAAAAGAACGAACCCAGACAACGCAGCTTGATAACCACCGATAATGATAACGATGGCTCCATCCATGCACAAATACCTGATGCCTTTTCCTTTCCTTCAACGCTACTCCACTCTGCAAGCAGCAGAGAATCAGGCCTCGAATTCCCCACCAATGTTCCATTTGCTAGATACTCTGAGAATGTATCATTTGCTCGCCAAGCTTCCGATATGGCTCAGCTAGCATTACCCTTGGTACAGAATATTGCAAGTGCAATTCCACTTGTCGGTGCTCCGATGCAAGCGGCTATTAGTGGATTGTTGACAGGCCTTCAAGCTATAGATGTAAGAGCTTGTTTTAATGCGAGCAATTTTCTTGACTTCAAACGTCGCCACAGAGACATAGCCAAAATGAGGCGGACCTCAATAGCCTGATCTCACGACTTGGTCGACTGAGCCGTGAATTGTGCAATGCCTCGCCTGCCTCGGATCCTGTTGAACAGTCCCGAAGGGATTTCTTTGTTAGGTATCCACACCATCGGCGTATGCTTGGATTTACCTGACATCAAGTTGCACTCAGAATGCTGCAAGACACCTCAGCCCGAGTGACAACGTTGCGTGAGCGTTGTCTTGCACCCCACTTGTCACACAAGCTATCACTGGATGTTTTGCTGAGATCGACCGCTATCTGGCGGAGTATCTGGTTGTGTTCTATCCTCTAGCGAATGTTTGCATTCACTCACTGATCCGTTTTATCAGTGGTCGTCCCAAATGCAAAGTCAACGTGACATATGCGAAATGCTGGTAATTATGCAGAAGGAGCGGGAGGATCGTCAGAACTTCCTGATGACGATTGAAAGCCTGGTCATTCGTGGGCAGTCATATGTAGGGCCGACCGCAACGCAATCAATCGGAACTGCTATACGTGGTTGTGTGACACTCATAGATGCAACAGGCCACCAATATCCAATACCAGTTGACTTCTGCACCTCATTTGAGGTACGTTTCGCTAGCGAAAATTCATCTTAGGAAAGCGTGCTCATCACGTTCTATTTAGCAATTCAATGAGATGCTCAAAGTTCTGTTTAAACGCAACTCGATCGAAGCTCAAATCCAGAAACAGTATATGGAAAGCGGACAATACGATTTGTGCATTGACGAGGGCACGCAAGTGACTCAACTTACAAGTAATGAATGGCCAAGCCTTGAAGTGGGCACGAAGGTTGTTATGAGGGTCATCATTCAACAGCAGAAGTCATCATCCTATTCTGTTTCCTACGAATGTTTTTGTGGCATGGTGAATTCGCTTGAGCAACATGCTAATTCCTCGTTTGATTGGTGAGTATGCTTCAACACTTCTGGGTCCTGATTACGTCTAATAACTGGTAGTCGAAAGTGTGGTCGACTGTTTCAGAGTTCTCGTGCATCTTACAGCGAAAAGCATAGTTCTGGTACTCGATCGTCTAACATTGACATCAATCGGACAACTGACGTAGGGAGGGACCTTATCCGCAACGTTCACGTCCAACAAATTGTATGTCGATATAAAACTGTAACCTTAAGCTGAATACTTAACGGTGTTTCGCTGCCAGGAATTTCCAAAGCCTCTTCTTCAGCGGTCTTACACTCCTGGCGATGCATTTCTGTTTTGGTGGGGGCTCTGCATAGTGATGTGCATGGCCCGGCTTCAAGCCGTGAGCCGGCCAAAGCCGGCTCTAGTTAGGCCGAGCCAAGCCGGGTCAAACTCATGGCTTGACCACGGCCTAGGGCCCGTCTTTGGATGTTTGAAAGCCGGCGCCGACTCAAGCCGTAGCTTTTACTCCTCCAGATGTGGTGCTATACTAATCAAACCTCTACATCTACTTTTGTTTAACGCCTACTAATCTTCTGCGAATCTCAAGCACGTCCAAGACGTCCGATGGAATAGAGGCCTGAGAGCAGTCTTAGCCAAAAGGAGCATCAGAGCACGACATGTCTGACATCGGCTCGTGCTCGTTGTCTTTGGGGGTCACTAAGTACTGGACAAACCTTAATAATCTCCGAGACTGGAGGGAAGACGTCTCGCCGGTCGAGACACCACTCTAGGAAAGGAGGGACCCGACACATCTCTCACACCACATCATTCCCCCTGTACGAACTCAGCGTCGGCATTCGCCCGACAACATGCTGGCGGAGTACTTGTTTACCATTGATAATACGCCAGCCATACATATACATACGTTAGTTTAAGCGGGAGTAAGCCCCCTGCGAATAGGGCTATGTGTCAACGACCCCAATGGACAATAAAATTGACTTGAAAAAAATAAAAATAAAAAAGTACTGGACAAAAATAAATTACGACTCGAGTTGACCTGAATTTGCCTAAGATACAACAGTTCATAGTGAATCACAGTGAATCATGGTGTATGATGACCTAGGCATGATACATCAAATACGAACGGAAACAATATCCCTTCTAGATCTCCGCGATGCGACGCGTTTGTTGAAGCAGTAAAACTTACTTTGAGTTGAGTCACCTCAAACCCCCAAACAAAAAAGTCATGACTGTCATTAAAACCGAGAGCACATAGAAAGGCACACATGCATAAAATACGTATATACTCAAGTAAAAAGAACGCATAAACAACGACAAGAAACGCAGATCGATTCGACACAAGCGTGGTCATGACAGAAAAAGAGAAAAGAAGAAAAAAAAAGTATAAAATAATTGTAATGCGATGCGATGCGTGGATGCGTGCATGAACGGGTGGTATGGGGTTGGGTTGGGGTGATATGCTATAGCGAAGGATATGGAAGTATAAAGTTGAAAAATGAATGCGTTGCGTCAAGGAGAGCGAGGGACAGACAGACAGATAGACGAGACACCCGAACCGTCCGATGCATGCACATTCCACACCGGGATACCTGATACTCGATACGTTTTATCCATTGCAAATAACATGTAGGGAAACGGGAGCGGGAATAGAAAGATACGCACTCCTCACCCCCTCAATACTTGCTCATTCTGGTTTCATGCGATATAGCACGGCAGCCGCCGCGACACTCAAGACGAGAACGCCGACGGCAGCTGTTATCGTTGTTGATGCTGAATGCAGCTACACCCAATGCGTTAGTACCAGTGATTATATGTATGTGGAAAACAAAGATACTCACCCGCTGCGTCACCTCCGTTTGCGTTTGCATCTGTAGTTGCGCTTTCTGCCCCACAGTATCCGTACCCCCGGCATCGGTGACAGATGATTCTGGGGTCAGAGGCTGCACGCCCTCGTGCTTCTCTGACTCGCCCTCTACCTCAGGTTCGCTCCCCGCAATCGACGGTCCAGGTGACGGAGATCGTGATCGACCTGCATCATTCCCGTTCACAATGCCATTCCCATTCTTGTGCGTATCGTCATCCAACTCGATGGAAGACACAGATGGAGATCTCGAACGTTTTCGTCTTCGCGCTTTCCCCCGACCAGGATTAGAAGCGACGCTCACAGGACTTGGAGGTGTTACCAATCCTCCACCTAAGGGGTTCGTCCCGTTCGCGGTATGCAGCTTGAGATCACCATTTTGAAGCCTTGCATGTGTTTGTGCTTGTACGTGTGAGGCAACGACAGTCGATACCCGTCCGTCTAGTCCGTTCTCTAGCCCCTCAAAGGCCTTGCGTAGCCGTTCGCGCTCCGCGCCCCATTCTTCTTGCGCTGCGCTCCACTGCCCTTCTACACCCTTCTTCCACTCTGCCATCAGCGCAGTCAACCCTTCTGCAGGATCTGGTTGCTGTTGTTTATGTGCACGAAGCTGGGCCTCTACCGCGCTTTCTACGGCCTTGGCAAGCTGGGCCTCCACAGCTGCAGCGATCTGCGTCTCGAGCTGCCGGTCTGCAACCAGCGCCTCCAGCGCAGCGATCTTGTCCTGCAACACAGTGATCGTACCCTGAGCGGCAGCATGTTGCGCGGCTAGGGAATGGTTGACTTCTACAGCACTATCTATGCGTCCGCTAAGAGCCACTAGCCGTGCTGAAAGCTCGTCTAATGCAGGATGCGATGGCTGTGGCGAAGGAGATCGTGGTCGTGATGTCGAAGGTTCGGCATCTGATGCACGGGCATGCACAAGCTCGTCCTCGTCCATTCCCATCCCCGATGGCTCCGGTGTCCGTGGCCTACCCAGCTCCTCCCTCCTTTGTGCACGCTCCCTATCCTCCTCGCCCTCATCCTGTTCCTCACTCTCGTCCTCTTCCTCGACACGCTCCAATTCATGCGGGGTGATTGTACGAATGCTAGATGCATCGTCATCGTCTTGTCCATGGCGACCGCGCTCCGAGTCTACGTTCATGCCATTGTTGTCGTGCTGGGAACGTGCGGATGAAGCGTGGATGAGGTCGCGGAGAGCTGCAACCTCGGCTTTAATGGCCTCGTGCTCTGCAAGCATGTCCTCGAGGGCGCGGACTTTGTCGACATGGCTCGCCAGGCTGGCCTGGGTCTCGTGTAGCTCTGTGCGCAGTTCGGAAAGGGCAGGGTGCTCTGGGGGAGGCGCAGGGGGTTCTGGATTTGCGGGGGCGGTAGATGCGGGGGCGGGTGCAGAGGTTGTCGAGGTTTGTTGTGAACGCACGGGAGGGAGGGATTGAGGGAAGTGCGGTAGGTTTTGGGGCTGTGAGAGTGGAAATTTTCAGTATGCAAGGATATAGAGTTATGGAAGACAAACCACAGAGCCACCAAGGGTGTCGTGAATATCATTCATCACAGTGCTTAGGGAGTGTAGTTCTGCACCGGTGTCGCGACTCTTCTGGAGTTCGCCCTGAAGCCTACTTAATATGTGGTCAAAGGTTAGGCCATTTTTGCCCGGTGGTCGCATACTGCCGCCCATACCACCGAGCTGACTCTGGAGGGCGGGGCGGCGCTGTGGATGTGCAAAGCTAAAGTTATTACTACCTCCAGATGATGAAGTGGCGGGAGGAAGGACGGAGGGGATATTGGGAGGAAGAGATGCGGATGATGGGATGGCCTCTACGCGGGCAGCGAGGTGCGCATCTTCGTCGGTGAACACGCACATGACGCGTGCAGCAACTTTGTGGTGGATTGTGGTCTTGTTGTCTTCACCAATGATGTCGATACCAAATTCCTGCGAGGGGGTTGGGTAGGTCGAACGGGGGAAAATTGATTGGAAACATACCACGATATCATCATTTTTGAGCTCGAATGGCTCGGACTCGACTCCTTCTGGGCTAAGTCGCTCGCCGTTGATGAAAGTACCATTAGAACTTTTCACGTCTTTGATGTATATCTTCCGCCACGTCCGTCAGGCTTCCCTCGGTAAAACAAAGAATAAGACGCACCTTTCCATTGTCTTCCCAAATCTCTGCATGTTGTCTGCTTAGTACTTTTGAGTCAAAATAACCGTTTCTCTCTCCTGGGATTGTCTTTGTGTTTGTCTGGCGCCCGATCTTTACGCGCTGGCCATTGTGAAGGGAGATGTGTTTTGGAATAAAAGTGTCGTTCAGAGGATAAAGGTAGAGAGAAGGATATGGAGGGTGTACATGTGGAGAGGAGAAGGGCTGAGTTGGGGCCATCGCTGCTAACGGCGGTCAAGTAAATTATCGACAATCCCTTCTAGCATCCCACATCCCACTTCAACGCTTATGTAACAATTACCTAATTTGTCCACCCTCTGCGCACGAACCTACAGTCAACGTGCCAAACAGACATGCACATTTCATTTCTGATACATTCGCAAGCGGCGTTTTCTGGCGAAACACAACTGCAATGAAACATCATTGACCACTTCCATTCCAATATGAAATGTTTAGGAGCGTGACATACTGAGATCGGGCGAGTTTTCTTCATTCCATCATCATTGAAACGTTACCGCGACTGACCTTTAAGCACCAGCATTGCTCGAGTTCTCACTAGCACGACCGCTTCTCGGTTCATGCAAGTCATACAAAACAAGCAAACCCCCGGTGTTTGGGATGTTAAAATTAATGCAACACTGCCTCCAACATGTGATAAAAGCAAGCCTCAAGGCGTCTACGCCGTGCATCTAAGCCTTATCTGGACTTCCGATTACACCCACCATCACTATTGCCTCTCTCTTCGCCCCCGTTGGCGCCTATCAATTTGACGCAATGATCAGATTCTGACTCATTGTCACAGACTGACGAAAGACTCGTATCATCATCATCGTGACTAGCAAAAATAGCTTTGCCGTCCAAAAATATTTATAGATGGAACGACTGTCTTCAATCTAATAGTGGTCTGTATACGGGATTCCACAGAATCATAGTGATTACACCTTCGTAATATCTGTGCTTAACTAACCACAATTTACATGACGCGGACAAGCTGGCCCCTGGGACAGGCACTGTACCAAAACGAAGAGAAGCATAGCGAGAAGCGTCATCAGGCTCTTTGCCCCATCGTTTTCTTCCGGGCGCAAAGTATCCGCCAGGATGCCCTTTGGGACTCATTGTCATACGCACTGTGCAGCTTAACAAGAAGCAGGCGGGAATGAAGTGCTTGGCAATAGAGTTTCATCTGCAGGATAGCGTTACACGTTATCAAGACAATTGGTTCCAGGCCAGGAGTGTAACCTAACTCGGTAAGTGAAGAGAGTGCCATTGAGAGCGACGAACTCATGGTTGAGTGTAGACACATCTCACTCCTGGATGTGATTAGCACATCTTACCATGCGGTCAATCCTGCCATGTCGACCATAATGCTAGGACTCCGTTGTGGGAAAAAACCAGGCCAGAACGTCCAGCAGGAAGCTCGGCGCAGGGGTGCCTCGTTGAGTCCGAGTCGCTCTGCGTGCATATTTCCAAGCCTTGCTTGCTTAGGCACCGGTCCCAATACAATACAAAGCGTATCGTGCGCTTGTTCAATTCGCCAGTTGTTGGAGGCGGAGAGCTAGTGGAAAAAGTTTTGAATAGTGGCGGAGGAGTGGTCAGCTCCGTAGCGACACTGTACTCGGTAAACTCTTTGATCCACGAACAGCTGCTATGAACCCTGCTCCCATGACATTAGATTGGTTCAACAAATTTATACTGGCTCCGCATATCACCTGCCGCCTCATTGCCAAGGATCGCACGCGCAACATGGATGAAGTATGCAAGGTCAGGCAATGCCAGAGACCTGCTGCAGTTCTGGCTAAGGTGAGAGATTCGGCGACTCGCTTTTGAGTATCAAACCAGAAAAATGTTCAAGTTCACGAGTCGAGAGCAGCGCAGCGCATGATCCCCTACTTTATTCATTTGACTAAGCATTTTTGAACTACTTTTGCAGCCTCGTTCAGACAGCCATATTGATGCACGGGACTGATACAATCATCTTCATCCTGTCATGGTTTAGATGCTGCAATCAGGCATCATGGCGTTCACAAGCAGCAGGTATACTAACCTTTTCTCCTATCCGAAGTGTCATACAACTCACTTCGATTTTTAGACTTGTTTATCAGTCATTCTCGTGGACATTTTTTGCACACTCCATCAAGCATATGCTTTGTCTTTCCCCAAACTTCAACCCTTCAACTTTGACCTCGCCGTCGGGGCTTTATCAGCCCCTTTATACGCTCAGTCTGGTTTTTTCAAATGGTACTGCCTTGGCTACTTATTCTTTTTCACTTTCAGTCTACTCTCCTGATGATCGAGTAAAATTTGGAACTTTCAGCACCTCGTCTTCAACTCATTGTGCTATGATTCTGGTGCTGCTTTTGCTCATGATTTTTACTGTGACCAATATCCAGTGTTGAAGCATCCTTCGTGCGGGCACCTCTCCTCTCGACCGAGCCTCCTAATATGAATGACCTTCTTGCTTGTCCAGAAAGTATCCTACTTGACGATGTGGCTGCAATTTACAGCTCTCGAAGAGTTGAAGAGGACAAGAGCCTCAGTGAAGTCAAGTGCTCGAGGGAAATGCTTTTGATTTTGATGAGTTGGATCTGGTCGAACAAGGAATAATACTCGGGCTATTCTAGATGAAGTTGAGGTGGTCAATCATAATGGAGAAGGATGATGGAGGCAACATAATACTGATAGGCTTATCCATTAGGAATGTCGTACTATACTTTTGCCGATTCGGATCCGCCGGATACAACCGGCAGAAGCCTGCAGGCAGAACCCAAGTATCATTTTGCCCCGTACAGTCTACTACTTTACACGTCTTTCTCTGCTGGCCGTAACCACCGAAGTTTGGAATAGCAGACTCTCAGAGCCCAGGCTGGCGCTGACCGTCACCAAGAGTACCATCATCTATTTCTGAAGAAGTTCTATGCCACTCTCGTTCTGGTACTTCCGTAACTTCTACTAGGACTTCCAATAAAGTTGCACAGTTGTCTAGGCGTATGCCCGACCTTACGCCGTAGCGGCGCTACAACTAGTGATGGCGCCGCGCCGCAACGATTCGCAACGTTTAGCCGTCAAAGGTATGTAACACCACAAAAGTATCTCAATGCGGATGAGATAAAAGCTCTATATAGTGCGCCTGCCAAGCTTTTCAGATGAATAGCCTATATTGCAAATGTCCGAGGTGAAAGGACGGATTTTGGCTAAAGGGATCTTGTAAGTACTACCAGAATTGTGATAGGGCAGGTTCGGTATACTGATCCAAGTAACAAATGACTATCATAAGGGAAGACGAGTAACGGTATTCAAATAGAACAAATGTCATGGACCCAACTTCAGTGATTCAGATTCACCTTCGAAATGCTCCGTAACAGCAAAAGGCTCACTAGGAAAGTAACAATACCGTAGTTCGCGGCTACTACAAGATTGCGCTGTAGGAGTTTGAGATATGATCATGCGTTTGAGATATGTCCTTTATTCTCAATTGCAAGTGATGCTACAGGCTGCTACATCCAATTGGAAAGAAGCGCTGTGCTACAATCACTTTTGCTTGGCAGGTTTCCTGATGAACGTTCGACCGGAAGACCTGAAAGATTCGCAGGCAATAATGCTGGCATTGCGAAGTTCATTTTGATGACGTTGTTCAATTGTTCGGTTAAACCCCGCGTGCCAGGAGTATAAAGCTGGTATGTGTATGCCTAACGCCCGTTTCCATTTCTTTGCACCTCACCAAAAGTTCAAGCACTATGAAAGTCACCGCAGCTTCTGCATCTCTTTTGGTCGTGGCTGCCCTATCTGAGCTCTGCGTAGCCGTACCTGCCAAACGTGGTGACAGCGGTGCCCCAACAGGTGAGTTTGTTTATTGCCCCATTTTCAGTGATCTCATGTTCTCGTATTTAGACATTCAGATTCTGAATTTCGCACTCACGCTTGAACACCTTGAAAATGCCTTTTACACGCAAGGCTTGCAGAAGTACACCCAACAGGACTTCCTCGATGCAGACCTGCCAGCTTGGGCGCGTGGACGATGGAACGAAATCGCACAACATGAGTCGACCCACGTGTCGTTCCTCGAGAGCGTAATTGGCGATCAGGCAGTACAACCGTGCACCTACAGCTTGTGAGTACAGATTGCATAAGAAAGTAATTTATACGTTACTGGTAACTGAATGGGCTGTCATTGTGTAAAGCCCTGATACGGACCCAATGTCTTTCGTAACGACAAGTTTCATGTTGGAGACAGTCGGCGTATCAGCATATTCTGGAGCGGCGCAGTTCTTGGCGAATTCGGTAAGTTGTAGACAAGCCTCATGGTTTGATCGTGATTGTATGCTTATTTCATCATGGCTGCAGGATTATATTACGTCTTCGGGTGCCATCCTAGCTGTTGAAGCAAGACAATCAGCCTGGATTAACTCAGCGGTTTTGAAAGCTAACCCGTGGAACACTGCATTTGACGTATGTCAACATGTTCATTGTTGCCGATCGCCACTCAAATATATCTGTTTAGACCCCACTGGACCTCGATCACGTGTGGACCCTTGCATCAGGCGTCATCGTGTCATGCCCTTCCTCTAACATGCCACTGCCTGTGAAAGCGTTCCCCGCATTATCCTTCCCTGCCGATGCTCAGCCAGGCAAGACCGTCACAGTCTCTTTTAACGCAACAACGACCTCTGAACAACTCTATGTCGCGTTCATTGCTGGCCTCGGAGCTACTTTTGTGCCACTGAGTTCTCAAATGACAGTCGAGATTCCATCGACTTTACAGGGCGTCGTGTTCCCCGTGGTCACTTCCAGTGATACGACGGTGACTGACAACGTCACGATTGCTGGACCCGCCTTTTTGACTTTCCACTTCAACTCTGATGGCGAGGACGAACAGTGAAATGTTCCTTGTACTTTTGTTACTGTATGTGTCATTTTGTTCTTTCGTTTTGGTTCGTGTCTAGTATTTTATTGGAAAAGTATGTTTACTCGCCAGAACATTCCCTGTGGGCTGTTGTACGTAACTATATGTACGGACACATTGCGGACACCTGTTATTTTGTTGTCTTGATGATCTCGTTAGAGCGTTCTGTGCAATAGATTTGGAATCATGTTCCGCATGAGAAATACCCTTCAACCGACTTGCTGTGTACCACCCTGTCCGCTCATCTGAGACGCTTCCAATTTTCACTAGCTTTTCTTGGGATCCAATATACTACAGTGTACGAAGCACTTTTCCGACCTCTCGGATTAGCCCGAACTCAAAAATGTATCTAGTCCTCGAAATTTGACTGCTTTGTACCGTAGAGTAGCGCAAATGCATTCTTTTGACTTGTAGATTAAGGCTACCTCGTTCGAATATTGAAAATCGAAGGGTTGAAAAAATTTCCGACGAAATTTGAAACATGTTGCAAGAAATGGTATTTATGGGTAACTGAGCAGGTATACAAGCAAGCAGATGGTAAATACAATCTACAGAAGCCCTCTGCTTGCAGTTTCGGCATCCAGTGAGGCCAAAATCTCTGTCATGAGCCCAACACGACGGTGGGAACGGTACTTCTTAACTGCGAAGGCTGCTTGGTGAGCATCGAGTCCTTTCCTGTTCAAACTTCAGCGCTGCCACATGACCACTCGAAAGCATCGATAAACGTACCGGTAGGCATCCATATAACGCCAAGCTTTGCGGAAAAAACGGCGAATAGTCAAAACATCACACATGTCGAGACATTGCGGAACCAGTGTTTTTGCCGTCGAGAATTTCCCATCAGTGACATTTCGATAGCCTGTACCACGCGGGAATATCAATGAGTCAAAATCACGACAGTAAACCGAGAAAAAACTGACGGTACTATATTTCATCTGCCTCAACCTCGCTCTCCCCACTAAAGCCAGGCTCATACTCTGAGTCTGACCCCTGTTCTGGTTGAGGTGATGGCAAAGAGCTGAATTTACGACAGTCGGCTCGTTGCTTCTTTGCTTGAGCAGCTTTCTTTGTCACAGGAGGCATATGGTAATATGAACAGGGTTTCGGGGAGATGAACAGGGTATATGGAGCATGGGGTAAATTTTTTCCGACGGAAAAATTTGAAACAAAATGGGAAATTTCGAAAAATTGCTTATTTTTGCTTGTTTCCTTGTAGAATTTTCATTGAGCAAAAAAATTCGTACAATTAAGCTCCCTATAGAGACGGCACTCTAGTGCTTCGTACACTGTAGTAGTGGGTATAACTTCCTCATTTCACAAGCATCAGGCAACGGAGACGCTGAGGATCAGCACACCCACGACGATGAGCACCTCCCCCGCAAACTGACGCCGTAGGACCCATCGAGTAACTTGCAGCTTCCTGGAATCTATCACTCGTCTAAATGCGAAACAGGGAGAAAATAAATGTTGAACCTTTGGCGGAGCTGCCATCAAGGATGTATGCGTTTCTGCCCTGATGAGCGTCTGCGTCACTCCTTATTGCAGCTCGCATGCTGAACCTTCACAGCCGTCGGGACCTCAGGTACTAGAAGGTACATCCTCCAAATCACACCTGAACAGGCATCGATCATATCACTCGATTCTGCTACAGAGCGGCAGTACTGGCGGGACGTGATGAGAAGCGCGTGTAAATAATGTTCCATTTGTCATTTGTCATACACACCATGTTCTTTTTGCCCTTGTGAATGATGGAAAGAAGTATGTGCAAATTGCTTTGAAATCATCTGATCTCGAGCAGCTTATCGGAGATGTGGATTGGTTTGTCAGAAAATTGGAGTGGGACGCAACAGGAGATGGGACAGGAGATGCAAGATTTAAAGCAGGTAGAGGGTATCATCGTTGCTGCGAAGGAGTGAAGGACTGCAACCAGCAACATGCTGGAGAGCTTTGGTCAATGATTATTAATATTGAGAACGTCCGGGAAATGGACATTGGGGGTAACTAGTGTGGGGCTGTGGTACAGTGGAAGTACAGTTAGAGCAATACATGAAAGGTCCTGCAGTTCTGGGTGGTGGCTCAGATCGAGACGGGGCCTCGACATCCATGAAGCAGGTTGCAGAAGGTCGCGGTCGTGGTCGTGGTGGCTAACAACGTTGAGGCTAATGTTTAGCTGGAGAGCGCACCAAGGCGCGCCGCCACGGGCGGGATCATGAGAACTTGAGAAGAAGGTTTATAAATGGAACTCCGACCGAATTGAGCCGAGCGGCTGACCCGTCCCCAGGGCCTGACCTCAGAGTGTCCATTAGCCTTGTTAATATTAGTCCCCTGATCATGATGCTCCTTCTTCAATAGGCATGCTCTACCTTGCTCAAATTCACTCTCTCCTGGCAGGTGCATAAGTGACCATCATCTTTACGATACGATCAACCCACCGACTCGAAGCCAGAGAGTATTGGGAGGCTGACAATGAGTTGGCTTGATCCAAATTTCGCTGTCTGACGGATTGCTATAACCAAGAGGCTGACTGACATGGGCTGACATGCCTACACATATAACATATTCCTCAGGCATTCTTCGTGAGTCGATTCTCTTTTCTGCTTTGGATGATACCCACATTTATCAGCAATACCCTACGATATACCCTTGTATTATTAAACTTTCACAATGAAGGCCATTTTTACGTCTCTCGCCCTCGTCATCCTTTCCTCTTCCGTTCTCTCCCTTCCCTCAGAGCGGCGCGACGACGATAGCGCGCTGACAGGTGACATGATTTTCTTTCTCGAAGCTTCAAACTGACAAACACCACAACAGAGATCCAAGCTCTCAATTTTGCCCTCTCTCTCGAGCATCTCCAAAACTACTTTTACAAACGACTGTACCAATATGAGCCGCAGGACTTCTCCAACGCTGGTCTGCCGCCCTGGTCACACGGGAGATACGCACAGATATCCTCCCATGAGCTTACGCATGCTCAGTTTCTTGAGAACATCCTGGGTGACAACGCTGTTCAGCCATGCACATACAATTTGTCAGCTCGTTTCTTGTTTGTTTTTACGTGCGGCCTGAATGAACTCTCCATCAGCCCCGACACTGATCCCAGATCATTTGTGAAGACCAGCAACATTGTAGAAGCAATAGCATCCTCTACGTATACAACTCTTGCGAAGTATCTCTCCGATCCTGTACTTCAGTTTTCACTGCTCTGTATTGGACTCCAACTCAAAAGCATTTTAGGAGTATGTCATTTCCATCAGCTCCATTCACTCTGTGGAAGCGAAACACTCAGCGTGGATCAACGCAGACATGCGTGAAGGTGCCGCTTGGAGCACGGCATTTGATGTACGTGGCATCTCATTCCTTAACATATATTCCGAGACAAACGATCAACAGGCGCCACTGAGTCTCAGTCAACTATACACCATCATGAGTGACTTCATCACATCCTGCCCATCTTCCAATTCGCTGCCGCCTATCAAAATATTCCCTGCACTCACATTCCCCTCCAGTGTTATCCCAGGGCAGACTGTACAAGTGTCGTTTTCGCCCTCAGCTCCGGAACGTGATTCACAGACGTTGTACGCCTGGTTCATTTCGGGGTTCGAAGCGCTCGTTATTCCTCTCAACGCTGACATGACGGTCACCATCCCGGACACGCTGCAGGGTTTTGTGTTCTCGGTAATCACGAATAGCAAGGAGAGCGTGTCTGACGATGCTACAGTCGCTGGGCCGGCATTCTTAGTCTTCGATTATGACTACCAAGGAAACAATCAGTCACTACCCATGTGAAGGAATCAATGATTTCTCAAGTGTGTCTGAGTGGTTAAACTACATTCTATCGACTTGTACATTTATTGCTGAAAACTACTTCGGTATTCCCCACCGTTAGTATCGGAATGCTGCAGCTCCGGATTCTCCGCCCACTGCAGCGATAAGGTTTGCTGCCACCGATTCAGTCATGGCGCCAATGTCAGAAGCGACATTGATCTACATGGCGCAAAAATGAGTGAGCTACAAACGCTGACTTTCAGTCAAATGATCTCACTATGTCGAAGCCTTCCTCAACACGTTTCAGGGACTGCTTTCCCGAGGTGCAATAAATTGCGCTGGATCATGAATGGATCAGTGACAATTAAGTAGCAGGAGATTCAGCACACATGCTTACCATTTCTTTCCTTCCTTGTGTGCAACTTTGAGGATATCTTGGATGACAATTTCCACGTCAGGGTGTGGGTCGGGAGAGGGGGGAGGGTATCCCAAGCACAGGGAAAGGTCCCAAGGACCGATGAATAAGCAATCTACGATAAAAGATCGTATTAGCGATATACGCAGTTACTAACTTATATCCAACTCACCAATACCGTCCACAGCGGCGATGGTATCAACATTTTGCACGCCCTCCTTCGTTTCAATTTGTATCATAATAACTACATTTTCATTGGCAGATTTGATGTACTCTGCGGCATTAATGCTCCAGACGCCATGAGTGAATGGACTTCCAAAGCCGCGACGGCCTCCCGGAGGGAATCGACTGTCGGCTACGATCTCTCTCGCCTTCTCAGCAGTGGAGACCTACATACAGTTCGGCACGGGGTCCAATCACGCTCTCTATTCTTCCGAGACCACTCACCATAGGAACAAGCACGCCGCGTGCGCCTGCATCAAGCGCGTATTTGATTTGCCACGACGTACTATTGCTGAATCCCGTGGCTGGGATTCTCACGAGTGGACTCGGCGCGTTAGGTCCAAGACCGGTAATAGCCTGGATAGATTCTGCAGCGCCGGGCTGGAGCGATGTGAGACCGTGTTCGCAGTCTATCATTACCCATGAGAGGTGTGGGCTGGCTTGTGCGACCGCACGTGCGTTCAACACGCCTGGTAAAGTGATCCATGCGCCGAATGCGGGCTTGGAGGCCTTGAATGCTTGCAGGAGTGCGTGGCTGGTCATGGCTGGGTCAGACAGGCTGGAAATTGAGCGCACTTGAGTCTGGAGATAAGTTGGTTATATAAAGAGGGTCACGATTAAAGTCATGAGGTATTTTGCGGACCGACTCGAGCCGCCAACGCCTTTTGTATTGAACCTGAACGTGTCAGATTTTGACCTCATCATGCTAGATAAGCCTAGATTTATGTAAAGTTCGCGTCATTCAATTTGAGAACTGCGGCTGGGGGTGTTCAAACAGTCGTGTGAGTTGACTTCACGAGTGTATGTTGTACACTACCTGTCGAAGTGCAGTACCATCACTTAGATGAAGAAACATACGACGATCCCAAATTCAATAGTGGAATCGACGATTAATGTTTATGGAAGATGCGGAGTTAAGAAGTGGTGTGCGTCTGGTGGGTCTTCGAGCCTAGCAAGCTTCTGCTCTAGAACGAAATCATCACATTCGACTGGTGATAAAAGAAGCTATAATTATGCGTGCTCAGCGGCAGTTGCAGGTTGTATGGGAGTAAAAGTATTGCGAGGGCGCCATTCACGCTCTGTTGTCCAGTATCGTATCCACCTCCACTCCTTTCCTGTCTTTTTATGTACCTTCTCGATCGTCTTGAGGGCGTCCGACAACCAAATATTAGGCTTCTCTGTATATCTTGCCCTGATCGTGCTTTCCTGTGGAGCTTTGACGGGAGGTTTGTCTTGAACTCGGTTCTGAAGCTCCTCATACAACGCCTTGCCCACGACACGTGCATTTGAAGAGTTATCTTTGAGACATGCGACATAGAGCATGGCACAAGCAGCGAGGTCAGATGAAACAGGTGGGAGCTTGTAGACACCGAATAGAGCAGCGACAGTCATAGAGTCCGAAAGCGGGCGCTTGTCGTAGACGGAGTGCAGCATATGTCGCGCGGCGAAGAGAGAGCTCAAACCCAGACCGTATTTCGAATGATCTCCGAAAACCTTAAGTGCGAGTGTCGGGCACTTCAGCTCCTCACAGCGACCTTGGTTTATTTCAGCAGAGAACAAGGGAGCGATAAGACACTGGACTCACGAATGAAATCTTCTGCGTGTATGGAACGGAACTCCTTGCCTGAGTCTCTCCACCGCGGAAACATCTCTGCCACCATTTCCAGTTGTTCTGAAGAATTCGCGAGCTGGAACAACCGAAGCCATGCGCTTTGGCGAACTTGGCCGGCCTTGACAGCACGTTTGCGTCCCGTGCGGTTGGTCACGTACTGCACGAGTTCGTTGAACTGTTGTTCCCGACGCGCAGCGGCGTCCTGAAGTTTAGCTTTTGGGACGGTAGTAGACTTAGAGGAATCAGATACTAAAGTTTCAGATGGAGTCGCAGACGAGAAGAGGTCGTCATCTCTGGCCTGTTGAACTGCATAAAATTTGTTGAGCACTTGATGATGCTCTGCTGCTGTGTTCCTCACCTACAGCTGTCAGATAAAAATTTCTGCGACACACTGATCGATTGGCGGTGCTTGCTAACCGAAAGAGGGCCTGCGGTCGGGAACCTAAGGAGAAGAGGCTGGCCATCCTACGTGAGCATCGTTCACAGCTTTGCGGCAAAAACATGAAACTGAGTTTCTTGTCAAATATTGCCAAACAAAGGTTGAATATTATTATTATTCGTCGTCGATATTTGATAATTAAATATTAGTTGTTGTGACTAAATCAACAGGACCAAATACTGTACACTTTGTGAGGTGTCGTTCGTGTTGTGTTGTACTTACCCTGGTGGCCAGGAAGAAGTGACGCATCACTTTCATGTCTTCAAATGATTGCGCCTCCCATTTTTATTCATCTACTTCAATTATCACGACACGCTCCGTATTGGTTCCAGCCTGAGACTCTTACCCTTCTTTCCAAGAAAGATCCAATCCGACCATTCTAATCAGACGAGACCTGTTGTGACATAAATTTGATGTGAATTCGACTCCGACGGTTCGAAAATGATCAAATTCTGTTCAACTCGAAACTTAGAACTGAATTCGAAGGGTTCTTGTCACAATCTAGGATCATTTGAGGGTCCAAGTTTACCGCTCATGTACGGCTTCGAATTGCCTGCAGGTGTCGATTTTGGGTATACCATTTACGCCTCGACCTGTTTGGAAATCCGGACAGAGCGCTGGCTCGACAATATGATAACGACAACCTCGTTGCAGAGTTGCTTCAAGAAGTTGAGGCACTCCTTTGCACCATTGACATAGCTTAAGTCCAAGTTCCCCAGCTGCTTTTCATACAACCACTTCATCACAAGTTCATCTCGTTCAACAGAACATGCTGGACTTACTCTCCAAAGATCGAATAGTCAACAAGGCAGGCCTCAGAGCCGCCTTGCATCACTTGGACGCAATTTCAAGTTCAGGAGCAACCGCATTACAAGCTACGGTTGAACATATGTCGTCATCACCTCATATCTTTGCATACATAATTTCTGGTATCTCACACTTTCTTCGAGTGTTATCAGCTCTAACTCTGTATCGAACAGTTTGGGATCGCCGCGAGGCAATGATCTCACAGATCATGACAGACTTTCCAATGAAATCTCAAGAATATCCAGCATCCATTGCGAGAAAGATGCTAGACAATCTGTCTATGTACTTTTTAGCTTTGCAAGCCGAGTCTCTAGCAACGGATGTCTCAAGGGACATCGGTCGCCACAGAGCCTTCATCGAGGGCGCTTTACCTGTACTTTGCGCACTGGACACTATGAAATTTGCTGGTGCAGGGTTTGATGATAGATTTGTCAAGAAGAAAGTGCCTCAGAAAATGCGCAAGAGTAATCGCCTGAAAACTCATACGGCTATCGACACGTCGCTCTTCGTGAGGCTTGGTATGGCTGTGCCTCTCACGAGCGAGGCTGCTGCGTCATTGTCTACTCACATTCTTGCGGAGCTGAAAAATGCTCTCTCTGTGCGTATATTCGCTACTTTTTGACGTTTCCCCTGACAGCTCCCCGTAAGTTCTACTTCTCGCTTCTGCGGAGGACGGAATTGGCAGGCGACATCAAAGCCTTACTCTTCCCAAACGTGGGAGAGTCTGCCACAGATGTTGCGCCTGAAGTTTTGTCAACCGAGGATGCCGAGAGCCCAACAAACCCCAATGCGTACCAAATGGTGCAGCCTATTAAGGCTGCACTTTATTTTGACAACGCGGACGGGTTTGGAGAGTGGCAAGTCCTCATATCTACGGAGGCCTACAGAATATTGCGTGAATTCCGTAGAGCAGATGTAAAGATCTTCAAGATCATCGTTAAGAAGATCAAGTCTGTCTTCTGACGAACTTCGCTGTAATGTTTGGTCTCATCGTTGCCACAGACAACTATCGAATGGCCATCTCTCCGATGATAATCACAAGCAGCTTGACGAGCCAGATGCAGGCATACCTATCTACGATGCCAAGATAACAAGTGACTTACGATTAGTGGTATGTAATTTCACATACGTCGCTCAGAGCAGGAGACGACTGACATTTCATTACAGTACCAGATCGATTGTATCCCTGGCCAGGATGGACAGGTAGGCCGCTCTTACACCAATATCGAACATGATACTGAGACTGGAGTCTTGACAGTCCGAAAGACAAGGTGAGCTATCGAGAGTAATTATATCCGTCTACCATTAACACTCATATGAACTCCAGTAATTAAGGTATACGGCATTTATACGCATGCTCAGCTCGGCAGAATATGGGATGCCTTGGGTAGCTATCTCGCACGCAAGGGCAGAGAATATCGTAGAAGGTGAGACCATTTTCCACCTCTTGATGCAATTCAGTGAATCGTTGCTCGGGCAGGTGTATCTTTCGGAATCAACCAGTTCTTTCTAATGACAGCGTGATTCTGCCTGCATCATTCCCACCAGCTGAACCTGAGTCAGAATGCTCAGGAAGCCCACTCGATCTTAGTGATAAGGACATGGATCACGTTGAGTATTTTCAGTTGTCTTTGTGCGGTCATTGATCCAGGACATAGCTTCACTCTTTACTTGTGTACGAGTTCTCGCCATCCTTATGCAATTTGGTTCCCATCTAACGATTTTCTAGTTTGGAGAAATATGTCACATTCTCGCAAGTAAGCTTATAAATGCGCTTTATAGGCATCGGATATTGACTTAATAACCTCTTGTCCTTGTCTTAGGCGTTCCTGCGTAGTGAGTGATTATGTAGTTGGCTCGCCACCTCTTCTCACCTTTGCAAAAGGTCTCATCGCAAACCAAGACGTGCAGCACGTCTTCATACTCACGTAACTTCTGCCCCATTGAGACAAATTTATTTATCGATCAATATTGATTCAGACCTCAAGAACAAAAGATTGTCGAGTGTACCACGTCATGTTATGTCTTGGGTCGCAGCGGCACGGGGTAAGTGTCCTGCGCTTGCTATGAGCAGCTTATTTATCGCACTCGACTAGAAAAAGTACGACGATACTGTTTAAGATTCTTAGCATTCAGCGAGCTTGGGAGATGAGTGCCATTGACATACCGAAGCCACGCCAAATCTTCGTCACCAAATACAGAATGCTCGCTATGAAAATGGAAAAGTATTTCACGAAGCTTCTTGAATCTCTGGCGCTAGCAGGCTATACCCTGGAGGAACTTGCAAAAATGAAGGCACATAGTGTTCAAGAGAGCCTTGTTGATCTCGACGACCTGCCCAATTCACAGATACCCATGAAATACAGCGAACTTGAGGATAAGCACTTTCCTCTTTTTGTAACTTTTGATCAAGTACGTCAATCTGTTATCCGGACAGTTCCCAAGCTAATCGTTCTTGTAGCTGGCGAAGATGGTCGTGGCAGATATCTTGAGCGAGGACGTCCTCAAAACGAGCGAAGGCGTAAGACTGGGACTTTTCTTCAATGTTGGCGATGCTGAGGTACACGACTGTTTCGTCACCTATGACGTATTCGCAAATCAATACTGGCCTCATTTTCCGCGGAATCTCACGAAGAATCTTAGTAGTGTCCTTTTCTCTTGTGATGACAATGAAGTACTGACACTATTCCATCAGACCCGTGGTTGGTTTTCAGCGAATTGATGGGTGAGTACTGATTTGTATCGTCTTGACACTGGCAGTTCCCGAATATACCTACAGGAATCATTAAAGGCTCCGAACACGCACTGACCTGTCTTGAAGGATTTCTCGATCGTTCAAACTACCTCCATCTTTCTCACCGTTCTTATCCAAATTTTGCGAATCAGAGGGGAATTCTGTATGACGTCTTCGAGTATTACACGAAAATTAAGAGGCAGCGACGTCATCATGATGTTGCAGACCGGTACGACCTATTTCCCCTTCTCACCCATGTAATATTACAATATATGCCCAAACAGTACGCATGCGATACTTAAGGTCTTGCAAAGCCAGAGGTTCCCTGGCCAACAGATTGATTATCTGTACGTGTTATTCCCACCAAGGCGTCTTGCCCCTGACCACCTGCACTAGGTATGTCGACGACGCACAAGACATCCTTCTGATCGATGCTTTCTGTAAGTATCTACTCCATCCTTCGTTGACAGAAATCACTAGAAAACTTTCTGTTGTAGTTTTGAGGCAATTTTGCAGGAATCCAGACGGCTTGTTCTGGGCTGGTGACACCGCACAGACAATCTCTGCGGGGAGCTCCTTCAGGTTCGATTATCTGAAAACGTTTCTCTACAGTGCGGAGGTCAGCAGACAGTAACTTAGCTCGGGCCTGAATTGATATCTGAGAGCAGCAGAAAAATACCTCGATCAATTCCACTGGAGCATGCCTTCATCAGCCTACGACGTTTCAACTGACGGTCAACTACAGATCGCAAGGTGGCATAGTGCACTGCGCGCATTCTGTGATCGAACTCATCACAAAATTTTGGCCCAATACAATCGATATCCTTCAGCCAGAAAAAGGTTTGGTTGTTGGGCCTAAGCCTATCTTTTTTACCGGTTGGGGCAATGACACCATTCGTTATGAACAGTTCTTGTTCGGGGCGAGGTAAGTAGGCTTGGGCAATGTCCATCCTGTCCTACTGAAGATTCTTCCAGCGGTAGTCACATTGAGTTCGGAGCTCAGCAATGTAAAGCAATTGATTGGAGGTTTCATTCATACACTGATAAGGTAGGTATCTAGGCATTCTCGTGCGTGACGATGCAGCACGTCAGAAGTTACGAGACCAAGTTGGTGAAATTGGACTGATTCTGTGAGTTGTATTATTTGCTCTGGCTTCATGTTCACATATGTATACAGGACACTTCACGAGAGCAAAGGACTGCAATTCAATGATGTGAGAAAGTTAAGTTGGCTATTTGATAGATATCTGACTTTGGTCAGGTGCTGTTGTACAACTTTTTCGAGGATTCTGTTATAGATTTGTCACAATGGCGCATAGTTCTCAATGGAGTAGAAGGTCAAGGACATGCACCGAACTTCGATCGTGACGAGGCGCGATACGCTGGGGTTTGTAGCGAGGTAGGCACACCGATCCTTGAAATAAACGTTAGTTTACTTTTATTAGCTCAAACTTCTTTACATGGGAATCACTCGAGCAAGGAAGAACGTGTGGATCGTTGACAAATCTCGTAAATCAGACCCGATGCGCGTACGTTTAGAGCAGCGTGTTGGCTTAACTCCATCTGATAACTCTTTTCTTTCAGATATTCTGGACTTCTCGCAATCAGGTCCAGAATTGTACCCCCGGCACCGATGTCCCTCATCTAGCCGTCTCCTCGACTCCAGAAGAATGGGCATCCTTCGGGCGCTCACTATTCTCGCACAAGCGCTACTCGCAGGCTATCCGCTGCTTCGAACGTGCTAACCTTCCTCGTGAAGTGAAGATATGTGAAGCATATCAATTGCGAGAAGTTGCACGTTCTAGTGTCGGAGTGACCTTACTCGACGACCAAACAAGAGCTTTCAACGTGGCTGCCGATGCCTTTACTGATTGTGGGGCGACCACGACAGAAATTCAGAAGCTCCAGTATTATCGTAACTCGGCGGATTGCTACGTTCAAGCAGGAGATGATCATAAAGCTGCTGAGGCCTATCTTAATGCTCAAGAGTTCGAGCAAGCAGTGAAGAGATACCACAAGGCTGGACGGTTTGACAAGACCCTCCATGTCCTTCATGACCATGGCATGAATATACCTGAAGAGACCGCGACGGAGTTATGGACTGTGTGCAGACTGTTTTACTGCAGCAGGAACAACACTCGGTAAGTTCTAGACTCCTGGCAATGCTCTTATTCGATAACAATTGCGCAGGGCTCCCTTGCCTCTCTTCTCAACATTTGATGAAGAACTCGAATTTCTGGAGGACTATGACCTCGATTACGCTCGTGCCTCACTGCTTGAATCTCACTCAAGGTACTATGAGGCCGCAGAGCTCCATTTGTCAGAGAATAGGCCCTTGGAAGCCGTCCAGGCATTCATCAAGGACGACAGCAACGTCGATTCTACTATTCGTGCGGCCGATACTATACTGGAATACTTCTGGTGCAAATGCTCCTTTAGAATCACTGCAGAATCTGTTTCTGATGAGACAATGCGGCATTTCATCGCTCTCTCTAATCAGCTCGAGACGAACAAACTAATGCCGGCTACGCGTGATCAAGTACGTATTAGCAGTCTCAAAGTGACCAGCTGGACTAATCCACATCCACTGGCAGATATCGATGTTTCAAAACATCTTGCGCGGAAATCATGAGCCGTTGAGAAATCTTGCGCTTGACTTCCATGAACATGATAACCAGCCAGCAGCTCTCCTTTGCCTGGACCATATATTCTCTCGAACCACAGACATTCGAACTTTCGCGGTCGATGAAATGCAGCGATTCCTTCAACAATTTCACGCCTATGCACGACTGCTCTACATGGTTTTGACCATCCCTGACCCCATGGAGTATAGGGGTATTCAGAAACTGTTTCCTATCGTGCGGTTGTCCGGTGACGAGTTTTTCATACCAGTTGGAACGTTCCTCCACAAGTATGTGACAGAAATCCGCCGGGGAATCACTTCGGTATCAAAACATCCTTCTGGATATACAGCTTTTCGTAGAGAAGTCACCCAGCTGCTACAACAATCCTTTCGAACAATCTTGAAAGACAAAGTGTCAGAGATCGATGCTATGTGTTGCAAATCTCCCATTTTCTCACAATGCCTGCAATTCTTAATATCTGGCGTATGTCTAAAAGGTAACTGTCGCCAAGAGCATGTCGCAGTATCGAAATCAGACCGCCGGTGTTACAATAACCGTGTTGCCATCCACATCTGGCAGATTCTGATCTTGCAATTCATGTATTCTGCTCATCCAGAAATTGACCGACGCGATAGGTGCGCCTGGAGGTAGCTTATGATTGAGTACTCATACTGATCACTCTATCAGAATGAAGGACTGTCTCGATCATCTTTACGAGGCTATCAATCCACCTTTCTTCATCCAAGGTTCCTCCGCGGACCTTGACATGGACCTGATGCCTCTTCGTCTAAACGGTGTGAAAGTGGTGAAGCTCTGGATCCGGGAATTTTTCTACTCGCTCGACCTATTCGATACTCAGGCTGAATTTTTAACGACGTTGATGAGGATGATCAGTCTAAGTTTCGCTTTTGACGGGGACAACGCACCTGCCTACATATCTCGAGCAAAGTGTACGTTCTCCGGACCATTCGAATTTTTCCGCAAGGGCGACGATCGCTATATGATTCATGACCTGCTTGATTCTTACCAAGGAACTACCTGCAGCAGCATCTTGTCGGGAATCATGTATCTTCTGTAAGCGTTCTTCTTGCCTCTACGTGCAATACACTAAGTGTAATTCAGGCATGTACTTGACAATCGTTTATACGTCAACCTCTCTGTGCTGTGCGACTGTATCGAGGATATCTGCAGTACTTTTGTAATAAAGTATCGAATGGACCCAGAATTCAACCAGCTTCCCCTCCATGACGTCGTCCTTCCATGCCACTGGCTGCTGTTTCCCCACAAATTTACTGCGGAGAAAGAAAATAATAAGCTGCCTTTGATGGACAAGCTTTTGGATGAGATGGCGTGGCTGGTCGAAGCACTGCGTGTAGGAGCCGGCATAGGTGAGTTTCTCGAATTTTCAGAGATCCGAGGCTAAAATTAGGTAGATTTCCTCTGGCTGAACCATACGAGAATTACGCCCATTCTCCGTAGTGTTTTCATTTCCCGGATGTGAGTTCAGTTTAGTATCTGTTCGTCAGCGAAGCGCATACTAATCACGTGTATTGCAGCTGCAGGGTTCTTTGCCTTAGTACGTTTACGGTCTCTTTCAATTCCAATTGGCTGCTGAATTGTGTTCATCAGTTGCTCATAACATTAGTAATCGCCCGACCAGAGACAAAGTAGATGAGATCATTCTTTCTCTGCACACAAACAACCCTCCTTCGAATTGGCATCCAGCTAGCTATCGGAATCTCGTGGATGACGTGGTTAGGTACAAGTACATGACACCTTTGCCAGGACGGGCGCCACCCTCAGACAGTTACCTGCGAGCTCTCTTGGATTTCGATGACAACCAAGGAGTGAACAACCTGGTACATCTTGTCCACAAAACGATGAACCAGCATACCCGAGCCTATACGGTCCGACTCGTATACGAGAAGATCATCGAGATCCCCAATCTCCTTTTATCGTACGCAGTGATCGCACAGTCTACTCTGAGTGTAAAGATCCTAGCCTTTGTAGGATATCCCAAGGACTGACCAGAGATTATGCAGCACGATAAGAAAGAGATAGCGGAACCGCAACCTCAAGAGTTCGAAGGAGAAGAAGAAAGGGATGAAGATATCACGGCGAATGCTGGTGATGCATTGAAGACTTTGGATAGGCGGCACCTGATCTTGATGAGTTGCTCGCTCCAACGGACCACAGTGGAGGAAGAAGAGGCGGCTTGCAAGATTCAGAACGCATACCGCCGTTATGTCAGACGTCGCTCAAGTCGTGCAGTTAATGCCGAAATTGATGCGATATTCATGACATGCCTGAAGGAGACGCAGTCCTCGGAATGGCGTCCAGGCTATTACAGCCTCATTTTCCTTGGGCCATTGCCTCACCTTCTGGCTTGCCTGGAACGAGGCATTGTTCTGACTCACGCTGCCAAAGCGAAGACGAAAGGCCTTTTCAACATGAAGTCTCATGAAGAGCTTAAGGAGTTGGGCAAGCAGAGATTTGAGATAGCGTACGTCCTCATTTACTCGGCAACATACGATAACCAACATCGTCATGTTTACAGAGCGCTCTTAAGGACTGGATTGAGATTGCGCAAGCAGCTAGAACCTTCCTCGCCCGCTCATCGTGCCCGCGACATCGAAGCACTCAAATCTGGGGTCCTAGAGGTCAAGGAATTCCTGCAGAGGGTTCCCGGCAATACGCGAGATATGCAATCCGACTTTCAAATGGCCTATAAGGGCATTGTTGCAAAGAAGGTTCGTGCGGGGAAGCAGAAAGAGAGACCCGCTCTCAATGTCTAGGATATCGACGACTATTGTTTTGATTAGGTCGTGGAGAGTCGAGACCGCCATTTTGTTGGTGTATCATGCTATGACATATTGTATGCCCGTGAATTGATGCCTTTGCGCGCGAGAAAACTAACGTTGACGAAAGTGATTACACTTACTATACTGCCAATAAGCCAGTCTGTGATCATGTACCACTCGTACCACACTGCGGCCCCTCGCGCTTGCCATCTTGAAGGTCAGCTCACTGCACGCCGATCACTAGCAGCCTAACGCAACAGCGACCGTGCCACGAGAATCCTTTCTGTGACGGACGAGACAGGTAAGGACTTCGAAAGACAGTCACTTACAGAGCTATGTGATCTAATCAGAAGGAGGGATGTATCCTTGGCTTGTGCAGAACACTTCACTAAAGAAACGACGCCATGATATTGCAAGCACAGGAAGCTGCAAAGGTGGCCGATGATAACTTGTTTTTAAAGTTTTGGATCATTCGGAAATTGCCGTTATTTGTCCGTGTGGATAATAGAACTTTATATCTTTGATTTTAATTCTTTTCCTACCCAGCCTGGGCCAGCCATGCGCAGCTGGCAACGCTCCTACTAGTGCCCGGAAAGCCATCAAATCTTATGAGTCGAACTGGGTTTACGGTCGAATGCGGAGAAAGCGTGGACCCGCCCTTACAGATGAACGATTCAAGCCAGCGATATCTTGTCTCGGACTGATTCCAGCTCTCTTATCTCTTGAACACTTTTCGATCGTCAATATCTTCAGGAAACCGACTCAATCGTCTCGATAACAGGTGTTCGTCCTTTCATACTATGGTTTCGTGATGCACAGATATCCCCTTGATCGGATCACTGATTTGCCTCTAAAATTAGTCCCTCTGTACGGGTCAGGCTTCAGCGAGCTCCAGCCCGCGCACGGAGAAGGCGAACAGCATTGTAGATCGAAATTGAGATATCTTGAAGTCAAGTCGATGATGACTCCCCTGCTGTGCTCATCCCAGCCCGAGACCGGTGAAAAACATTCGTATTCCGTTTCTTTACCTAGTAGCTTCAATCGTATCTATGACTCTGAGATGTCAGTTCGAATGCCGTACTCTGATATTCTCTGGCATCGGGAATCATGCAGATGGAGAGTGTAACGAGAGTCTCGGGAGGTGAAGTAGTAATTCCCTTCCGTCGCTGGGGTGGAAAGAAAGTGAGAAGGCCATAAACTCATTGGCTCGTGTATACCCGGGCTCTGTGCCACTGGTGCGTATTTGCAGACAAAGTCACCATGTGGCACATCAACGGCATGTCAAATCTAATTGGTCTCAGGTTCAGGGCTCCCCAGCACTACGTCTTTAAATACAAGGGAGAATTTAGGTGTTCCAATCTTATCTCAAACTCCCCCAGGCAGACCACAGATATTTGTTCCTGAGATGTCAGGCTCCTGATTCTCCCGAATATGACCAAGTTCATGTTCTATCTATACCATGCTAGCGCTGATCAGCGCACATTGCACAGCTGTTGTTCCATGTATATCAATGCGCTCCGCATCTGGGGATGAAACCTGATAATCAGGTCAGCCACATCGTTTTTGGGCTTGCGTCGACGTGGCCTGTTGTACAGGCTTTGATTGTCGCCCCGCCATGCAGCCACACCCAGTCAAATTACTGGGCCGGGGCCCGTGCTACACTTAGTTTCAGCAACCGCACAGTGTATCCCCGTCTAATGATTGGTGGGATGTAATATTCCAGTTCCAAGGATGTGGCGAATAGAAGTGTCCGAGGGCTTCTTTTTTTACGAGTGCCAGTATACTTTGTTCGCCTCGGAATGCGCTTTTATTTGAGTCATTCACAGAACAAAAATAACGACGTCACCGGGATAGGCCACGCAAGCGACTTGAAGCTAGGCTACTTTGCATGGTTACATCGATGGGGCCTTGAGGAGCAAACGCGTGCGTTGTAACTTGGAAACGTAGATAGCTTTAGGACGATGCTCAGTGAGGATATGCTGATCTTTCGATGCCCTTGCGAGATATCTTTGGCGTAGAGACTTGGCGTGTGAGCAGATGTTCCCGATGGTCGCCAATATATTACTAGGATGGCGCCTTCACTTCTTTGTAATACTTTCAATAGTAGGCTTACTATTAAGCGTATTATTGATAGTGCGGGTGGGGTGGGGGCCGTTCTCAACATGCTCTAATATACTGATTGGATGCGGAAAGAATTGATTCCGTCGGAAACGAATGTGGTAGTTTGCCCTTCCGAGAGGAACCATTGCACCCTTGACCGCTTCGCAGTTGCTCTGCAAGATCATTGCAAGAATGTGATGGGATGTAACGTCGACATAGCCTGACATAGCCTACGAGTCTAGGCAATACAAATGGCACTGCAAATGTACAGCAAGAGATAACAATCCTATGACACTGCAAGATCAGTACTTCTTGAAACGATTCCGAATAAGAACCAGGTACTTAGTACGTCCGCGGTCAATCCTCTAGCTCGTCCGCGTACTAGGACTTCAAGTTGTCAGTAAAGTCTCACGAAACGGCGACAACGATTCTCATGCAAGTCAAGATGATACCATCGTGTCATGACAACCCTTGTTCTTAAACTGATGTATAAAGTCACCGGTCGAATGAAGGCGGGGGAACATGTAGCCAAAGGTAGTTTAACTCGGGATAATGATGGAAACCGAGATGATTTTTTTTCTGGGAAGAGCCCACGTCGGTGTTACGGTATATCGTAGGACGCGTGGTGCCCCATGGAATGTCAATCATTAGCCCGGCGGTGACCTATAAGCAGCGCGTCAGCAATATTTGGTGTAATCTTGAATTTAAACTCCGCGTCATTGATATCTAAACCAGCTATTGGATGATAAACTACTCTCGTTATCTCTTGCCAGATAGTGGAAGAATGAATTCACCTGCCCGACTTCCCATAAATATCCCTATATACATTCACAGGGCACGCGCCCATTTCCTCCTTTTCCAAAGACGCCTGTCTTCTATTTGCAGGAGCTCCAATTCGCTACCGCCCACACCTCATCGTCAACGCCAAAATGGTGAACGTCACTTACGACTCTTGTAAGTTCCTCTCCACCTCATTCTCATAAAAATATTGATGGTTGCCTTGTCCAGCTGGCGACCTGTATTCGTCTACTGGGTCCATATTTAATATGGGTGATATTGCCTGGACATTAGCCTCAACCGCCCTAGTATGGATCATGATACCTGGGGTCGGCTTCTTCTACTCCGGTTTGCTCAGGAGGAAGAATGCTCTTAATATGATTTATCTTAGTATGATGACCGTTGGTATGGTCTCCTTCCAGGTCCGCTACACTTCATAGGATTTTAAGCGCCTTTCATGTGCTCATCGAGATCGTAGTGGTTCTTCTGGGGCTATTCTCTAGCCTTCAGCGAGACCGCCAGTCCCTACATTGGCAACCTCAGTATGTGCTTTCCTTCGCAATTCAAAGTCCCACTTTTTAACCGCTATTCCCTAGAATACTTTGCCTTGCAAAACGTGCTAGACCAGCCTTCTATCGGTAGTGCCAGAATACCAGCCCTCGCATTTTGCGTTTTCCAGCTTATGTTCGCTGCTATCACGTACGTCATAACTATGGTTCCTTGTTCAGAGCACTCATGTAGCTCCAGTCCTATGATCGCCCTTGGTGCTGTTGCAGAACGTAGCCGCCTCGGTCCTCTCCTGGTATTCGTTTTCGTTTGGTCTACACTCGTTTATGATCCTATCGCCTGTTGGACATGGAACTCTCAAGGCTGGTCGTACGTCCTTGGTGGCCTTGACTTCGCTGGAGGTACCCCCGTCCACATCTCCTCTGGTACTGCTGCGCTTGCCATCTCACTCTACCTTGGCAAACGTCGGGGTTTTGGCACCGAGCGCCTCGCCTACAAGCCTCATAACACGACTTACGTCATTTTGGGCACAGTATTTCTATGGTTCGGCTGGTTCGGCTTCAACGGTGGTTCTGCCCTCTCTGCCAACTTGCGTGCAATTCAGGCCTGCATTGTTACCAACCTTGCTGCGAGCGTTGGCGGTTTGACTTGGATGCTCTGGGATTATCGTCTTGAACGCAAGTGGTCCGTCGTCGGTTTCTGTTCTGGGGCTATCGCCGGTCTCGTAGCCATCACTCCTGGTTCGGGCTACGTGGGTTCTCGTGAGTCTTACTTTTTTTTTTGGACTCCCTTGAAAAATTCTGAGACATCATTAGCGGCTGCTGTTTTGTTCGGCTTCATGGCTGGCACCGTCTGTAACTTCGCCACTCAGCTCAAGTTTATTTTCAAGTACGATGATACGCTTGACGTAGGTGAACATTTATAGTATAAAATTATCAATTCTCATCCTATGTCAGATCTTCGCATCGCATGCTATTGGCGGTATTGTTGGCAACGTTCTTACTGGTCTCTTCGCTCAAGCAAGTGTTGCTGGTGCTGATGGCATCACCATGATTCCTGGAGGCTGGCTTGACCACAACTACCGTCAACTCGGCATTCAACTCGCGGATTCTGTTTCTGGGCTTTCTTACTCTTTCGTCATGACTGTCAGTCTCATAACCATAGTCTTTCTCTGCCCGTCTTTATCTGACTCTTTGCTCGTTTATAGACCATCATTTTGTGGATCATGCACTTTATTCCCGGTCTCCGGATCCGTTGCGACGAGGAGACTGAGATCCTCGGTGTCGACGATGCGGAAATGGGCGAATTCGCATACGACTACGTTGCTATCGAAAGTGAGCTCATGCCTCGTAGCGAGTACAACGTAGGTGCGTCTGGCGGCAGCCGCGAGCCGCAGCACACCGCCGCAACGACATCGCAAATAAGCGATGAGAAACATATTGGGGAGGAGGATGTAAGTCGTGTACAGTAAGGTTGTGCTTAGGCTGCATCGTGGGATTGGGGTCGCGGGGATCGCACGACTGCAAGAAAATCTGCCGCTCATTACGTTATAATTTGGTTCCTTGATTCTATCAGCTTAGCTTATTCACCGCATTTTTGCATGTTCTGTGCTTTTAACAGTAGCGTGCGTTATTAAGATATCTGGACTCTTTTTTTTTTTTTTTTCAAAAGACCGAGTCACTTCTTGATGGACTGACTCGATTGGAGACATGCTCAAATTTGTACGGTGACATATTATCTAACTCGATTACTCGTGGTATATTGGTGTTATAACTCAGCAAAGCCAGAAACGTGGAAGTGCAATCAATTCGCAATGAACATGAGCAGTGTGCTGTGGATCTGAATCTCCCCGTCACCGGGATATTCCGGCAAAGACCTAGGTGTTGATAATCATTCTTCAGGTGACGTGCGCTGCCCTCGCGCAGACCTGTTCTGGGCTATTCTTCGCGCCACTTCCTTGAACGCTTATCGCTCGACCTGAATTGTGATTGACATATCTCATTGCGCAGAAGGTCCCAAGGCACAACAACCGAATCGCGTCGTAAACGAAACCAAAGCAAGATGCGCAGCAGGAAGCTTGACGGCGGAGCACAAGATCGAGACCCATATATAGTCATCCACGTAACCTGCGAAAACCACGATTCGGCACTAGCATATGCAACTGCAGACCGCAGTCAAATTTCATAGCGGGAGAAGGCACGCTTCCACCCTCGGTCCAGGGACAGTCCCAAAACTGTCTACGATCGGCACCCCTTGGACCATCCGCCACCTCAAACACAGACACAAAATTTCGCACAAGGACGAAGAACAGTCCCGGACGCGCCCAAACTCGGTCAAAACGATCCGGAATCAATGATTTCGGTGCGTACCTTAAACTCTGCGAACGCAAATAGCCTCCCTAGGCACCTCCGCGCTCCATTGCTGAATGACATTAGCCCTGCAGGGTTTCTCTGGCGCCATACGCACCTACGTTCCTTTCAACCCATGAGATAACGACCACCGTTCACTTCGGAATGCATACGCTCTCGGTAAAGCTGTACGCAAGAGTCAGCTGAGAGAGAACACGTCTTTGGTCGGTTCGAGTGGTTTCTGTCGGACACGCGCAGACCGCTCGATTTCCTTGGCTGCTGTGTGGAGGCGGAGAACTTCCGAAATTCGTGGAGAAGTCGTCATACGAGGGGGTTGGTCCGAACTCTAGACACCCATCGCGAAGTTTCGTCTGAACGTCTGGATTCCGCGTAAGTTCTACACAAGCCCACTGTAATTGTAATTGATGTTGGAAAAGACAGCGAAAGCAGTGGACTGTTTGAAACTCACTGTCATGGCGACTGATCAAAGTGTAAGGAGTGAGCGGTGAGAATGCGCATGCGTTTTGCATGTTACCTGCAGTGGTCTCTTGAAAGTCGGCGAGTTTGCCTGTTGTGGCTCACTGCACGCCATAAACGGTGTGATGCACTCCTTCAGGCAGATAAACTTCTAGAAGCCATCGAATCATACCGATTCTTGATGGACGAGATCGACGAAAAAGCGAAGGCCAGCCGCCTTGAATGGTCTAACGGCAAGTCTAGAGTTCGTAATGTCGAGCAGGCTGTGATCCTTACCACCATTTCACTCAGTTTTCACAAAAAAAAGAATGCAGCGCGCTAGTTCTTACCAGGGGAGATGCTGCCCTCGCTGCAAGCGATTTTAAAAGGGCCATTGACCTCTACTCTGCAGCGATTGACCTAACTCCTCCATCTGATGCTGTCTTTGCAAAGCGTAGTCAGGCAAAGTTGGGGAAAATGATGTGGATGGAAGCACTTTTCGATGCGCAGAAGGTGCGATGCATTTATTGTTTCTTCACCTACACTCATCGTGATACACAGGTCATCCGACTCAATCCTTCATCTCATAGTGGGTGCAAGTTGAAACACGCAGCATTTCATGGCGCCCAACGCTATGATGAAGCTATTACGGCCTTTAAAACGATGCTCTCAAAATTGGATGATGCTCCTGACGCTGAGAAGCTACCAATGGCTAGGTAGCTGTTTGCTCATACCCGCATCGAGTACAGAAATTGAAAAGCCTGGCTCTGACGATCAATTCTCTTCCAATGATGGACTAGATTGCATCGCACTACCAAATATTGTTAGTACGCTGGTTGGAAATGCATGAGAGCTACATAGGCACCTGTAAATGTTGATCTCGCGCGATATCATCCTGCTTTGCGTTCATGCGTTGCGATGCTTGAGGCGAGTCTGAATTTCACATTCCTGCCTATAATCCTGACGATGCGCACTCATGATTATTTCCACTAGGAAGGTATGTTCACGCGTCTACCTTGCAATATTGAATTGATCTCTTTGACATATTTTATTTGCGCTATTGATCTACATGCAAAACTCATCCCTTTTCATTTGCGCTCACGATCAGCCTCAGGCGTATCTTCGAGTTCCGGAGGGCGCATTATGCAAAGAAATTTGGATTCAAAAACTACAAACTGCTGATATACAATACTGGTCATCATACATTTGTCGTACATATACGAAAATACGGAAACATTGCTAAGAGATAAAAGAAACAAGAGAAATTGTGCCTTCATGTTACAAAAGAAACAAAAGAAATGAGCAGTCCAACGTCTGTCGAGTACATATCGATAAAAGGAAGATGCGTCCATAAGTCACAGGCGGTCCATTGCATGATCTGCCAAGTAGATACCGGTAAGAGAAATACAAAACAAAAGAGATACATCGAGCCATTTACACGATGGCGAAGATAAGAGAAGAAACTTGAGATAGATGGATGGGAGCCGCGGGTGTGGCCTTCAACTCCAAATCGTGAGACAGGAAGGAGGCCGTCATCTTGTTGCGGTTGTGTCGGGATTCGGTCGTAGGGGACATCCGACATCGAAGACTGCAGAGATATCCAGGCGGCGCGGAGAGATAGATCGTGCGCGGCCAGCAGTGGCCTTCAACCTCGCGGGTATTGAAGCTCCAGGTCGTAGGGGACAACGAGGGAGGCCGGTGTAGGTCTTCGGTATTTGGTCGTAGGGGACCTGAGGAGTAGCGATGTGCATAGTAAAGATGTCAGTCTTGAATAATGTCGATCGAGATTCCTGGGTTGGACGTATTCTGGTGCAGAGGCGGGGTGGCAGGCGACAGCGCAGAGGTGAGTCCAAGCTGGGACATGGCAGCTGCCCAGCCGTCGACAAGAGCGGTTTGGTCGGCGAGGAGATCGTTGTGCAGTTGTTCAAGATGTTCTACTTTAGGTCAACAAACAAAGTGGACGTTACCAAGAATCACTCACGTATGATAGCAGTGTGTTCTACTTGTTGCTTAGCGTAAGCGCGTTCGATGCTGCCACGGACAGCAATCACGCGTGTGGATCTAGACGCATGCTAACAAAACAATGAGTGCGGCACTTTGTTTCACAAAGAATGTCCATACCTTGTCTCTGCCCGGGCGGAAGTTTCGATGCCGTTTCGTATCCGGGGGTTTCAGCTGAGGCGAGACAATCTGAGGCATAATGCTGCCGAGAGAGAGCGTTGTGTCTGTTTGAGTCGAAGCGTCCACAAGAAGCGAAATGTCGGTGGTCGTCAGGGGTCCGTCCTCTGGGATGATTGGCTGGAGGCTGAGCTGCGTCCGCTGACTCGGAGAGGGTCCCGTCAAGTCATCGATCGCGAATGCTTTCGTGACTGGGAGTATTGAGTCCCCACTGGAACAGTCGTCGTCGTCGTCCTATAAAAATTCAAACATTAAACGACAAAGCTGAGGCGACTGTACGACTTCATACCTGGGGACAAGTGCTTTCCTGAATGTCTGCGTCAGAGAGATCCCTCACGAAATCATTATCGTGGTCAACAAGAGTGGTATCAGAATCGATTGAGAGGCGCTTGGCGTTCTGAACAGGCGAGGGCGGCAGTATTGGCGTGCATAGTGTTGAACATGTAGACGGTGAAGTGCAGTAGTCGGAGTCATTTGCAATTGGGTTTGATGAAATTAACAGGCATGGCGTAGTGCTGCAAGATTCGGTTAAAATTGGGTTCGATGAAATTATTTTGATGCAGTAGAGATATCGGATACTTTCTTGCAGATGACTGAGATGAGAGGCGTATTGAACTCGGCCAAATTGTGCTTCGGAGGAGATTGAGCTTCTTTACTGAGGATTATCTGGGCGGTCCTGTGGGAAGCTAGAACTAGGGCCGCGACAGATATACATAATTCGGATATAACGAGGCCAGCGGTAATGCTCTCCGCTTTTTTGACGGCCTTGAACGTGCGATCCACCACAGTATGTTTGAAAAAGAAGGCTCCGAGGCACCCAGCGACGGTGACATGGGCGGCACTGTCGAAGATAGCGGAAATCATATTGTAAGGCGAGTTGAAGTTGAGAATAAGTCGTGAAGAAAGTAATGCACGTAAATCGAGGACAGGAAATGGGAGGTATAGCTCGCAGGCATGCTGTTCTTATACTCTGCCTTACGATTAAATCAGCACTGCCACGAAATAAACAAGCTCGATCGCAGCGCGTCTAGTCACGTGTATGAAAAATCAGTTTATGTCAGCATTGTGTCATCCAACGCTTACAATGGAATGGCCCAAACATGTTGAGAATGAGATCATGATGATTAAAAACTGCCATGTCTATGCGAAGATGAGCTTCAGTCATCGCTGCAAGGTGTTGTAGTACATTCGGCTTTGAAATTATATCAGACGCACACTTTTTAATCCTATTTATTATCTACAAGTTATTGCATTGTCCCAGCAACTCGAAGAAGCTTGCCTTGAATTTGGTGAACTTGGGCTCGTTTGATCTGTCAAAACGACTGCGGGAATTTAGAGCTTGTGTAGTTGTACAGAGGTAAAGGAACATACTGTTGTTCGAACGGCGAACTCGTGAAATGGAGTCTGGTCATACAACCATGTATCTCTTGCAAAGAGATAGGAGTTTGCTTTCGGGATAGTACGACTCTGGACAGTCCAAGACGAGGGGTACCTTGTACACTGGTACATACTCTCTGTCCCAATGTTCGTACAGTTCAGGGATAATAGCAGGCGGAATTCACTGTCTCGGCAAAGCCAAGATCCTCGAAGGCAAACCCACATTTCCCACCGCAGTGCTTGCGATACAACCATCATGAATCAGTAGATACTTAAAGTACCACGTGCAGAGAACAGACAATTGAGATGTGGGCTCCACATCTCAATGGGAAGCCAGGGTCAAAATACATGAAACGGCATATGCAGCGCGCTCGAAGTGAGTTCGAAATACTTTTGATCTTAATGGTCGATGAATATTCGAATTTGCGTACAAGCCCCGAAGTGCTGAGATGCACATCTAGATCTTACCACCAACTTACCACATTTACAGCACTTGTCCGCCATCAATCCTCCATGCGTGCGTGTGGTTCAGCGACTTTGCCGAACACTGAAAGTATCCGAAAAAAAAATTCGTGAGAAAGGAAAGTGCATACATACAATGTGTCTGCGCATGTAGAATCAAAATGAGGCAATGGAGACAAAGAGCGTGTGTGTGATGTGGATCCCTGAGATGCGCGCGAAATGGTGCATGGATTTCGCGTGTATTATGCATAACAGAGTGGAGAGACCGGGCCAAGTTCGGAAGAGGTGTGTTTAGTAATTGGTTTGAAGCCCAACTAATAAGAATTAGTACGTGGGAAATGGTGAGGTCTGCGAGGAGTGCAGCACCTCGAGTTGGAATGTTGACCATGAGAGCAGATGGTGCAGTCACTGCAGTGGCGGTGGTGGCATGACGACTCGACTCGATCAACATGTTGAGTAGAGTAAAATGCTTTGGCACACGCGCCTAATATTTGAACCTATAATTTAAATGGCAGCGATTTAGTTTTGTTATTACCGTTATGTTTTAAATCCATAAGAGCCTTGACGACATTGCCAGTATTGTGTTCTACACACATAAAAAAACTCGCCTGAGAACGATGACGAGGGGACTGAGTCTGAGTGAGAAACTAGGTGGGTCACGTAACCTCGCAACAATGGAAAATCTCGGAGTTGCGCTTGGTCATCAGGTAGTACTTCAACGTTTCAACAAACGTTGTCATTGCGTTGTCAGGTTCGAATTTAAACGTAGATCTGGAACCCTCGATCCAGTTTAAGGTCGAAAACGTTGAAATATTGCAATAAGCGAGGACCGAATTTTTCCAATTTCACCTGTGATCTAATCATGGTCTTTTGATAGGGTTGTATCACTGCGTCGAACGTCTTCCCCATGTGCTCTTGTCAAGCCCAAAATACTGTACCGCTTCAAGTTCGTCGCCATTATTTACGCAGTGTTATGGTTGCACAATACATGCCGTGTCGAAGCTCACTCAAGCTGCATCAGCCCCGTGTTACGGCCGGGCGATCATCAATTCGTCCATGTCGCATTGACAGTATCCCATAAATGCTGCATTGCATTTCTCACATGCCACGTAAAGCGGAAGCGTCGCTGTGCTCGTTGGCAGTACAATTGCATGCTTCGACCATATAAGTTTCCTGGGTCATCCATGGTACATTAGCGAGGTTCCCACTCTTCTATTCAACATGCAGTCGTTCTCGATCCTGCTCCGCACAGTTCTCCTCGTCACGGTGACTTCTGTATCGGCTTCAAGTTTCTTTAGCGTTCCCCTGACAAAGATTGCGCCTCCGAACTCACACCTTGCGGGATTACCAGATGCTGATCGTGCACGTGCTGCTGTTCTAAAGAGTTTTACTTCTGGTGGTCCCAAAAATGTTCCTGCATCCAATCTCGCATATTCCCAGTATACAACCAGTGTTGGCGTTGGCAGCCCTCCGACGTACTATAATTTGATTGTTGACACTGGTAGCTCCAATACTTTTGTTGGGTAAGACCTGATTGGTTATTCCCTCAGGCTAATTCTCATTTTATCTCAAGAACTGGGACGCCATATGTCAAAACCTCGACCAGTATCTTCACTCATGAGAAGGTCAACGTCACTTACGGCACTGGTTACTTTCGTGGCTTGGAGTGTAGGTCTTTGGGCTGCTAGGGAACGATAACATCTGAAAATTCCACCTTCAGATCTCGACCGAGTGACGCTCGCTCCAGGTTTGGTCATCAAGAACCAGTCCATCGGTGATGCTCTTTCCTATGCCGACTTCGGTGGCGTCGATGGCATCGTCGGGGTGGGCCCCGTCGGTCTGACTGAGGGTTCACTCTCAACAAATGTCAATGAGCTGGTTCCCACTGTTATGGACAACGCCCTCTCACAGGGTTTGATTACAAAGGAAATATTAGGTGTCTCTTTCGCACCTGCAACGAGTGACAATGACACTAGTAAGAGAGGTCGTGTGGTACATTTGAAGGTGACCTAATTCAGGTGCAGATGGAGCCCTCACTTATGGAGGGATTGATTCATCCTTGGTGAGCCCAAAAAGTATGACCTAAATCATGGTTCTGAATTTGATCCAGTACACCGGCGAAATCACTTATATACCTGTCACTGCAACTTTCCCTGCTAGCGCCTTCTGGGGCATCAATATCACCCATGCAACGTACGGCTCCGCGACGACCATTATCCCAAGGTCAACTGCTGGGATCGTCGATACTGGTACCACTCGTGGGGCCTTATTTTCCATCCACATGCATGCATTCTGACATATCTATAGTGATCCTCCTCGCTGATGACCTCTTCGAGTCCTACTTGAAAGCCATTCCTGGTGCCAAGCTCGACGAAACCGGGGGCCTCATGTCCATCCCTGAAACCTCTGTCCCAAAGATCCAACCGTTGAATTTTACTATCGGCGGCACCGTCTTCAGTCTTGACGCTGCAGCACAACTCATTCCGATTAATCAGAATGCTGCATGGAGCTTGTCAACAAGCCTGCGGTACGGTATTGTGTCGAACCTGGGGGCTAACAGCGGCGAAGGGTTAGATTTCATCATCGGGCAGAAGTTCATGGAGAGGTACTATGCTGTGAGTTGTTGAATCGCGAGGTGATCATGTAGTCCGGGTATTGATTGAATTGCAGGTTTTCGATACGGATAACAATCGGGTTGGCTTGGCTTATACGTGAGTTTTTCCCTTTGTATCTAATTTTCTCTTCCGGCTAAGAAGTTTGAAAGTAAACATACATTTACCACGTGAACTTCTTAATCCGAGTGCCTTTTTAAAGGTGTTCCTTTTGCTTCGATTGATCACAATTCACTGCGCCACTCCTCAGGGCTTGGATTTCATTGCAACTTTTAGGATGCAATTATGTGGTGCTTATGAGTGCTATGACTGACAGATATGGGTACGTAGTCTCGTATCCACACTAGGAAATCCTAACTGGGCATGAGAGTAAAAATATAAGCGACACTTAAAGCTCAAGGCAAGTGAGCGCATCGTAGCGGTGTGTTTTCAATAGACGATGCTCCTTTTGGCTTTTTGACCTTTCTTTCACCTGGGTACTCTTTTCTTCGCGCGTCGTAGTCCAAGCATCGCCTTCAAGACACTTAAAGACCGCAACCTGGCTCGCACCGCCTAGCTCTTCATCTCCGCTCCACTTATCTTTCTCCTGTGCACAGCCAATAATCGTCGTATCCACGTCATATGCCCATTCCTGCTCAATGCCAGCACACCACTACTGGAACTCCTCGACCGTCATTCAAATTTGTGGTCGTGGTACCTGAACATTCTGTCTGTGCATTTCGTAAAATCGGGGAAGCCAGTGACGGTGTTCATCAAGCCAGGAGGGTGGAAACGCGCGTTGAAGCTGTACGACGGGATCGTCACGTACACGTTCAAGATCTGTCAGACGTCTCAGAATCAAAGCGTGACTTAAACACAACCAACTATGACCCAAATGCCGAGAGAAAAGACCTTTGGTGAGTACTAATACATGACCGATACTAAATAGTACTCGAGACCAGCACGACATTGGAAAGAAAAGGAGGAGTTCCGTAAACCTTGACTAAGTACAAGCGTGCGTACGCAACCGCGGGTCCCGTGACCGAAACGCGAAAAGTGAGGGCGAAGTCAGCAAGAATCACTTTTGGGAGACGTTGGACGCTTGAAATGAAAAGTACCAGAAAAAAAATCGATGATTGACATACACCTCTGTGCCAACGATACATTCTGCATCGACAAAAGCTGGGCTGAAGATCTCGAGCCCACCGTGCCAGATGTTTACTTCGAGTGGTTCCTATCGCACGTATGATGCATTTGCGGCGGCGGCGGAGGTGTCTTCGATCGCGGATGCAAGTGCGTGAGATGAGATATTGAGGCTGGTGATGCGCATTGGGTAGAGGTTGAGATCATCCGGATAGAGTGCGGTTGAAGTCGCGTCGCTGCTGATACGCTAGGGTCGGAAGAGGTAAAGCAAAGTGTGAGTTGGCAAAGCACTGGCCGCTGGAGCTGACTTTCCCACATCCGATGTCTATGATCTCGGTAGGAGATGATACTGATGAAGATTAAAGAGGAATGCTAAATCCACTGTGATCATTGTACTCCAGTGTTTGGAAACAATGATTTCTTACATGTGTTGACAACAGGAAACACGATAATGATGTACCAGTTAGCGCAGAGCCAGTAGAGTCCAGTCTTGGTCTCTGAACGATCGATCTGAACGGTCAGCTTTTGTCACAGCCACCAGATATAGCTCGCGCCGGCTATTGTATTCTTCAGGGCAGGTCTAATATATCCTCAGTCATTCCAGATCGTCAATGTCGTGCTTCGTAACTGGACTTTCAGTTAGCCTATCCGAGTTAGCAAAATGTCCATACATTGCAATTTGCGTCCCCTAGGCCCTTTGGCTTGATCATTGTTTCTGACAGCGACTTGATGCAGCTAGCAATGATGACCACTTAAACTTCTTGGATCGCACCAACCTTTTTCACTGTTCTCGTGTACTCTCAAGACATTCGATCATGAGATTATATTGTGGCTTTCTGTGGTGTGCCCTCAACCTGAGTTCATCTTAGGAGCGATGACATCTGGCCCAACTCCGGCCCAAGGCAACAAACTGGAAATTACAAATTGAAGCCGAAATTTCGTGTACATATCCTGTAGGTATATAGTCTCAAAGTCTGCAATATCGAACTCACAGGTTGGGCGTGTCTATGACTGAATGCTACATGCAAAATCGTCAGAATGCTTTAATCAACAAGGTGGGAGGACGCACGGAATTGATCATATGCCAATATGCACGAACACTATGCGCTGGTCCAAGGGTATTATAACGTCTTCATCACAAGCCAACGACTGGACCGTTCGGTGCAGCGCCCAGGCAGCTCGTTTGGAATTCATTGGACCATCCCCGCACAAGTTTTTGTAGAATGCCTTGACTAAGTGCTGCACGGTACTATCGGTGACCTTCCACATTGTCCCCACGACGCTGTTAACCCCGGAAAATTGCAGGCCAGCCGCTAGGTGTATCACTTCGTCGGGCGTATCAAAGTCACCGACTGCGGTCTCACAGGCTGAAAGAAATGCAAATTCATGCCGAGACAGATCCATTTGCGTGATATCGAGGAGCGAAAGCGGCTGATCGCGCATAAGAAAGGCTGATTTGAAGGGTTCGTCAAATCTCTGTGTCCCGTGACACGCGAAATGGAGCCAAGTATTGTCCCGCAACGCACACAGTGCTCTCGATTTCGTGGCATCAACGCTGGTAACCTTAGAGAAGGAAACAGTAGGGGGAGGGGGCAAAAGTCCCCGCACCAACTCCAGCTCAGGTTCCACAGCATCCAAAGTGGATGAGGCACCGGCTGGGAAATCCTGACCAATGGCCACGAAGGGCACAGACAAGGACCTCTCATGACTTCTGCGAGCCTTGATCAGCGCGGTGAGCGATGGCGTGTATGAAGAGATATACTGCTGCGAAACGGACTTTCCCTTTGCCCTGTACTCGCCAGCAGCATGTAATGGCAAGAAATTGAAGAGAGACGTTGGGCACCACCATATCCGGGAACCTGGTCGTGCGATTCCACCCAGACTTTCGACCACCGGGCCGACCACACCGTCCCACAACTCTCTCAAAGCTTTTATCAGCGCTGTTTGGTTCCCTTTAGGACCGGCCTCTTTTTGAACTGCCTCTCGGAGTTCTGGTACTAATTTGACGAGTTTCTGCCAATCGGTAGGAAGTTGAATGCCAGTCGGAGGTTGCTTGTGCGGGATGATAATGGCGTAGCACAACGACCTACTTGCGATGAGCACGATGATAGGCCCATCACGAGCTGCATCTTGAAGATCGGGGAATAAGGGGGGAAGGAGGAAGCGGGAAAAGCCCTCGATCTTCCGGATCTCTTCGACAGCTCTATTCCACTCCCCCACTAGACGTCTGTACCGGTTTTCCTCTGCTTCTCTATCGACTCTCGAGTTTCCTTCCGAATAGTTTGCAGGAGGTTTATCGAGAAGGGAGCCGAGGTCTCTGAATTTCTTCATCAAGGCTACTGCATGATCGCCATGAGTCTGAAGGCTGTCAAGAGGGGTGCGTAGTCGTGTCATCTGGGTCCAGATGATAGTCCTGCCTTGTTCCAACAACTCGACAGCGCGACACACATCACCACTACGAAGAGCACAGCATGCAGCATCAACGGCAAGTGTACTTGGAAAGTCCTTCATGATATTGTGACGAGACGATACTGAAGATGTTGTAGACATATAAGCGTCCAGAAGTTGCATGGAAGTTGCATATGCCGCCAGTTCAGTGGGATGTGAATGTCGAGAAGCTTCATCAACCCAACGCAGGCTTGTTCGCAGGCGGGATAGCAAGCCTCCAGGGACGATATTTGCTGCTGCCTTGAAATGATACATGGCAGCATTCAGACTATCAGTGTCTTCACCTGCTACAGTATCGCCAAGGCTTGAACGATGGAACGACAAACAAACGCTAGCCAGCGACCAATGCGCTAGTAATTGACGGGGATCATGTTGCATCATTAGAGCCAATGCACAGTGTAGGTTCTCTCGCGACTCCTCGAGGTCTTCTCTATTACCTCGGTGCTCAAAGCGGGAGGAGAGTTGATTCGCAAAGTTATTCAATGACGTGGACCGATATGTGTGACCGACTGGGAGCAAGGCCAGTGCTTCCCTCTGAAGTGCGATAGCCTCATCCGAGTCTTCGTCGTTGCCTCGGTGGTTGAAGCGGGAGGAGAGTCCAATCGCGAGGTTATTTAATGATCCGGACCGATCTGCGTGACCGACCGGGAGCAAGGCCAGCGCTTCCCTGTGAAGTGCGATAGCCTCATCCAAGTCTTCGTCATTGCCTCGGTGCTGGAAGCGGGAGGAGAGTTGAAGAGCGAGGTTATTTAATGATCCGGACCGATCTGTGTGACCGACCGGGTGCAAGACCAGCGCTTCCCTGTGAAGTGCGATAGCTTGATCCAAGTCCTCGTCGTTGTCTCGGTGCTGGAAGCGGGAGGAGAGTTCAATCGCGAGGTTATTTAAAGATCCGGACCGATCTGTGTGACCGACCGGGCGCAAAGCCAGCGCTTCTCTGTGAAGTACGATAGCCTCATCCAAGTCTTCGTCGTTGCCTCGGTGGTCAAAGCGGGAGGAGAGTTGAGTCGCGAGGTTATTTAATGACGTGGACCGATTTGTGTGACCGACCGGGTGCAAGGCCAGCGCTTCCCTGTGAAGTGCAATAGCCTGATCCAAGTCTTCGTCGTTGCCTCGGTGCACAAAGCGGGAGGAGAGTCGAGCCGCGAGGTTATTTAATGACGTGGACCGATCTGTGTGACCGACCGGGCGCAAGGCCAGCGCTTCCCTGTGAAGTGCGATAGCCTGATCCAAGTCTTCGCCGTTGCCTCGGTGGTCAAAGCGAGAGGAGAGTTGATTCGCGAGGTTATTTAATGACGTGGACCGATTTGTGTGACCGACCGGGCGCAAGGCCAGTGCTTCCCTGTGAAGTGCGATAGCCTCATCCAAGTCCTCGCCGTTGCCTCGGTGCTCAAAGCGGGAAGAGAGTTGATACGCGAGGTTATTGAATGACATGGACCGATCTGTGCGACCGACCGGGCACAAGGCCAGCGCTTCCCTATGAAGTGCAATAGCCTGATCCAAGTCTTCGTCATTGCCTCGGTGCTCAAAGCGAGAGGAGAGTTGATTCGCAAGGTTATTTAATGACGCAGACCGATTTGTGTGACCGACCGGGTGCAAGGCCAGCGCTTCCCTGTGAAGTGCGATAGCCTGATCCAAGTCTTCGTCGTTGCCTCGGTGCTTGAAGCGGGAGGAGAGTTGAGCCGCGAGGTTATTTAATGACATGGACCGATTTGTGTGACCGACCGGGCGCAAGGCCAGTGCTTCCCTGTGAAGTGCGATAGCCTCATCCAAGTCTTCGTCATTGCCTCGATGCTTGAAGCGGGAGGAGAGTTCAATTGCGAGATTATTTAATGACATGGACCGATTTGTGTGACCGACCGGGTGCAAGGCCAGCGCTTCCCTATGAAGTGCGATAGCCTGATCCAAGTCTTCGTCATTGCCTCGGTGCTCAAAGCGAGAGGAGAGTTGATTCGCAAGGTTATTTAATGACGCAGACCGATTTGTGTGACCGACCGGGAGCAAGGCCAGCGCTTCCCTGTGAAGTGCGATAGCCTGATCCAAGTCTTCGTCGTTGCCTCGGTGCTTGAAGCGGAAGAAGAGTTTGTTCGCGAGGTTATTTAATGACGCAGACCGATTTGTGTGACCGACCGGGTGCAAGGCCAGCGCTTCCCTCTGAAGTGCGATAGCCTGATCCAAGTCTTCGTCGTTGCCTCGGTGCTGGAAGCGGGAGGAGAGTTGAAGAGCGAGGTTATTTAATGACGTGGACCGATTTGTGTGACCGACCGGGTGCAAGGCCAGCGCTTCCCTCTGAAGTGCGATAGCCTGATCCAAGTCTTCGCCGTTGCCTCGGTGGTCAAAGCGGGAGGAGAGTTCAATCGCGAGGTTATTTAAAGATCCGGACCGATCTGTGTGACCGACCGGGCGCAAGGCCAGCGCTTCCCTCTGAAGTGCGATAGCCTGATCCAAGTCTTTGCCATTGCCTCGACGCTCGAAGCGAGTTTGCAGCATCACAGCCAGATCACATAGCAATTGCCCTTGGTAAGCATGTCCGGTATTGTAGTATCCCAGTGCATCATAATAAAGGGATATCACTTCATCTAAGGCAAGGGGTTCATCTCTCTCCAAACACCGCCGTCCTCGACGAGTAAGCTGATTTAACGATGACGGAAGTATGGGCGCGGCAGGCCGCTCCTGCTGGAGATCATTTGCATCTATGCTTCCAGCAGAATGCAGAGCGATTGTTTCTATTGCAATCAAAGCTGCTCTGTGAATGTGACTGTTGACGTGACAGACATCAAGCACTTCGCGCAGTAACTCTTCAGCTGTGTCGGCATCTGTTTGAGATCCCCGCCCTGCGAAGCGAGAGAGCATAGAAATGGCAAGATGGAGTTGCGTGGTGGGTCGGTCTGGATGACCAGTGGGATACAAATCAAGTGCGTCTTGAAAAAGAGAAATAGGTATGTCGAGGTCGAGGTATCTTCCGTTGGCTTGGCAACTAATGAACTTCGCGGTAGCTAGATTGAAGATTACTGCAGGGCGGTAGGGATGATCCACAGGGCAGAGATCCGAGGCGCGTTTGAAGTGATTTATGGATTGGGTGAGATCACCATTGTTCTGCGTCCTGCGGTATCGTGCGAAAAGACGATGTCCGGCATTCGTCCTTTGTGCTAACACATCCATATCGCGACATGTAAGCTACAGATTGCAGCGATCAGCATCAGAATTCCAGACTACATTGATCACTCACGGTAGTAAGGGGACAAAGAAATCCGCCGTCGTTTTGATCAGAAAGCCGCTGCTCCACCATCATGAACAGTGAAGTACAGGCGGATACGACTTCTCCTTGCTTCGGTTGGAATTTTATGGCTGTGATAGTCGTTAGCATCCGTCAGGCGTTATTTCCAATGGACAATACTGACGATGAGACCTTTCGCTGCGATCCAGTAATTCTCCAACAGAGATCTCGAATGTGCGGAGGAGTTCTCCGTGACAGAGCATGAGACCCAATTCGAATGATGCATACACGCTGACTCGAGCTTTAGAAGATGGCTCGCACGGCCTCGAGTCTTTCTCAATACCTGCAAGACAAATGGGGTCGAAGACCACTTACAGAAGAATGCGCTCGTGCCATTCGACGGACAGCTTGATCCACGTATGCAGATTTATTGCTTGTCCGATATTCAGCACCGTCAACCTTGACTACCACATGGAAGCCAGCGGGAATCCGTCGGAGACCAAGAGCGAGATCGGTTGCGCGAATGGCTTGAGGGAAATCGTCAATACGAGCTGGATAAAGATAGATGATACATACAAGTAATGACGACTCGTTGCACTCCACTGAGGTGTATCTCTCCCGAGTCCTGTGTGTGTTCTGAGTGGCTTGGCTCCTCATCCATGACTGGGAGAGCATCATCGAGTGGATCCGAAACGGAATCTGTCATGGGAAATCATGGGCACCACGTGCTGAGTGAAGGTAGATGATACATACTGTTGATGGCGACTTGTGTCTCTCCTGAATCCTGGGGTTGTTCTGGTTGGCCCGGCTCCTCGCCTAAGGCTTGGAGGCTATGATCGAGCGGGTCTGGCACGGAGTCTGTCGCGAAACAAAACAAGAGATTAAAGACGAAATGAAGTGCCGCCAGGAGTGCTTTGGAAAACGTCGGTAAGTAGTAAATGAAGATAGGTGTGACACGTACCATTGACGACAACTTGTAGCGTTTCACTGATCATAAGGTTTCTATGTCCTGTGTTCTGGGGGTGTTCTGGGTGACCGAGGCCCTCTTCCAAGGCTGAAGGGGAGTCATTGAAATGGCTAGGAACGTATCTTGACATGTGACCAAAGGATGGATTTCGACTAACACTTGAGAATAGGATGTGTGCTGGAGGTCACGAAAATACTGCAGAACCTGTGAGGTCTCGATGGCTTATAAGTGAGGGGATCACGGCATGCATTTGGCATCCACACCCTGCCACAGCGCTGATGATGTCAATAGGACATAAGTGACTCGTAAATATGATTTCGCGCCACGCATAACTTGTGCATCATTTGCAGTGGGCGTCAGATTTGTGCAACAGAAGCACGTTGTAACCTGTATGGTGCGATATTGATTAAAGCACGTGAAACGAAAAGGCTACCGGGGCAAGGCATTCCATACTTTCGCAAGAATTCGAATACTGCGAAGCCGCAATGCCTGGATGTGACTACCCTTAAGCTTGACAGGCTGTCCTGGTAGAGAATATGTAGCACGAGAAGGAACGTCTTTTGCTGCAAGGAGTACACGTGCCAATCAAGGATAGCCACATTTGAGTAAGTCGATGCGGCCGTATACCAATTATTATGCAATAGAAGCTGCACCGCCAGCTTACAGGATACCAGCAGGCATTATGTAATCACACTGTCTAGTGCTTCCGAGTCACTTAGTTTCTAACTTTGCGATGCCAGGTTCAAAGTTTCTGACGATATCCACGAACAGGCTATTAATTTCTTTTCCTGGTGCACCCGCCAAAAAAGGGTGTCACGGTTCAAATGTTCACCACCGAATAGCATCACACGACCTGTGCACTCTGAGATCCGCTCGCAGTAGGAGTTCTGAGATAAGTGGGTGTATCTCTGGTGTCGTTATAGTAGCTGGTTCCTGCAAAATATAGACGGTGTACTAATCCACATTCCCACTAGGCTACCCTATGAAGTGTGAGTCAACGAAAGCCATCAAGTGCATGATGGATTCGGTATGGCACGTTTTAGATCAGTTTGCATTGCAGTGGCAGGTGTATGACACGGCGAGTTATTAAGTTATCCTCTCGAGTTCTTCAAATCTCTAACTTTCTGATGGTATGAGAACAGAATGTTGCCGCCTTCAGCCATTGTGCGCCTGAGCATTATTTTCTCTCTGTCCTATTTCAGCGCTCTTTTTATCTTGGGTGATGCATCTTACATCAATCACCGAATCTCAACCAGGACGTATCTGATGAAACCTGGTGCCTCACTGCCGCACTAACTCCATGATCTAAATCAACTATTATGCGCTCACCATTTTTGGCATCCTGATGATACGACAGCCCAAGGAGATGAGACATTGAGATACGTGCTCGCAGAGAGGTATCGGTAGCCAGGGTAGGATGTGATGCTTCCTATGAATCTCCCCTATTTGTGATGGCTGACTTCTCTGGTCTGGCATCATGCCGATGGCAATGCAGCACGGCGAAGAGAGATGGAACCACAGCTTTTTTGATGATTGTGCCATGATTAGTATGTGTCAAACATATGAGGCAGTACTTGGATGCATTAATGGACTGATGCACGTGTGGCAAAGACATCGAAAATAGCGTTGGAAACGAGGCGACAGTTCTTGATATTGGTCAATCTTCTGCGGTGTTCGAGTGATTCCATTATATCGCGACCCACATCTATTATGAACCACTACTTCTTTCGGTATCGTTTTGGTGATCTAAGCGCTGGGTGGTAGTATAACTAGCACAAATGCCGTTGTCATCTGTCAACCGATTCTGTATCTCACTCACACATTCTCTCCCAATATGACCATAGTCTCAAATGATCCCACTTGGTGGCCGACCATCAATGCAAATCGTGTTTCCAGCTATCTCGTAGGTTCGTAAACAGGGTCGAATGTTAAAGTTGACTCAATCTAACCTTGGCTACGTTTCCGCAGTTGCCGCCTTTGTTGGAGTGACGTATGATTGGGGTGAGCATGATGATATCAAAGGACTGCTGACATCTTACAAGTATTTTCAGCACTTACATCTGGACAAGAGGTATGTCAATGCTACGACCAGAGCAGCCATCTCGCTAAGAATGGTTTTATAGGTCGAATTAATTTGGGTAAGCAGAGTCTCATTTTAAGGCAACACACATGAAAATACACTTAATTACAGAGGCAACGTTGGTCGCTAATGACAGTTCTGTACCTCAGCGTATGTAGCTTGCTTGTCGCAATTGCTATGTTGTGCTGACTTGAAAGTATTCTAGGCGCGCTACCTTGGAATCTTAGTTACTGCGTATGTTCGGAAGGCTAAACACTCGATGTCGTGTTGATCGTCTATCTCTCATACTCAGCCTGAATGTGCTGGGTATGTCTCCTTAGTACATTCACTGTTTTTGCTTCTTCTGACCAATAGCATACAGGCAGTGTTCCGACCATCTTGCTGACAGACACAGTGAGTCTTCTGCACAGATGCCTACCATTCCCCTCTAATTAACCGTGGTGCCTTGTAGCAGTGGGTGTATTTGTTTACTAACTTGCTGGTTCACTAGTGACCGCCACGCTATACTGCCACAGATGTGAGTCTGTTTGGAGTGTGCCACCCGAGACTGGCCATTGACTGCATTCATCAGGCCGGATTATGTACGTTGTATGGGATTGGACGAATGTTTCTGTATTTGCAATGCTGTGGGGTGAGCTCGGCTTTTGCGAGACCTCAGTGATACTGACTTGACTGAAACATGCTGCAAGTCATCATCATCACTCGGTTGCATGCCATGTATCAACGATCCAGGAAGATCCTGGTATATCTCACTGTCACCTTCCTGGCTGTCAACATTTTCAACGCAGTGGCCATCATAATGACCACGGTGCATACTTCAGGGGGTACGCTTGATTGTCGATGAAAATAAACGTGCATGAGGCTCATTGATAGATACCAGAGGAGTTTATTCTCTCCGGCACTTATCAGTGCCAGATTAACTATGCGGAAGATATCTCACTTCTGAATTCCATTACTTGGATACTCGGAATTGTGTGGGAGGTTCTCGCACTATGTCTTGCAGTTTGGATTGCCGTCAAACACTTCCGTGAACTGCGACGTCATTCGGAAGGAGGGATTATCACGGACTGTTTCTCGGTGTTGATCAAAACTCACATGGTTTACTTTGCGAGGTAAGCTCATATTGTGATCATGGTTCCCTTTTTCGCTGAAGGATGGGACGTGGTAGCTTTGTTGTTGTTTCTTGCTTCCATCTCATCGTCGAGTTATCTCCAACAATCTTACTAGCGGTATGTCAATCTTTCCCTGAACTCAGCATGCGACCATGATTCATCATTTTTATAGGACCAAACTTCCCTAAAAGCTCAGGTTCTCACTGGCCTGCTTCAGATTTTGACAGTCGTGCTGGCGTTTGTGCTGGGACCACGCCTGATCCTTGACGTTCGAGAATACTACGCTAAGCTCGTGGCCGACGCCGACGCAGCATCTGCTATGACCTCAATCGCTTTCCAGGAGCGCGTGCATGTATCGACTAGCAGTAGTGTGTGACACACGACATGTTAATGGATGTCTAGTGCTCTGCGGCAGGAAGCAGTAAAATCCGTGTTTTGTCTCCATTCTAACCCTCGTCGCATTACTTGTGTAATTAATTATTGGTTTCATGACGTAGATTTCGATGAGACATTAGTGGGTCTGGGCAATATTTTCGTCGTAGTATTTTTTGCTATAGGCGCTGACATGGACAATGTTTCAACCAACATCCTGGATAGCCTTACTGTAGTAGCAGTGTACTGAACAAGGTCGAGGAGCGAGAGATGCTCATAGGCGATGCTGCCGGAACGCTAGGGCGCAAGTTCGAGTTCCAATTGGCTCTTTTCATTCCCGAGGACAACTCGTGACTTGCCTCTTGTTGTATCCGAAACACTATGGGGCTGCGAATGAGTTGTAGAACGTTTTGACAGTTTATTTCCTCGTCGTTGCAATACGGGAGACTCGGACACTGCAGTGAATTCTGCATCTTGGCAACATCAGGCTCAGACTCTGGCTCGGTCTCGGAATCGTCTTGACTTGAAAGCACAGTGGTTGTAGACAATGTGCTGTGCACTGCGCTTGGCTCAACGTGACCACTGTATTGAGTCTTGAAATTAATACCCAAAGTCTGCAAGACGGTAATCAGTTCAGAGTAGGCTCAGATTACGAAGTTCGAGTGACTTACAAGGGTGCACGATAAAAGTGAGACATTGCATTTCAATAGCACCGAGAAACGTGCAGTGTAATAGCGCGCTAGGAAAAGTGGATGCGTTCGAGGGTGGCTGGCCATCGGCGTGTCGATACTAGCAGCTTCAGTTAAACGCGTCGAAGAATGAGTCTGACGAACGACATCCGAGTCCAAGTCGACTCGGAGTACTGTAGAGATACGCACTTACCTTCGTCACAGCGTCACACGTCCTTCGAATCAAAGCTATTTCGTGTGACTGTCACACAAAGTTGAATGCGTCGAAGGTAAATTGTGACATACGGTAAAACATGAAAAAAACGCGTAAACTAAGGTCAATGTTTCCAAAAATTTCTGTATTGCGTATTTTCCATGCGTCTGCGCTTCCCGCGACCAAAGTTTTCTTCGTCACCCTCGGTGGCGGAAGCTGCAAGCTCTTGATCATATCCTTCTGCCTCGTTGCAAGCCAGCAGGTTGCCAGAATCATCAGTACCATAGCCTCGGGGACTGACCCCCCTGATGTGATGTGATGTGATGTGAAGTAGAACCGCATCAACAGGAATATCACAAGGATCAAGCTCAACGTCTGCAGCTTGCGCAAATGGTGGCTCAACCTCGTCTAGTGCCGACGGCTCAGTCACGGTGGAGACGAAGCTATTTCTGAGGTGTCACAGGTCACACCCGTCTTCGAATCTTCGAAGCTAAGACATGTTTGGTCACACCTGGATGACGTCGAAGGTAAGTGCGTATCTCTACAGTAGTTTGGAGGTGACAGCGGACAGGGATTTGGTGGTTTTTGCTATCTTGGAAATGATATCCTATGGAGAGGCTATTAGGGAGGTTGGGATTATGTGAACTGTAGCCTAGTAGTTGAGTGCTGAGTGGGCTGCATTGAATTTTTTTTTTTTTTTTTTTTTGATCCAATTTTTGTCCATTGAGAGATATACTCTATGTAGGACAGTACTGTCTAGTCAGGGAGCCCCATGCTCCGTCCCTTCGTTACATCCCCAAATGCCCTGGTGTAAGGCGTACCCCACCAGTCCGCCGTTCCCGCCGGCCGTTTTAGATGGGCGATGTGGTACACTATGGGATGACTATAAGTAAGATTGCTTGTGTAGAGGCTATCGGTAAACGTATAACGCATGCTCGGTCGCTTTCGCGAGCCAAACAGAGATCAGTTGGAGTGTGCAGTAAGAGTAAGGTGGATATAAGAATCGAGGAGACATAGAAGCTGGGGTGCGCTTCCTAGATGGACTGAGAGACAGGTGGTCCAAGGTGTCGGGGAGTCCTATATCCGCGTCTTGCTGGCTGAATCCCCAAGGTGAGACCGAAGATCTCGTGTAGGCGAGCTGTTAGGGTTGAGATTAGGGGAGGATATGATATTATGGAGGGAGTCAAGTGACAGTAGAGTAGTAGCTGGATATTAGGGTGCGTCAGAAAGGTCAGGTTTTAGGTAGCGAGATTTCACCTAGCGTGGATTTTAATCGACGAGTTTGGTTAACATATCGGACAAGGATGACAATGGCTTCTGGGTCGGTTAGGATGTGCGATAACGAGGTGGATTTCCGTCCCAGGGCCTGGGACATGACTTGACGAGCTGCGAGATAATGCGGGCATTCAAATAGATAGTGAGGGACAGTTTCATCAATATATGGGCAATGAGGACAGTCAGGAGAGTCGGTTTTCGTGAGTCGGAACAGGTGTTGGTTGAGTGGTAGGTGACGGGTGCGTAGGCCAATGATGAGACCGGTGAGACGTTTAGAGAATGACGAGGTGAGCTTGAGAAATGAGCGTTTGATGGCAGAGGGGTCTATATGTTGGATATGTTGGAAGCGGGGGGAGGTGGACCATAGGTCGGCCCACTTGGCGTGCGTGTGTTCTCGATAGGCTTGCTTGATAGCTGAGAGGCTGAGCGGCAGTGTATTGTTGCAAAGGTATTTGGGGAGAAGCTCACGAGGGCTATTGCGGTTCCTTCCCTCAGCCGCTACTTTCGCTGCTTTGTCTGCCTCCTCATTCCTGTGTACCCCCTCATGTCCTGGGACCCAGCGGAGCGTTAGTTTGAGACCTGGGTTTGCGCGTTTGATCTTTCGTAGGAGATTCTGAAATTTCATTGCTAGATATGAACCTGGATTAGAGTAAAAGCTCTCACCGGATAAGATGGCTGCCTGGTTGTCGACGGAGATGGAGATAGGGAACGTGAGATCTCGTTCAGTGGCGATCAGTTTGGTGGCTAGGGTCAGGCCGACCATTTCGGCTTCAAATACAGTGTGATCTTCGTTCTTGCCTAGGTAATAGCGCAGAGTGCGTGGGGTTTTGCCTGCACGGAATAGAATGGCTGCGGCGCCTATATGGCCATCATGTCCGGAGCCGTCGCTGAAAACTTGAATGTCGTCTGGTAGGTCGTGATGTTCGTTGATAGCGTCTTCGCGGGAGGCAGCAATGTGCGTATCATAGAGATTGGAGGAGGTGGGTGCACGACGAGCTGGGATGAGGGTTTCAATGTCGGAGGGGTTGATTTGGTAAAATCAGGTGAGACGATGGAGGGAGGAGCGATGGGACGAAACATAACGACTAGCGGCGGTTCTGACTGCAGTGTAGAGAGGATGAGTATCAGGGTGTGCGGACATTCGGATGATAGCCCGATGGCACGTGTTCTGGAGCAATAGGGCCATCGGCAGGAGATTAGCATGTACTTCGAGCACGTCAGTAGCAGTGCTGCGCATAGCCCCGGTCATGGCAATGGCAGCGATGCGCTGGATAGAGGTGAGTTTTTTGGCCACTCCTAGGGATCCTCGCTGCAGGGTGCTAGTGCCTTCACGATATGCTGGTGTAAACCAAAGGTCAGCCGCGTATAGCATCTTGGGGACGGCGGTGGCTTGGTAAAGCTGCCTCATGAGACGAAGTGGGATGCCTTTAGACATGGTGGAAAGTCGTCGAAGCTGTAGAACATAAGCTAATCCCTTGGCCAGCGCGTTGTCAACCTGAGCTTTCCATCTTAACTCCTGATCGAGAATGACACCTAAGAAACGATGAGTGGGAGAAGGACGAATAATGGCACCTCGGAGATGCAACACAGGGCGCTCTCTTTGTCTGTTCATGGAGAAATCAATCAGTGCGAATTTGTTAGTCTCGAATTTTGAGTTGTGGTCTCGTGACCAGTCGAAGGCCCCATTCCGTCGTTCGAGCATGTCCTTGAGGACGCAGTGAGTCTCATGGAAATCCTTACCTATGGCCACTAGGGCCGTGTCGTCTACAAAAGCAAGGGTTAGTTCGGTAAGGGACGCACGTCCATGTCGGGGTTTCGCGATGTCTACAAGATCAGCACTATATATAATATATAAAATCATTGAAAGGGGATCGCCCTGTCCTATACCATTATTGATGTCGATCCAGTCTGAAGTGTACCCGTCGAAGTGTAGCTGCGTCTTGCGGTCCGTGAGGACCTGCTCCGTGAAGTCGACCAATGCTGAGGGCAAGCGTCGATTCCGCATGTTGTGTAACAGCCATTTGGTGACCACGTTCGGGAAGGCCCCCTCGATGTCTAAGAATAGCACCGAGGCAACTTTATGAGAACGCCACACATTTTTGATGGTGTGTTCCAGAAGGTGAAGAGAGTCGGTAGTGGATCTTCCTGGTCAGCCACCGAAATGGGTGTTCGGCAGAAGGTGATGGTGTTCTAATAAGTACGTCAGCTGTTCGGCAACCACGGCGGTAAGGAGCTTGCATGTGGTGTTAAGGAGGGCGATGGGACAATAGGCTTTAGGGACTGTGTAATTCGGTTTGCCGGGTTTCCGAAGTACAACCGTTGTGAATGTCTTCCAAGGGGCATAATATGTGTTGTAATTGAAGACGGCATTAAAAAGATGAACTAGGTATGGAGTCAGTATGTCAGAACAGTTCTTGAATACAATATTGCGGATGCCATCAGGCCCCGGGGCCTTATACCCGCTGAGTTTCGAGATGGCGCGAGTTATCTGGTCATGTGAGATGGGAGAGTGGGGGGCTACGGGGTCAGGGTAAATGAAGTCAGTAGGGATTGAATCAGTAAGAGGAGGAGGAGGGAAGAAGGCTTCGGCGATGACAGCACTCTTTTCGGCATTAGTGGTAACCTCGAAATTGGTGCCGTCTGGTCTCTTGGCGATAAGGGAGGGTATGCGCGATTTCCCCCCATCGCTCGGGGGTAGCGGAAACGTAGCGGTTAGCGGTCCAAAGATCGTTACCCTCGATATCCTCTAACCACTCCTCCCAGTGCTGTTTCTTGGTGGCGGCAATTTCATCAGCGTAACGGTTTTTGAGGGCCTTGTATTCCCGGTGGCATGGATGGTCTTGAAGGCCACGCATCTGGTGGGACTTGCGACTGAGTTTCGCGACTTGCTTGCGCAAGTCGGAGAGGGTACGGGTCCACCACCGCTTGGAGTGTGGGCAGGGTTTGGCCAATGGGACGCAGGCTTCAGCGGTGGACGTGATGGCTCGTGTGACAATTCTGGCCATTTGCTGGAATTCCGCCTCCGAGGCGAGCGGTAGTGGAGGGGTGGATGCGAGCGTGGCGCTGAGGGCTTCTCTAAATGCTTCCCAATCGACCTTGTGCCAATTGGGACGAGGGACGTCATCCTGACGAGCGACTGCAAGTTCGAGTGTTAATAAAATAGGGAGGTGATCCGTTTTAGGGCCCCGTTTTGCTGGCTCGGTATTGCAGGTGATGACGGCATCGAGAGTGCCTTCAGTGCTGAGGACGTTGTCAGGGCGAGTCCAATTGCCAGTGGCATTGGCTTGGAGGGTGGGGATGCCGCACGGAAGTAACTGTAGCATACCATAATCAGCGATCAGGTCAATAAGGGGTTGAGAGAAACAATAATTAAATAGATGGCGATTACGAATATCTTCCCACATGGGGTGGTGGCAATTGAAATCGCCAAGCCAGAGCATTTGGTCGTCCGCCTTTGGTCGGAGTAGGGCAATATTCTGGCCAAGAAAGGCCTCCAGGGCGATTAGGGTGTTTTGGTGGGTACAGTCGTTGTAAATGTTCAAAATGGTGCATACACCGAATTCCCCGGTCATTTGCACAATTACCACATCAGATGATGGGAACGGGATCTGCCGCCATGTGTTCGTGTCGAGCAATGTGTTGACAAAGGTGATTGCACGTGATTTTTCCTGCGGGTGTGTGAGATGGTTAGTGGGGTATAGTACATGCCAGCGGTGGCTGGCGCGGGTGTTGCGAAGATAATTGATATATGGTTCCTGAATAATTAAAAGGTTGTAGTTAGTGATATCCCGGCTGTTCATTAGTGATTCCTGAGCCGCTAGTGACGCGTTCAGGTTCTGCTGCCATATATTAAGACAATTCGGGGTGGGGATAGGTTGTTCAGACATCAAGGAGGGGAGAGTTGGGGCTGGCGGTAGGAGTCGCATAGGTAGACGTCAAAGAGGGAGAGGGGGATGTCAATGATGCCGATGATGGGGTGGATGGTGATGTGGAGGCGATGGCGGAAGGAGGCGAAGACGTTGAGGGGGTTGATGGTGTCAGAGTGGTGATGGGAGTTGGAGTAACCGGAGAGGTCGAGATAATTGAGGAGGACGAGGCAGGCTCAGGCGTTTGTGGAGGGTTGACGCGTTTGAAGGGGAGAGTGGTTTGCAGGTTGGGCAAGGGCTGGATTGTATCATCTGCGGGTGGTGGGGAGCTGGATTTCGCATTGCAGGGGGATACAGAGCGAGAGGGTGGTGTGTTTGATGGCCTAGGAGGGGTAGTGGACGGGAGCCAGGAGGAGCTGGTAGGGAAGAAGGGGAGTTTGTTCTCTGGATATTGTTCATCCAGAGTTTTGCAGCGACGGATGAACTCCGGACATTTGCGACTCCAACTGGTGTGACTTTGGCTCTTGCAACTCACGCAGCATTCAGTTCGGAACGCGTTGCATTGTGCGGTCCTATGACGGCCGCTGCAGGTGCCGCAGATATCGTGGGGGGAGGAGCAGTTGCGAGCCATGTGTCCGAACTTTTGGCATTTGGCGCAACGGAGGGGTTCCTTATGGTCCTTGTTGACGGCATAACGATGGGCATCAATACAGATGCCCTCCTTGAGGATGTTGTTAGCAGTTTCGACATCCTTGACCTGAAGGAGTGCGAAGGCAGTGCGTTGCTCTCTTGTGCGACGCTGGGGAGGCTTAATCCATCGGATGGATGCTATCGAGTTGGGAGGGAGATGGTTCTCAGCTTCAATGTGACGAGGGAAGTCGTCACGTTCGATCTCGTAAGTGATCAGCAGAAATTGTATCACGATGGAGAAGGTCCTGTCCCGAATGCATGCTGTCGAGTCTAAGTGGGATTCGAGCAGTATACAGCCTGTAGGGCCCTTAAGCCAGCCCGCCAAGTTCTCATTGTCGAGTTCCACTATCAGGCCTCCATTGTGGAGACGCTGAACTGCACGGACTGTTCCTGTGGGAGTTCCCTCGCTGCGAATGTCAAGGAGGATGTCGGAAAGTCGTTTGGCGATAAAGGCATTGGTGGTGTCTGCAGGGAAGAGGGAGTGTCCTGATGTTGGGTCGAGCAGGATTTGTTTGGCGCGAATGGACGCTCTAGCTACCGCTTGGTCGATGGAGGGGGGAATATTGGCAGCCGCTACTGAACTGTAGGTGGGGAGGGCTGGGATGGGTGCTGTTGGCTGCGTGATAGTGGGAAGGGGCTGGGATAGTTGAGTCGTGAGGTTGTTGAGACGGTCCTGGGTGAATTCGAGGGATGGTGTGAGAAGCTTGTAGGAGTTGTTACAGTCCTCAATGGACTCATAGAGAGTGTCCACTGCGTCCTCGATGCGTTCAGCTGCTGTTTTGAGATCATTCCTTTCTTCCTCTTTCTCCCGTTCCATGGTGTCGTGAAGTTGCTTCGAGTGGTCAAATGTTGTCTTTAGGGCCTCTGCGGTGGTGTGTATGGACGCTACTTGGGGGGCAATTGCTGCTATGACGTTATTGACGATGTTGGCCGAAAGAGAATCCGCGAGTTGTTCGGCTGCGATTTTTGCGACCACTTCTGCAATTTCTGAGGCAGCGTGCTGTTTGAGAATGAAAGCCACAGCCCGGATGGCATTGGTGACGGCGAGCGGGATAGGTTTGGCCATTTGGGTGACTTGAAAAAGGACTCCCGCCAGATGAAGTGGGGAGAGGGGTTCGTCAGCCTGGCGAAGGAGGACACTAGTTAGATACTTCTCTGCCGATTCCAAACCTGTCACAGCTCCTGGTAATGCCTCGATATCCTCTTGCGACATCTGATTCCTTGGGGTAGTGGTGTTGCGAATGGTTGTATTAGTTAAGGTAGCCAGTTGGCCCTTTTTCTCTGGTGCTTTACTGGGCGCCATATGCTAAAAAGTTAGTATCCAGAAGTTGTTTTTTGGGTTTTTTGAGGGGTTTTGAGGAGAAATAGGTTCGATTGGTGACGCCGTTGGGCGACGTAGGCACCGTTGGGCACGATGTCCTGGTGTGGTGTCTGGGGTCCTGATTCGGGGTGCCACTTAGTGTGGGACTAAGAGGCGCTTGCTGCATTGAATATGGCAAGTGAGTCCCGCGCTATCGTGGTTCGGAGTACCGACAGTACTGTCATATCATTTCAAGCGCACTCCCAGCGAGTTTTACATTGGATACATACTATATAGTATACAACTGTACTTACCTCATCCAATTCTGTTCGGGTTTACCAGTGTAGTAAGGTCAGCGCGTCAACGGTCAGCGCTGCTTGTTGATGAAATACAATGGAAAATAAATTTGCGCTTAGTCATCGTTCGGTTGTTCGGTTGCAGCGTTGTACTTTCAAACATCGTCAAGCTCACATATCTGAACTCTGGAGCATCAAACGTAGATCTGGAATCCAGTTCAGAACGTTTGGAATATTGCAACAGTGAGGACCGAACTTTTCCATCATTGGCCGAGTCGTTCAACTCAGACTCAGTATGACCTTGTCTAATGGCAATCTAATCATAGTCTTTTGATAGTGTTGTATCACTGCATCGTGGTCTTCCCCCTTGTCAAGTCCCAACTACTGTGCCGCTCCAGTATGATTCCACACAATACATACCGCGTCAGGGCGCCCTCACTCAAGCTGCGTCAGCCCCGTGTTACAGCCGGACAATCATCGATTCATTCATGTCGCATTGACAGTATCCCATAAATGCTGCATTGCATTTCTCACATGCCACGTAAAGCGGAAGCGTCGCTGTGCTCGTTGGCAGTACAATTGCATGCTTCGACCATATAAGTTTCCTGGGTCATCCATGGTGCATCAGTGTTCCCACTCTTTTATTCAACATGCATTCGTTTTTCACCCTGCTTCGCGCAATTCTCCTTGTCACGGTGACCTCTGTATCGGCTTCAAGTTTCTTTAGCGTTCCCCTGACAAAGTTTGCGCCTCCGAACTCATACCTTGTGGGATTACCAGATGCTGATCGTGCACGTGCTGCTGTACTTAAGAGCTTTACTTGTGGTGGTCCTAAGACTGTCCTTGCATCCAACCTCGCATATGTCCAGTATACAACCAGTGTTGGCGTTGGCAGCCCTCCGACGTATTATAATTTGGTTGTTGACACTGGTAGCTCCAATACTTTTGTCGGGTAAGAACTGATTGGTTATTCCCTCAGGCTAATTCTCATTTTATCTCAAGAACTGGGACGCCGTATGTCAAAACCTCGACCAGCATCTTCACTCATGAGAAGGTCAATATCACTTACGACACTGGTTACTTTCGTGGCTTGGAGTGTAGGTCTTTTTGGCTGCCAAGGAACGGTAACATCTGAAAATTCAACCTTCAGATCTCGACCGGGTGACGCTTGCTCCAGGTCTGGTCATCACGAACCAGTCTATTGGCGATGCTCTTTCCTATGCCGACTTCGGTGGCGTCGATGGTATCATCGGGGTGGGCCCCGTCGGTCTGACTGAGGGTTCACTCTCAACAAATGTCAATGAGCTGGTTCCCACTGTTATGGACAACGCCCTCTCACAGGGTTTAATCACAAAGGAAATATTAGGTATCTCTTTTGCACCCGCAACAAGTTACAACGACACTAGTAAGAGAGATCGTGTGGTATAATCGAAGGCGATTTAATTTACGTGCAGATGGAGCCCTCACTTATGGAGGCATCGATTCATCCTTGGTGAGCCCAAAAAGTATGTCCTAAATCATGGTTCTGAACTCAATCCAGTACACCGGCGAAATCACTTATATACCTGTCACTACAACTTTTCCTGCTAGCGCCTTCTGGGGCATCAATGTCACCCATGCAACGTACGGCTCCGCAACGACCGTTATCCCAAAGTCAATCGCCGGGATCGTCGATACTGGCACCTCTCGTAGGGCCTTATCTCCCATCCACATGCATGCTTTCTGACACATCTCTAGTGATCATCCTCGCTGATGACTTCTTCGAGTCCTACATGAATGCTATTCCTGGTGCCAAGCTCAACAAGACCGCGGGCCTCATGTACATCCCTGAAACCTCTGTCTCAAAGATCCAACCGTTGAATTTTACTATCGGCGGCACCGTCTTCACTCTTGACGCTGCAGCGCAACTCATTCCGATTGGCGAGAATGCTGCATGGGGCTTGCCAACAAACGAGCAGTACGGCGTTGTGACGCACATGGGGCTTCACAGCGGCGCAGGGTTAGATTTCGTCATCGGGCAGAAGTTCATGGAGAAGTACTATGCTGTGGGTTGTTGAATTGCGATGTGATCATGTAGTCCGGGTATTGATTGAATTGCAGGTTTTCGACACGGATAACAATCGCGTTGGGTTGGCTTATACGTGAGTTTTTCCCTTTGTATCTAATTTTCTCCTCCGGCTAAGAAGTTTGAAAGTAAACATACGTTTACTACGTAAACTTTTTGATCTGAGTGCCTTTTTAGAGGTGATGGCAGTACAAGTTTCTCTTGCTCTAATCGGATTACAATTCACTGCGCCACTCCTTAGGACTTTGTTTTCATTGCAACTTTTAGGATGCGATCATGTGGTGCTTATCAGTACTACGACTGGGAGATATGGGTGCGTCGTTTCACATACACACTAGGAACTGGGACATGAGAGCAAGGGTTACCCGAGGCGTCGAAAACCTTCTTCGCATACTGTAGGAAATCCTTAACTGGGCATGAGAGTAAAAATATAAGCGACACTTAAAGCTCAAGGCAAGTGAGCGCATCGTAGCGGTGTGTTTTCAATAGACGATGCTCCTTTTGGCTTTTTGACCTTTCTTTCATCTGGGTACTCTTTTCTTCGCGCGTCGTAGTCCAAGCCTCGCCTTCAAGACGCTTAAATACAGCAACCTGGCTCGCACCGCCTAGCTCTTCATCTCCGCTCCACTTATCTTTCTCCTGTGCACAGCCAATAATCGTCGTATCCACGTCATATGCCCATTCCTGCTCAATGCCAGCACACCACTACTGGAACTCCTCGACTGTCATTCAAATTTGTGGTCGTGGTACCTGAACATCCTGTCTGTGCATTTCGTAAAATCGGGGAAGCCAGTGGCGGTGTTCGTCAAGCCAGGAGGGTGGAAACGCGCGTTGAAGCTGTACGACGGGATCGTCACGTACACGTTCAAGATCTGTCAGACGTCTCAGAATCGAAGCGTGACTTAAGCACAACCAACTATGACCCAAATGCCGAGAGAAAAGACCTTTGGTGAGTACTAATACATGACCGATACTAAATAGTACCCGAGACCAGCACGACATTGAAAAGACAAGGAGGAGTTCCACAAACCTTGACGCGTGCGTACACAACCGCAGGTCCCGTGACCGAAATGCGAAACGTGAGGGCGAGGTCAGCAAGAATCACTTCTGGGAGACGTTGGACGCTTGAAATGAAAAGTACCACAAAAAAAATCGATGACAGACATACACCTCTGTGCCAACGATACATTCTGTATTAACAAAAGCTGGGTTGAAGATCTTGAGCCCGCTGTGCCAGATGTTTACTTCGAGTGGTTCCTATCGTGTGTATGATGCATTTGCGGCGGCGGCGTCTTCGATTGCGGATGCAAGTGCGTGAGATGAGATATTGAGGTTGGTGATGTGCATTGGGTAGAGGTTGAGATCATCCGGATCGAGTGCACTGCGCTTGGCTCAACGTGACCGCTGTATCAAGTCTTAAAATTAATACCCTTAGTCTACAGGACGGTAATCAGTTCAGAGTAGGCTGAGATTACGAAGTTCGAGTGACTTACAATTTCCAACGGGACCAAGACTGGGTGCACGATACAAGTGAGACATTGCAGTTAAATAGCCCTGAAAAACGTGCAGTGTAATAGTGCGCTAGGAAAAGTGGATGCGTTCGAGGGTGGCTGGCCATCGGCGTGTCAATACTGGCAGCTTCAGTTGAACGTGTCTGACTTGAACGACATCCAAGTTGACTCGGAGTAGTTTGGAGGTGACAGCGGACAAGGATTTGGTGGTTTTTGCTATCTTGAAAATGACATCCTATGGAGAAGCTATCGTAGGAGGTTGGGATTATGTGATCTGTAGCCAGAGCTTGTGGTACAGTACTTAGTTGAACGTTGAGTGTTCATGGTGACATTGAATATAGCAAGTGAGTCCCGCGCTATCGTGGTCCGGAGTACCCGAGTGACAGTCATATCATTTCGAGCGCACTCCCAGCAAGTTTTACATTGGATACATACTATAAAGTACAACTGTACTTTCCTCATCCAATTCTGTTCGGGTTTGCCAGTGTAAGATCAGCGCATCAGCTGGCGCTCTTGTTGATGAAATACAGTGGAAAATAGATTTGCGCTTGGTCATCATTCAATTGTTCAATTGCAACGTTGTACTTTCAAACATCATCAAGCTCACATATCTGAACTCTGGAGTATCAAACATAGATCTGGAACCCTCGATCCAGTTCAGGTTTGGAATATTGCAACAGTGAGGACCGAACTCTTTCATCATTGGCCGAGTCGTTCAACTCAGACTCAGTATGACCTTCACTGCATCGTGCGTCTTCCCCCTTGTCAAGTCCCAACTGCTGTGCCGCTCCAGTATGATTCCACACAACACATACCGCGTCAGGGCGCCCTCACTCAAGCTGCGTCAGCCCCGTGTTACAGCCGGACAATCATCGATTCATTCATGTCGCATTGACAGTATCCCATAAATGCTGCATTGCATTTCTCACATGCCACGTAAAGCGGAAGCGTCGCCGTGCTCGTTGGCAGTGCAATTGCATGCTTCGACCATATAAGTTTCCTGGGTCATCCATGGTACATCGGCGTTCCCACTCTTTTGTTCAACATGCATTCGTTTTTAACCCTGTCTCGCGCAATTCTCTTTGTCACGGTGACCTCTGTATCGGCTTCGAGTTTCTTTAGCGTCCCCCTGACAAAGTTTGCGCCTCCTAACTCATACCTTGCGGGATTACCAGATGCTGATCGTGCACGCGCTGCTGTACTTAAGAGCTTTACTTGTGGTGGTCCTAAGACTGTCCTTGCATCCAATCTCGCATATTCTTATTACACAATCAGTGTTGGCGTTGGCAGCCCTCCGACGTACTATAATTTGATTGTTGACACTGGTAGCTCCAATACTTTTGTCGGGTAAGAACTGATTGGTTATTCCCTCAGGCTAATTCTCATTTTATCTCAAGAACTGGGACGCCGTATGTCAAAACCTCGACCAGTATCTTCACTCATGAGAAGGTCAACGTCACCTACCACACTGGTTACTTTCGTGGCTTGGAGTGTAGGTCTTTTGGCTGCCAAGGAGCGGTAACATCTGAAAATTCCACCTTCAGATCTCGACCGGGTGACACTCGCTCCAGGTTTTGTCATTACGAACCAGTCCATCGGTGATGCTCTTTCTTATGCTGACTTCGAGGGCGTCGATGGCGTCATCGGGGTGGGCCCCGTCGGTCTGACTGAGGGTTCACTCTCAACAAATGTCAACGAGCTGGTTCCCACTGTTATGGACAACGCCCTCTCACAGGGTTTAATCACAAAGGAAATATTAGGTATCTCTTTTGCACCCGCAACAAGTTACAACGACACTAGTAAGAGAGATCGTGTGGTATAATCGAAGGCGATTTAATTTACGTGCAGATGGAGCCCTCACTTATGGAGGCATCGATTCATCCTTGGTGAGCCCAAAAAGTATGTCCTAAATCATGGTTCTGAATTCGATCCAGTACACCGGCGAAATCACTTATATACCTGTCACTACAACTTTTCCTGCTAGCGCCTTCTGGGGCATCAATGTCACCCATGCAACGTACGGCTCCGCGACGACCGTTATCCCAAAGTCAACCGCTGGGATCGTCGATACTGGCACCACTCGTAGGGCCTTATCTCCCATCCACATGCATGCTTTCTGACACATCTTTAGAGATTGTCCTCGCTGATGACTTCTTCGAGTCCTACATGAATGCTATTCCTGGTGCCAAGCTCAACAAGACCGCGGGCCTCATGTACATCCCTGAAACCTCTGTCTCAAAGATCCAACCGTTGAATTTTACTATCGGCGGCACCGTCTTCACTCTTGACGCTGCAGGCGCAACTCATTCCGATTGGCCAGAATGCTGCATGGGGCTTGCCAACAAACGAGCAGTACGGCGTTGTGACGCACATGGGGGCTAACAGCGGCGAAGGGTTAGATTTCATCATCGGACAGAAGTTCATGGAGAGGTACTATGCTGTGAGTTGTTGAATCGTGAGGTGATCATGTAGTCCGGGTATTGATTGAATTGCAGGTTTTCGACACGGATAACAATCGCGTTGGGTTGGCCTTATACGTGAGTTTTTTCCCTTTGTATCTAATTTTCTCCTCCGGCTAAGAAGTTTGAAAGTAAACATACGTTTACTACGTAAACTTTTTGATCTGAGTGCCTTTTTAGAGGTGATGGCAGTACAAGTTTCTCTTGCTCCGATCGGGTTATAATTCACTGCGCCACTCCTTAGGACTTTGTTTTCATTGCAACTTTTAGGATGCAATCATGTGGTGCTTATCAGTGCTATGACTGGGATATATGGGTGCGTAGTTTCACATACACACTATGAAATCCTAACTGGGACATGAAAGCAAAAATATAAGTGACACCTAAGCTCAAAGGCAAGTGAGGGTCAGCAGCGCAACATCGTGTCTGGTAATTGACAGTCTGAAGTTAGTACTGGCGGTATAGACTGATTAATTAAGCTTTATGCAAATTAACTTGTAACTTGCCCCAACAATGTCAATGATCGAGATCGATCATGCATTGGCGATCATGATGACATGTACCACAGCCAGCGAGAGGTGCTAGTGATGGACACTCGTATGAAACTCACCTTGAAAGAAGGAACGACTGTCTTTTCGAGGTTCCTTCTAGAGTCAAGATCTACCTGCAGGAGAGTAGTATATATAGACACTCGCACTGCCGTGAGTCATGGAATCAGCATAGTCTTTCATTTTATTCGTACAACTGATACGTCTCAGTAAGTAACCTGGAACACTTTAATATTATAGACGAACAAGTTGATTCAGGTACTTCCAGTTACTTCTTCATCTTCAAACAGTTTGAAATCCATACCCTGCGGAAACCCATCCAGAATAAAATCCAAAGAATTCCTCCTGTGTTTCCCCAACCACGCAAGACAACCGACGATGGCCATCTCGTCTACCCACTTGCTAAGGGTTTCGCCTAGAGTACTCCCTCCCAGCGATGGCTTATATCCCGGGAGCGACTTTCGCAGTATCATCTTCATATTCGAAAAGAGCAACTCTGAATGCTCTTCGGACATCTTGTAAAGGAGCCGGGCCTTGGGCCTTTCGCGCGGCTGCGAAGAGTACGGTTTTGGCAGCGACCGCAGCATTGTATGACTGAGACATTGGATTATAGATGCCGTTAACTCGTAATAGTTCTGACTGATGGGATTAGTGGTCGGCCCAGCCATGCCGCATATTCCTCGTAATGAATATGCCATATGAAAGCCTGAAGAGAAACTTGATAGTGAAGCGCGCTCATACATAAACTGCGCGAAACTCGCAACGGTTCCATCTGTTGGGGTGCCTTTCTTGAATAGCCTTGACAAGATTTCGAAGGCCTGTGGGCTGGTACACAAGAGCGCATGCCACACTCCAGGGCTGCTTGACGCACGTGTGAGAAAGCTCACTACGGCGACTTCATCTTGAAGCTCTTCCAAAATCCCTTCACCTCCAGACATCACTGCGCCCAATCTGCTCATACAAGGTATCATGAATTTGAAAAGTTGAGAAGACGACTCGTTGGAGATCGAAGGGAGTAAGGGAGCAAAACTGACGCCTTCTGCGAAAGACTCTTCCGAATCTTTGCAGACCTCGAAAGCCTTCTCGACTTCTCGGTTGATTTCATCTGCAAATGAAGTGGGTTTTGCTTTCTCCATGATTCTAAAGACTAGATGTGCCCTGTCGTATGCCGTCTGGAACTGTTTGCTACCAGTGCATATCTGCATTAGAAGCACATAGAGCACTACATCAACAAGTGTAAGTGCATCAGCGTCCTGGTCAAGGACAGCTGCTGGCGATCGTAATGATGGGCGAAGAGCCGACACTCCTGTGTCCGTGGTATCCGACAATCGCGCAATGAGCGGAACGAGCAGCTCGCTTGCAAGGAAATTGACTGGCACACTTCGGAACGCGCGCACGGTGCGGAGCATAATCTCCCTTGACAGGAAGGTCAAAGAGCCTGTCTTTGTCACGTTGACTAATAGAACGGAATTAAACTCCAATGTTTGGGGTCGCGACAGTTTTGTGATTTTAAACACAAAACTGTCATTCGCCCCTTCCTGGGAGGATCTGTAACGTGCCATTGACATCGCAGATCCGAAATTTACGTGGTCGATATGTTTACCGCGTTCTCCTTGGGCGTAAATTGGTGTTGGTGGTGTTGGATTTACGTTGAGCAAGGAGCTCACGAATGCGCCCGGCTTTATACATTCTTTCAATTCTGGACGCGATATCACATGACGCAGGACGATAGCAATGCGAGGGCTGACAACGAATATGCGGTGCAGGCCGGGGAAGCCACCTCCCAAACCTTCCCACAAACCAAATGCGTTGTGCGTGATAATAAATTCTTCTCCTTCTGCGGCTTCCCAGATACTGAAGAAGTAGTTGTTCGCGTGACCATGGTAAGTGTAAGCTGGGAAGTGTTCGAGATCAGGTGGGATATGCGATCCAATCATCATTTTTTGAAGACCTTCTTCGCCGTACTTCTCCACGAGGTCTGCAGCATCTCGCATGATGTCTGAATGAGATGAATCGAGGTAGTATCTGAGGAAGTGTAGCCATGTTTCGACGGCGGAATGGATACCCTTCGCCTTCATGAACGACTCGATCCACTGACGGCCTCCTGCATTCTCCGGGTGATCTGCCTGGAAGTAGGTGCCGGAATATGATACATTGCGATAATGCATAATAAACAGGAATTTCCGCACGAGCTCTAGCGACCTCCGCTTTAGAGTGAAAGTGCCCTGAGGAAGCGCTTTATGCATGTCCATGATAATGGAGGCTGCATGACGTTCGAGGTCCGCTAATTTTTCTTCTAGTTCGTTGATATTGTGGGTGTTACGAACGTCCTGGTAGACATTCAGTGCGCCGTAAACCTTTCCGATAGGACGAATGTCAAGGCTACCCGTAGCAATATCATAGTAGTGGACGTATTCAGGATCAACACCAGTGAGTCGAAATTCTTTTTGTCGTTCTGTCTTGGACCTGCAAAGAATATTATTCAGTGTTCTGGTCCAGTGTCTACATGCAGAGTGCTCGAGAGAACTCTGAAAACACACTTCACAGGTCCGACTTGGAATCTTCGCAATATGAATCGTGGAATGAAATGTTGGTATTGTGTCGTAGCGTCTGTCTTCTGAGCTTCTCCGGTAACCTCTGTTCTGGCTTGTTGTTTTGGCGTATTCCTGCGACGTCGTGTCATGCTGTAGAGTTCAACGAATCTAAGAAATAAGCGCTGAGCGCTGAACACGCCACAGCTGGCATATTTGTGGCACTGTTATCGAATACTTAAAGAGTATGCAGTACTATACCAGATATTAAGTCATGTGATGGATGGACGTTGAACTTCATCGATGAAGTTCAAACTCAAACTTTGTTTCAACCTGTGACCACTGGCATCCATCTATGACAGATGAGACCATTCAAGATCCTGAAAGTCGTAATAAGTTGTAGTCTCGGTATCCGGTGAACTTACGAAAGTCAGAGTTAACCGGCCGGGAAACCTGGCAGCCCGTCTGGTTCCCCATCGGGATACATCTCAGCCGAACGATTACTGATTACATAATTACAGTGCTACTTGCTTCAAAACTAGCCAGTGTGTTTTCTTTCGATGTAAAGCCCGACGTGAAGTTAAAGGCAAGTCATTCAAATTACATTTTACATTCCAGTTGCATCACGATCTACATAGCCTGAGAGATGTGTGCCATTCAGCCATGAACACCTGATCCTTCATTCGTTAATCCTGACATTCGTCTTGCGTCGAAATAACATGCCAATATTTGTCAGTATAATTTCCATCCTGCCTGTGTGCCCGCCAGCCCGACGCTGAAACAGGAACATGACTTCTGTGGGGATGATACAAGCCGCTCAGCTCCACTTGCAGACCCATCAGCTCCTTTATGGATGCCGTTTCTTTGATCCAGACCTGCAAATGCACGAAAACCAATGAAGCTCAGCTCTGGGCTTGGAAATTCGGCAAATAATATATATAGATCCTGAGATTGATGACTTGAAGTTAGCATAGAGTTGCTTGCAACACCACTACATAATTACAGACCGCAATCAAACCTCATAGCGACGCACCCGGAGAGGCGCACTTCCAGCATTCCCAACAACTCCCGGCCTTGGTAAAGTGCCCAAACCCTCCACAATCTGCGCTCCAGGGCCATCCATCATCTCAAACACAAATTTTCGCACAAGGACGAACAGCACAGCCTACAGGACGAAACCAGACCCGGTCAAAATAATCAGGAACCAATACTCAGTGCGCAGCTGCGTACCTTGAACTCTGTCAACGCAAATAGTCTCCCTAGGCACATCCGCGCTCCATCGCCGAATGTCATTAAATGACGGTACCCATGCAGGTTTTCTCTGGCCCCAAGCGTACCCTCGTCCCCTTCAAACCACCGAGAAGGTTTGAACGCCTCTGCGTCAGGGCCCCACATGCTAATGGAACAATTGAGTGCAGCGAACGGGACCACGATCACAGTTCCCTTCGGGATACATACGCTCTCGGTGAAGTTACCGTTAGCTGTGCGCATGGGTTCGCTGAGCGGAATCACATCTTCTTGCATAGCCTGTCATAGTCAATTTGAATGGTTTGTATTGCATTCGAGTCGGATACGCACCAATCGCGGGATCTCTTTGACTGGTCCGTGGAGGCGAAGAACTTCGTTCACCACAGCGTCTAGGTAAGGAAGCTTATTCGTGAGGTCGTCATATGAGGGGGTTGGCCCAAACTCTAGACACTCGTCACGAAGCTTCCCCTGTAGGTCTGGATTCTTCGCAAGTTCTACTAAAGCCCACTGTGGAGTTGAGAAGTACGGTTGGAGTAGCGAATGGTTCAAGACTTACTGTCATAGTGACTGATTAAAATGCAAGGAGTGGTAAAAATGTGCATGCGAACATTTGCTAGATGAATGCATGTTACCTGCAGTGGTCTCAAAGCCGGCGAGAAGGAGAACCCTTGCCTGGTGAAGACGAAGATCAGCATCCCATCGTTCAGAAGTGTTCTATTATTCGTGTACCTCGTCTAGTACTTCTTGTGGAGTCAGTCCCGTGCTCTCACCAGATCCCTCTGCTTTCACTACACAACGATTTCAATGCTTACAATTTTGCAAAAGAAAGGCAGGACTCACAGAGCAAACCCAAACACGATTTGTCCCCTTGCTCAGCGCCGCCAGTCTCCTTTTCCTTGCGTGTCCGCAATAGCATCTCCTCGCATACTTTGCCAACTATCAGGCGAAACTTTCGGGTGAATTGTGTGCGAGGCAATGGCAGCTTCAGAATGGCAGGAAAGTTTTGTGCCAATATGAACAAGTTACTGGAAACATGGGTGGATGAACCAAATGCATTCAGGACGTTCACGACATCGGAGTCATTTCCATCGAGCGCGCCGAAGTCATGGGAAAGAATGCCTATGCCTGCACTGTCGAGTCTATGTGGCAGGCGATGGATGAGACGTCAGCCTGGTAGAAAGAAATGCATATACATACGAGATATGATTCATCCTGTATAATGTATCTGAGTGCACAGTACGAAACTTTGGAGGAAGAAATATACCATCGTTCAACATCAATTACTGCGCAATGTGTTTTTTGGTTCAATTCTATCTCAGCGTCCCAAGCGTTCGCTGTCTGTAACACATTCTGAATGAAGTGCAGGGTGAATCAATATCAATCAGTGACTGACCTTGTGAGCGGCATCATGGAAAACATATGTCAAACTACGAATAGCCGCCGCGGTAAAGGGAGGGTTGAGAGCCTTGCGCTGCCTAACGAATGAAAGAGAATGATATGGATTTAGCCCAGCACAACTTAGAGGTCTCACTTCCAACCTTTTGTGACTTTCACCATCGGCCCACAACACTCCTCTCCCGGTCTATTAGTTGCATAAGCGCGTCGTTACCCTATAACTGTACAGTAAAGTAAAGGGACATACCGTTGCTTCAAGGGCGATCTTGTTGAACGGAGTTTGGTTATACGACCATGTGTCTCTTGCAAAGAAATGAGAGATTGCTTTCGGGTCCCATAATATGACCATGGAGCTTCCAAAGACACCCGGAACCTTATACACTGGGCCGTACTCTTTGGCCCAACGCTCGTACAGCTCAGTTGCAGCGGTAGAATTCAGCCGTGACTTGCTAAAGCCAAATACCCAGCCTGGGCTCGGAGGTCCTCGTATGGGCGTCGTTCGTTTTTTTCGGCGATAGACTTGTAGGAGATAGAGAGACGCCAGTGTCACGACCGCGATACCTGCCGTTGAGCGTGGCAGGGGCGAGACCAGGCAAAGATCCTTGAAGGCAAGCCAAATGTCCTTGCCGCAGTGCCTACTTTGCAACAAACCCATGGTTGTTAACAAGATCAATCACTGGCAGTACCCGCTCTTAAGTGTTAGACGTGGCAGGCAGCAAACGGGCAAGTGACATAACGTCAGCTGGTCACCTGCGCCGGCTGTATCTGCATCAGGACCCATCAGTGAAGTTGACAACGGCAAGCGTTCACCGAGCTATAAGGTTTAAACAGCCGGAGTTGGCCGGTGTATGTTAACTCTGACCCCCACTGTCCGAGTCCTTCAAGCTATCTGAAAGACTGGCGATCATTGCTCGAATTTCGAGTTTATCATCTTGCATAGTTAGCGACTTGGATGTCCACATCGTGAGTGATACGCAGCGGGGCAATTTGCAAGTAGAATTGCGAGGAGTGAATTCTTATTGGAGTGCTATGGGAAGGCAAGGGCAAAAGGTGTCAGCTTTGACGTTTTCACTGTACAGGACGGCAAGACAAGTTGTAATTGCTTCAGGAAGGGCTTGGGAGTCAAATATTCATCAATCATCTTTCACATCTATCAAAGACGTTCAAGTTGGGGCATTCGCTCGCTGGCAATCGCAAGTTGAGCACTCCCTCCTCGCAGCTTACCGAACTCCTGGATAATTGTTATCTTCCATCCACTTCAAGGCATACCCCGCTTCAACCTGTTCATGTTCGTTATGTCTCTTCGACGATATCCTGCCTGGGCTTCCACAGACTTGATTCATCCAGGTTTACTTCAAACTTGATTAGGTTGGCAGATATAAAGAACGTCTTCAGCGGCGTGCACCTCGGCGGCCTTCCAAATGGCAGATATGGTGGCTTGTAACGTACGTGTCGTGCTACCTGCGGGTCTATCGAGTGTGCGGACAGAGTTGGTCTTGATATCGTGAGGCCATCGTTTTCGGTGCATCTACAATGAAACACGCCTGTCGGATCATCTTTATTAACGCATCTTCGCAGGATCGTTGGCATCCTAGAAAACGGATGCTAGCAAACGATTCACATGTTTCGGTCTGAGATGCCAGGGCAAAGCCTTAAATCTTTGGAATCACCTGCCATGGCTCCATTGATTTAATTATATGTTCCATGGGAAGACGACTATTGCAGTCAAATCACTAAACTCGCTTCTCAACGGCATTACCAATTCTCAAATTGACGCACATCCTTTTCCCTCGCATTTACACCTTTCTCAAAGAAGAGTCATGGTGCCAGTTCTTCGTCGGTGCGTCACCTTACCTCAACCTACACTTGCTTATCTGCCCTTGCTCCTCGCAAACACCGACTAATACTGTCAAGCTTGTTCCACAATCAGGGACATCACGCATGACAAACCATTTTAAGTTAGAGTATGATTACAACTCGTGTTTTGTCATGTGAAGCACCAGCACTAACAATGCTGTGCAGGGCGATGATACAAACCACACGTTTCGTCTTTGCTCGCGTGTACATCATGATCATATCAGCATTCAACCTGTAGATGCGATGCGCAAAGTTTTTGTGAGATCTCCAATATCATCGCCCCTTAACTCCTCCATCTAATAATATTTAACTATTTTGGAGATACGGCGGCATTGTGAGACGGCCAAGTGTGATGAATGACATAAAACAGAAGACCCGCTCAGTCGCTGTCTATTGTCTAATTTCCATATGACCAGATGCCATTTTGCACCACCTCCGACTTGTAGTTCTGGAGCGAAGTAACAAAGCGCCCTCAAAGATAAATGATGCCTGGCCGGCCGGCCCGTTACAGTGCATCATGATTGCATTTGTTCCCGATATCAAACCTTGTGCCTCATTGTGCAGGCAGTACTCCCACCATCAGCGTAAGAAGCTATAGAATAGATAACAACGCAGTACACTGATCGTGAGGTCTAGATAAATGTATTGCTGGTAGAAATTGTTCAGCCTCTGCGTAGGACCTCTTGCCATAAGTTGATCTGCACTGTGTGCATATGATCGCAACAGGTTTATTGTACGTACGAGGCTGCATATGATGATGTGAACATGGCAAACCCCAGCGCCACCATACGGAATCCATGCTGTGATTTCCTCGCACAAGATCTGCATTCAAAAGTTCACAAGTACGTCATACGAGTAGCTCCTCTTATTTATATCTTGGAGATATGACAATATTGCCACTCCTCGGGTGGATAACTGTTGCCGTGATACGTTAGTCCACAAGTATGCACCGCATCGTGGGACTTCGACATCGCACCTTCGGCGCCGGCCCTCGCTAGAAATTCATGCATCAGCCATGCTGTACTTGTACGTCTCAAACATGCTTCTACCATCAGCGCTCATGGTGTCATAAGTAATCATGACACTCTCATAGAAGGATTTATGCGGTTATTCTAGGGTATATAGCACGGTGAACCTGCTGTTGGTAAATCCGTTCAGTCAACGACAATGTCTTCCTCGGCGCAGGACGCTCCTCCACAACTCAACCTAGGAAACACATTTGGAGCACTTTTTATTGGAGTCATCCTGGCAGCAGTGTTAGTAAGCTATTCCCTCATTATGCAGTCAAAAGCTGAGCGACCTTTTATCCCATGGTCCGAACAGTCTCTTTGGTCTAACCAATGTTCAAGCTTTCATCTACTTACAAGCGCATCGGAGCGCGGGAATAACATTTTTTAAGCTGGTTGTACGTTTATGTTGCCTTGTTGTCGGTTCCGGTCTTGATGACGCATTCTGGCAGGTTGCCTGGCTTTGGTAGGCTTCTCTTCGATTTGCAATCATTGATCGCGTAGAGATCGTTTCCCAAATTTGTAGGATATTTGATGCTCTGCATCTGGCCTTGACGATCCATGCCGTCTATTATTATTTGGTGGCCAACTATGGAAACTTTAGTGTGCTCGCGGAAATTGTATGGAGTCTCAAAGTGAGTTTCTACTATGGCCCTACGTGCAACCTCTACTAATGGCCCCGGACAGCTTCAGTTAGTAATCAACGTAAGTCGTGTTTCTGTTCTCTGTGATCTACCCACAACACGCACTGTACAGATTCTAATCGTTCCTATGGTACATCTGTGAGTTTAATAACTGTTGCCTACAACATTCAAGTCATGTCGTGCTCGACAGTTTGTATGTTCATCGCATATGGAAAGGTGATTATTCCCTTACTATCGTGAATTTACCACGTTTACTAAATGAACCTAGTAAGCAAGGGTCGATCAACAGTTCTCCCAGCCATATCATTGGTGGGTTTGCCATCTGGGTTTAATCGCATTTCATTTTGTTGATTCACTGTCAGGGCACGGTCTTGGTATTTAGTTCAGGTGAGTTTGTTGCCTGAAAATGTTGTCATACGATCTTGAACCTCTCCTCAGGTGTTGCTATCCGTAAGATTTCAATGGTGCTCTTCTTACTAGTATTGGCTCATCGTTTTACCTAATGATAGCCCTTGTGTGGGAGCAGTGAGTCACGCGGTTCCCTAACTTCAAGAGGTGCTGATAGCGAGTAGATACAAGACCAAGTTTTTCACGGATTTGACTGGGATCATATGGACGACATATCTGGCTTTGGGAGCGGCCACTTTTATCGATATTCTCATTGCATCATTGCTATGCTATTTCCTCGCCACTTCACGTACTGGGTTCTCTAGGTACAGAGCAGCTCGTTCCGTATCGGGATCTGATATACTAACGCAGGTTGCTCAGAACCGACTCATTCATCACAAAGCTCGTGGGCTATACTGTCAGTACCGGGTGTCTGACAAGGTATCCCTCCTTCCAGTATACCCCCATAGTACTTTGACTAATATTTCGACAGCATTTGTTCGATGTTAATCATAATCACAGTGAGTTATATCTATTGTATTGTCTGCATCGGAGGTCTCTGAGGGTTGCTTGCAGTGTATTGTGATGCCGAAAACCTTTATCTTCATCAGTCTCCAATTTTTAGTGACTAAACGTATGATCGACAACACATTCTCTTATGATCATGCTGATATACCGTTTCAAGTATATGTCAACTCGTTCATCGCATTTCTGAACGCGCGATACTACATGCAGACCGACGCGATTGTCGAACTTCCCCAGTCTTATGAGCGCCACGTTGTCTACCACGCGGAACTCCACAGTAGTCCGTCGCAAGACGAAGGGTTTCAAAAATCCGAGGGGGACCCAAACGGTGAAGTATTACATCTCACGCAACCTATACAGGCTGCTATGGTTGGTGGTTTTGACATCGTTGATGGAAGAGGGCTAATTGACGCACTACCTTAGCCATAGGCGACGACATTGATGATTGAAATGAAGTTTTTAGTTTGTTGGATCTATTAGTACGCATGGATGTTGGCTGCTTGTGTAATGACATGGTTTGTATTCTAAAAGTCGCCTCATCTTCGAGGGGGTTTGGAAAAGCCGGCGGGGACGGCGGACAGGTGGGGTACGAGGTTCTGAAACTAGAGGAAAGGGCTGGCAGAAACTTTGTTTACCGTTCATCGTACGGAGCATCAGAGTGAGTTCCTCATTATAAGACCTTCGTTTTTCTGGCTATTGAATTTTAGTGTAAGAGGTAGAATGTTCGTCGAGACTGTGCTGGAACGCAGACATCGCTGATCCTTCCGAATTTCATATGCACTGCGGCGTCTACCGCTCAGAGCTTCAGGCATCTCGGACGGTTCCGACAGTGAAGAGTTGCATATCGCTAAGCTGTTCTATTCAGACCTCCACCGGCGGTAGTTGCGTCATCGCGGCAGAGCTGGATGACGCATGTTCGTCACAGCCATGGACAAATTTCCCCAGAAGGGGTTTTATACTATTCATGAATTAGTATGTTTCCTTTCTCGAGATAAGGTTTGCAGATAACCGGAACCAGTGCTACCTGAGTGGATTATCATACCTCATTACCGGAAGTACTTGCTTGAAGTTGGGCGTTGGGGTCCATCTTCATTTTACGCGTGATATCGAACAAAGGTATGAGCCCTTTTAAATACTCGATGCTGCAAAGTCCTCAAAGCAAGCTTACTAGTATAGAAGGAATGACCATCTTCGCTCATCTGTGGTCAAAGACTAATCATCTTGCTAGAGAGAATCTTTCGACACCGAGAGAATTCCAGCGCTCCGGAGGCTAAGCCATATCTGAAAAGGTTCGACATTCAAGTTGGCAGGATAGATAAGAGAGCGGTTGAACGATACTGGAACATCTTTCTCTGTGATACCTGTGGCGCCAGCAGGGCAGTTCTGCCAAACTGGCTGGCAGAATGACAGACTTCTGCCTAGATAGATATTGATATGGAGGACATTTAAAATAATGTATGATTGGCGCTCGCCCACAGACGTGGATGACTCAGAATATCTGATAAGCTCGGTAGCAGGTTGCGCTGGCCAGCGAATCGGGCCGTCCCGCGGCACATGCGGATGATTATGGAGATTCCGATGAGTAACCGACAGGATTGCAAACGCTTTGTAAGCGCGGCACGCCATCGAGCTCGCAATCATTCATCATTTCTCCAAAGCAATTATAATGGAGGTAAAAAATTTCTCCCCAAACTGCTGCCATTATATAAAGCTCAAGTCTTCTTTATCTCCACAACAGATAAGTGATACCCCAGTGCGACATGACCATCTCCATCTCTGCCACTAACGGCCACACCAACGGCCATGCCAAAGCTGCCAAGCATCATTCCAAACGCTTGTCTGAGTTCGGTTTTTCTACGCGAGCTATTCATGTAGGGTCAGAGCCAGACCCCACAACTGGCGCCGTCATTCCCCCCATATCCCTCAGCACGACATACAAACAAGATGAAGTGGGCGTGCACAAGGTACGTGTTCCAGTTTGATTCTAAATGTTCCAACGTTCATACGGTGAATAGGGCTTTGAATATTCTCGTTCTGGCAATCCAAATCGCGATGCATTAGAGCGCACGCTTGTAGGCCTGGAGGCAGGCGCAGGACACGCTATCACGTTTGCTTCGGGCAGTGCGACGACAGCAACCATCTTGCAGTCTCTAGGTCCAAACGCGCACGTCCTCAGCGTGAACGATGTCTACGGCGGTACCTTCCGGTACCTCACAAGGGTTGCGAAGGAAACCATGGGTATCGAGTCGACGTTTGCAGACTTGGAGAACTTGTCAGACGATAAAATACTAGGTGCCATAAAGGAGAATACCAAGGTTGGTCTTTCACTATTTAAATTTAGCCAGCCACTGACGAATGTTTTAGCTTATCTGGATCGAATCGCCAACAAATCCCACCCTCCGACTAATTGATATTCCGCGCATAGTAGGTCTTGCACATCGAGCTCCATCAAAGCCCCTCGTTCTCGTAGACAACACCTTCCTCTCCCCATTCTATGCTTCCCCACTCCTACAAGGCGCTGACATCGTCATTCACTCTCTCACCAAATACGTCAACGGCCATTCTGATGTCGTCATGGGCGCTGCCATCCTTCCCTCCTTGTCCACGCCAGACAGAGACTACGAAGGTCTCGTCCAGAAGCTCCGCTTCCTCCAAAATGCCCACGGCGCCGTTCCGAGTCCTTTCGACAGTTGGCTCGCCCAGCGCGGCGCCAAAACTCTCGCAGTGCGAATGAAAACCCACGGTTTGAATGCACTCCGGATTGCCTCCTTCCTGACTTCGCACCCCGCTGTCGAACACGTCATCTACCCCGGTCTGGCCTCGCACCCACGACATGCCCTAGCACGCACGTCTGTCAGCCCACACGCACAGCAGTTCATCAATAGCCTACCGCCATCGAGCCTTGCGCACGGTATACCCTACGGCGGGATGGTCTCATTCCGTCTACGTGGTGGTGCAAGGAGTGCAGAGGCGCTATTGCCGCAATTGAAGTTGTTCACTCTTGCTGAGAGTTTGGGCGGTGTAGAGAGTCTTGCAGAGTTGCCTGCGCGGATGACGCATGCGAGCATTCCGCTGGCGGAACGTGAGGCGCTGGGCATTGAGGGCCTGGTGCGTCTGAGCTGTGGAATTGAGGAGGTCGAAGATTTAGTGGATGACCTGAGGGCGGCGTTGGATGGCCTCGAAGATGAGGACAGTGGGTGTGAGAGCGGGTTGGTGACGCCATCGGAAGTGAGTGATGATGGTGCGAATGAGCTGCAATGATTGTACGTAGAGTTTACTGTTTTGAATATCTATGTAGATGTTACCGTACTCATTTCTGTGGCTATTAGCTTTGGAGATCTAATTTTACTTTCATTGCACAACCAGCAGGCTGTGAACATGATATAGATTGGAGAGTAAGGTCGAGTCATGCTGGCTGGCGCTTGATGTATTTAAGAACTGACGCCCAAGATCACAGATCCACTGCACAGGATATCACCTAAGCAAGGCGCCTGCAAGTACAGCACGTGAAACGGCGTATCTAAGGTGTCTCTTGATTACTTCCACTATCACCAACATCCCCGATCATCGTCATGTCGCATGCAAAAGTCGAGTCAAGCACCTCAGAGACACAGAGCAAAGCAGATGAAGGACTGCTGTCAGACTCAAAAGTGCCAGTTGCTCCCCTGAAGCGCGAAAAGAACCCGCCAGCATATGGTGCACAGCACCGCCAGGATGCACTTTGGGAAGGTGAGCGAGCATGTTGTGAAACCGGTTGAGTGACTCAATGTCAAGCAGGAGGTAACAAGGCGCTCCCTCCTATGTGAGTCTGAAAGACAGGATGACCGCAGCCGACGAGTATATCACGACAATGCACTATTCATGCTTGCATTTGACCGACCTTTACCAGGAGTGCGACTAGGTGAGTGACGAAAATGCTACTGAGAGCGATAACCTCATGATCGAGCAGATGACAGCACGGAGCTCATTCCCGGATGCGAATGGCACATCTCGCCACTCGGTCGGTCCTACTTCGTCAACCACAACACTCGGACCACATCGTGGAAGAAACCAGCACCAGAACGTCCAGCTGGGAGTCTGATGCCAGAGTGCATCATCAAGTATGGTAACTCGTGGCACAACGAAAATATTGGGCACCAGTGCCGATATAATATGCGCACTGGACGATGTTCGATTCAGCAGTGGACCAGAGCTGGACGACCGGTAGGAAAGCCTCTCAAAGATGATATAGGAGATGTTGTCAGAATGGCAGTTTCTCCAGATCAATCGATGGTCGTAGCTCAATGCAGAGATGACAAAGTACGACTGTGGAATATAAAGGATGGGAGCTTGGTAGGTGACCCGTGGGAGGGGAATAATGATGGAGTGGAGTGCTTCGATTGGTCGCCAGATGGAGCGGAGGTAGCAGGTGGATTAGAAGACGGCACAATACGACGATGGAACACGACAACCGGCCGACTAATCGCACCACCGATGGATGGGTGGGGACAATTAAATACTCTCCACAAGGCGATAAACTCGCAAGTGGCCATGATGACGGGATAATTCGCGTGTGGTCAAAGGTCGGCAAGTTGCTCATTGAGATCAAGGATCAGCATGCATATAATAACTTGTTCTGTTGGTCCAAGGATGGCGCATACATCTTCTCTGGTTCATGGGATGGCACCATCCGAAAATGGAAATCGATTGACGGCGAAGAACTTGTCGTTCTCCGGGGTCATACCAGCACCGTCACATCACTTTGTCTGTCTCCTGATGGATACCATCTTGTCAGTGCATCATATGACTACTCAGTTCGCATCTGGGACCTCGAATCCAATCAGCAAGTCGGAGACCCACTCTGGCATGACAATAGGGTCTCGGTTGTTGTCATGTCCTCTGATGGTCAATACTTGCCAGTGCAATCACTGGACTGGATGCAAAGATCTATGTGTGGAGTCTGGAAGCAGCGCTCCAGCGTACTCGCGTGGCTGATGTATGTGTGTACATTACTTGAGTCAGTGTCTTTTCTAAAGCATCGACCAGGATAATGCAGAGCCCAATGGGAAGCTCAAGGCGAGTGATTTTTCTTTTCTTCCGTACTTCTTCTGACTTCTTTGCCAGGAACGTGCTACTCCAGCTAGAGATGCTATGCTAATTAATTTCGAATATGAACCTTTGTTCATTTATGATCTCATCAGATCTCTCTCGCGCCCAGACTGCAAAGCAACAAGAAAGGCTCGGCGAGATATGTGAGTCCAGTTTTATTCTTACTGAGCTCTTACCAGGTCTGACGGTGAGACAGGGAAATGACTTCTGGGGTGATGACACAAACCGCACGCCTCGTCGCTCAGCAGACACATCATCTCGGCGCGGTTTACGCAATTTATTCGGTTTCCTGCGCTCCAGCACTCGACCCACGGATACAATTCAGCTCCAGCCCCGGCGTTTTAATTTCAGCTTATTTCCTGTAAAAATTATCAGGCGTCCCGTCGTTGTTGCTCCTTGTCGTGACGAAGATGTGAGTCGCCTATCATCACTACACTTTGTGATATCACTCACATATTTCTGCAGAGATATGGCATTGTCCCTGAGACCGACGAAGAAGCAGCTGCAGCTATGAAACGTACGAATAGCAATACAGGCGGCAATGCAACGCAGCAAGTACAAGTTGCTGTAGCAGGGGCACAGGGGTCTCAAGGACAAGGTGCTCCGGAGCAAAGTTCTGAAGAAGACACTCTGATGGGATGTTGTGGACTTTATCTTGTTCGTCGTCGGCCAGTGTCGCACTGATCATTCTATTGGTTCAAGGGAAAGGGTATAATCGTTCCTGCGAGTAGTTATTCCTTGATGCGCATGACCCAACTCAACACAATGTTGTCTTATCTCACCGGATTATATGATTTTTGAACGACAATTGTCGAAGTAGTATTTCCCTGAACTATTCTATCTAATGAATCAATCTCACTATCTGTATCAGAATTGTCGACGAGTCCGGATCAATGTCAGTATTTCTATCTCGTTGCCTATCTTATTTTCTGACAAGTCAGAAGGCATAACGCAAGTGCACATTGCATAAAACATGGACGAATCATGATATTCTTACATGGTACGAGAACAGCGCTGCATTGCAGCCAATTCACCAACACTTCAAAATATGCAGTAGATGTTCATCTACTCCACCTTAGCTTAGGGTCCTTCTTCAACTCGGACGCGTCGGACGACAACACCTAGAGCGTTCCAGAGCACTCTAGGCTATGTCTGAAATGTTCTAGCCAGGTCCAGATCTGCTTTTAATTAAAACCTGCAAGAGGTAAAGTGTTGAAACCCCCAACGTGTTAAGAGCTCGGCCAGGATCATCATTGCGCATCACCGAAGCAAGGCGTCTATAACTCGTTACCTCCACTATCACTAACATCCCCAAATCATCGACATGCTGCATGTAAGGGCCGAGTCAAACACGTCAGCAAAACAGAGAGAGGCAGATCAAGGATTGCTGTCAGAGTCATCAGGGCCAATTGCTACCCTGAAGCGTGAAAAGAACCCGCCACCCTATGGTGCACAGCACCGCCAGGATGCACTTTGGGAAGGTGAGTTGACATATTGTGAAACCGATTAAACGACTCAATACCAAGCAGGAGGTAACGAGGCGCTCCCTCCCATGTGGACAGAGTCTAAGATTGAGGGGAATGACCATGACCAACGAGTATATTACGACGATGCACTGTTTATGCTTGCATTTGACCGACCTTTACCAGGAGTGCGATTAGGTGAGTGATGAAAAGTTGGATAAGAGCAAGGAACTCATGATTAAGCATAGATAGCTGTGAACATCTCATTCCCGGATGCGAATGGCACATCTCGCCACTCGGTCGGTCCTACTTCGTGAATCACAACACTCGGACCACATCGTGGAAGAAACCAGCACCAGAACGTCCAGCAGGAAGTTTGCTGCCAGAGTGCATTATCGAGTATGGCAGCTCATGGTATGGAAAAAACCTTGCATGCTTGGGCACCGGTGGGAATATAATGAGTATTTCGGATGGTTCAATTCGCCTGTGGACTAGAGCTGGACAGCCGGTGGAAAAACCTGTTGACAATGGCGGAGAAGACTTGGTCATAATCATAATGGCAGTGTCTCCAGACCAATCGATGGTCGTAGGTTACTGCAATGATGCCAGAGTACGACTGTGGAATATACAGGAGGGGAGCTTCAAGTTGGTAGGTCACCCATGGGAAGGGAATAATGATGGAGTGTGTGACTTTGATTGGTCACCAGATGGAGCGGAGGTAGCAGGTGGATCAAAAGACGGCACTACACGACGATGGAGCACGAAAACTGGCCGACTAATTGCACCATTGATGAAGAGTAGTGATGGACGGGTGAGGAGAATCAAATACTCTCCACAAGGCGACAAGTTTGCGATTGGCGGTTACGAGACAATCCAAGTGTGGTCAAAGGACGGTGAACTGCTCATTGAAATCAAGGATTATAGTGACAGCTTGCTGTGGTCGTTGTGTTGGTCCAAGGATGGCGCGTACATCTTCTCTGGTTCATTAGATGGCACCATCCGAAAATGGAAATCGATTGACGGTAGTGTGGTCACGCTATGTAACGGAGCGCGGCAGTCCTGTCTTCCATAGACGGTGAAGAACTCGCCATTATTCAGGGTCATACCGAACTTGTTGAATCCCTTTGTCTGTCTCCTGATGGATACCATCTTGTCAGCGCATCCAATGACTACTCAGTTCGCATCTGGGACCTCGAATCCAATCAGCAAGTCGGAGACCCACTCTGGCATGACAATTGTGTCTCGCTTGTTGCCTTGTCTTCTGATGGACAATACCTTGCCAGTGCTACCTTTGGACTAAATGCAAAGATCTATGTATGGAGCCTGGAAGCAGCACTCAAGTGTGCTCATGTGATTGATGTTCGTGTGTACATTACTTGAGTCAGTTTCTTTTCTAAGTAGTTTTGTGCATTGAACAGGGCGATGCAAAGCCCCACACGAAGCTCAAGGTGAGTGATTTTTCTTTTCTTCCGCACTTCTTCTGACTTCGTTGCCAGGAATGTGTTACTCCAGCTGGAGATGTACGCTAGTTAATTTCGAATAACCTGATCCTGCCTTCATTTATTTCACCAGATTTCTTTCGCACGCAGACCCCAAAGAAACAAGAAAGGCTTGGCGAGATATGTGGGTCCAGTTCTACTCTTCCTGAGCTGTTTACAGGCCTAACACTGAGGCAGGGAAATGACTTTTGGGGTGATGACACAACCCACACGCCTTGTCGCTCGGCAGACACATCATCTCCACATGGTCTGCGCAATTTGCTCGGTCTTCTGCACTCCAGCACTCGACCTACGAATACGATTCAGCTTCATCCCCAAAATTTGGATTCCAGCTTATTTCCTGTAAAACTTACCAGGCGTCCTGTCATTGTTTCTCCTTGTCGTGACGAAGACGTGAGTCGCTTATCATCATTACACCTTGTGATATCACTAACATAATTCTGCAGAGATATGGCATTGTCCCTGAGTCCGACGAAGAAGCAGCTGCAGCTATGCAACGTACAAATAGCGATACAGGCAACAGTTCAACGCAGCAAGTACAAGCCGCTGTAATGGGGGCACAGGGGTCCGATGCTTTGGGGCAAAGTTCTGCAGAAGAAACTCTGATAGGATGCTGCGGATTTTACCTAGTTCGCCGTCAGCCCGCATCAAACTAGTCCTTTCTGTTGGTCTAAGGCAATGGTATTATAAAGGCTCTTATCACTCGACGCGCATGCCTTATCTCTCACTATAGCTCATATGATTTCTAACAACTAGTATTTCTGCGAGACGTTCTATTCAACGAATCAATCTCCCCATTTAATCATTGCCAATGAATTAGGATCAAGATCAGCATTTCCATCTCTCATCACCTATCTTGTTGTTTGACCTCATTACCGCTTGCTGATGGTTTCCGATAATGTGCAGGCGGGACGCAACAATACGACACGCTGCATGTATGCTGTCTCTTTCTTTCTTGCGATGCATCTCTACCAACCTATGGGACTCGCAAAATCGAATCACACCGACGTACAATTAAGTGTGTCTAAGATGTTACGAGACCTTGATTTCCGCACTGTCAGTCTCGAGTGCCTGAAGGTGCTCACGTAGAGTCTTGCAGCGGAATTACCTGCGCGGATGACGAGTATCTTGCCGGCAGAGTCAGAGGCGTTGGGTATGGAGGGGTGGGATTGAGAAAGGGGAGGATATTGTGCAGAATTGATGGCTGCGTTAGGTGAGTTAGAGGATGAGGATAGTGGGTGTGAGTTGGTGACGTTGTTGGATGTGAGTACCTGAGTGATTATATAGACTACATTTATGGATTGGAAACTTACCATAATCGCTTTTGTGCCATTTAGATGGCTTTGGAGGTCTGACAAATTTCATTAAAGCAGTTTCGACAAATATGATCTGCTGAATATAGCTATAGAAACGAGCGGTTGGATCATACTGGCCAACGTTTGATCTATGAACTGACACCTATGTATGTATATGAAATGTTGTTAATAGACGAACTGGTCACGCACAGTTCCACAATGGAAAAATAAACTACAGTATTTCTATCGTCCTGATGTCCATCAAGTCTTGAACAGAACCTATGTCTTTGACCTGTACAATGATATCAGCTTCTGACGCGACCCTCTTGTATTCTCCGCCACACTGCCGCGCTAGCAAAAATGCGGCGAAAGGCTGCCCAAGGCGAACAAGCAACCGCAATGCTCGCGATTCTAAATCAACAACTTCCTCATTCACAAGAGAACGACGAGGCGATTCGTCTGACGGAGAAGAAGGCGGCGTCCAATAATCCGACTCGTTCTCTGTATCCCCAACGTGAGGCAGATCTGCAAAGTCAGGTAGCTCGAGGAGAGACCGATCCCAGGGACGGACAAGCACAAAGGTTGTCTGAGTGGACCTTGTGTGCGAGAACGAAACAATCGGCTCTTGGGTGTTATCAGCAGGTCTTGAAGTCCGTCTGTCTTGACTTCAAATCGAGTCTCCTGGGATGCACCGTAGCTCAGACTGATGTCTGTGACACGGAAGGTGATAAAAGGCAGATGCAGTCTGCGGTTTGCGAATCGAGCAGCGCTCGTATTGTTATCAAGTTGATCGTAAAGATTCAAAGCTAAATCCACAACCATGGTATTTGTTCGCAGTGCAGAAATAGTTGTCTGAATCTGATTTTCAGGTAAAGATGGAAGGGCGTGTGGAGGAGTGTTGTAAGAAGTAAGGTCGGCTGGAAGACAACTATTGAATCCGGATGATTGTCCGACCCAATCGAGGGCAGTGATGTCGCCTGACTGTGCCACGATCTCCTGCAGGAGCCGCCCGAGCGCATTCTGCTTCCTCTCGCCGTAGATTACGGGTAGGTGGAGATCGAAAATGCCAAACAATGAGTACGCGATGTCTTCTTGCAATGTAGTGATGCGTGATGACGCCCACTGAAGCCTCTGTCGTGCGTCACTCATCCCAGGATGGAAGGAGAGAAGGGCCTGTGCATCTATGCCTGTCGCATCCTTCAAGTCCCTCATGATTGCTGGAGACTCTTTGTGGTTGGAAGAGCAATCACCGAGATATAACGACCAATCCTTCTGATAAAAGATTACAACTTTCGGAGCAACTAATTCTTGAAAGGTCCATCCTCGCTTGTTCCAAACACTCCTCGCTAGTGCACCGGGCTCGGATGAAGGAAGGACATCTGATAGATAGACGATGGTAAGTGCTGAGTGGCGGTACCAGACGAACATGGAGTTGACTGATTCTTGAAGCTCAGTATTGCTCCTCTTGTCGATGCAGCATGTGTCCATCCATGCCCAGTAATAACCAGCATCACGAACAATTTTGCAGAATGACTGCAGTTTCTCGATGCCGCCAATTCCATTCAATTCGTACACAACTCGACCTTGGATGTCGTGCAGCAGCGCCTCGGCTTCCTCCCACCTGTGTGATAGCAGGACACAGCGGAAGTACGTCGCCACTGCGTCTTTGATGCGTTCCGTTTTGAGGTCTGACTGCTTCGTTGTGGATGACAGAAGATCCTTGTACTCTATACTCCTTCTGAAGGCGTTTATTTGCGCCGGTCGATCGCACAAAACACCTGTAGATGTATTGAGTAGACGTAGCGGGGTATATTCCAGTTCAATTCAAACAGCTCTTTGGATGTCGTCTTCTGCCTCGGATGGACAAACATACTGCTGATGCAGACCTGCAGGGCGAGATGAACATTTCGAGTCGCAAAAGTAATCTGTGGCTTACCCTGTATCTGCACTTCGGGAGAATCGTCCAACTTAGACAACATCATTTTGAAGGCCTCAATGGCTTCGTCGTAACGTTGCATGCCACGCAGCGCTGCATGTGTCAACTGATATGCAATGTGAGACGAAGGATTGAGTTCGGCGACCTATGCATCGCAGAAGTCAATATGGGCTACAAAAACTTAGATGCGACCGGACCTTCTGCGCGTCGAGAAGCGCGTCCTCCCATAGCATTTTCTCCAACTTTCCCTTGCTGCGATTTGCAAAGACGGTATCAGATGCAGAATACAGGTCGATCACCACGGAGTATAGGTCAATAGCCCTGTCATAATCGTTGGCGGCGAGGGCGGCATCTCCGTTTACAGTACAGAATGCGCTGCATTCTTGCTTGAAAGCTGAGTAAAATGTAGGTCAGAATTGTAGCCTGCATACCATTACGAACTCTTGACTTGCCGTTGATACATTCAAGGCAGCTGACCTTCGTTGTTTCGTCAATATTGTCCATCATATATCGGTATGATGCCATGGCATCATTAAGTTTACCTGCCCAAAGGAGTGCATGGCAGCGTTTTTGGTGTACAGTGAGCCACACCGATTTGAGATCCCAGCCAAAGAGCTGGACAAGGGACTAAGTTATGAAAGCATTAGGTATGCATCATTTCTACATACCACGATCAAGTCCTCATATATTTCATGAATGTCTGATGTTGACGATAAAGCCCCAGAATCGACAGCCGCAGTGAAGTGGTCGGCGGCTTCATCATAACACATGCTATCCAAGGCTTTAGATCTGAGTTCAACACGTAGATATGCCTAACGTGAGTTGCAAAGATTAGTGTTGATGGCACAGCATGGCTGCATGATGCTTACTTGCACGATATGACATGCGCGAGTATCGGCATTCGGACAACCGGTAGTGAGTTCTTTGAGAAGCAGGCTTGCCTCATCGTATTGATTTGCACTGAAAAAGGCGATGGCCTAAAATACGGAATGAAGCAGATAGTATGCGAAGCAACTGTAACATACCTTGATCAAGAGCAGGAAATGACTGATGTCTGAGTCTTAGTTCGTGTACACAGATGCAACATCAAATACTGCTCTTGCATCCTGGATATGGCCTGCTCCACAGAGGGCAATTCCCTTGGAGATATAGCCTATCAATGAGGGTTGAGTGGTGATGGACTATGTCATCGCCGAGTTAGCCTGGCACCATGGTCATACATATAAGTCACCTGGATTGCATCCTGAAGGGCACGCTCCCAGTCGTGTTTTCGGGCCAAGACAAATGAACGATGGGCGTAGGAAGTATGGATGTCACTGGTGTTGATATCTTGCGTGAGTAGTTCCTCAGCGATAGACAAGTGCCCACGTATGCATGCAATACGGTGGAGCAGGGGCAATGGTCTGTATTGACGTCGTCCGAAGATACCGAGCACGGAGAGAGTCGGGATGCCGAATAGCAGGTACGAGCGCAAGGGATGTGTCAGGAGCGGGAGGAACGGAGAAGGACCTGTTGACGTCGGGACCGAAATGGTCCAAAGTAAATTTTTACCTTCATAATAATCGAGAGCGCTTACCGTATAAATACTAGCGCCCAATCGTTGCGAGCGTCTCAGTTCTTTCTAGAGACTGAGACGTGAGTCTACACCTTTACCGTTATTGTTACACTTAACTGACTTAGCATAGTTGCTCTTACCTGTTAGGTACACGCTTCGTCAATATCAGTTCTTTCTAGAGACTGAGACTTGCTCTTACCTGTTAGATCCTTTCTATCTCGCTCAACCTCTAATCTCTAGAGGTTATGAGCCCTGCCATGACCGTCGATACTATGCTCCCTGCCAGCAAGTCCGCCTTGTTCAATGTCCCTGAAGCTTGCCGAAGATGGCACGAACTGGATTACCTATAAGGAAAGAACATTGACGGCAATCAGTGCCTGAGGTTTGATGCGATATCTAGATGGTCGTGCATCCGAACCATTACCGTTCATCATAGACGAGAAAACGGGACTCCCAGCAGAAGTCCGATGGTTCGACACCTACCGAGAAGGAGATCGATGAGCGCGATAGACTCATGGACTGAATACGACCAAAAGAACTCACTGGTCAAGCAACAAATATTCAGTACTATTACTGATCGTCTACTCCTGCGCGTACAGAAGTCCGCAGCTGCCTCAGAGGTCTGGGCAGAGATATGCCAGATCCACGAGGGTAATACTGAGCTCAGTCCAAATAGACCTGCTGACACTGTTTGCAGGACACCAGGTGCGAGGAGGGGGGAGATGTCAAAGCGCACTTCTCAGAAATGCTGCGCTTAAGAGAGTTATTAGCGGGCATGGGTGCAGCGATACAAGACACTGACTTTCATGCGATCATCCTCGGGTCACTCCCAGAATCGTACCGCCCTCTCCTATCGTCTATTAATGCAGCCGCCAAAATCACCAAGGTCCCCTTGTCGTCCTACGAGCTCATCAATATCATTAGTGAAGAATACGAGCACCGCCTCCTCACAGACCGTCGCCCCTCCAAAAGGTCCAAGGACTCGGCACTATCCGCCAAAGAGACCAAGGGAAAAGGCAGGAAACCTTCGTCGTCGAGCTCCAAAGCCGATCCGGACGTCACATGCTTCAATTGCGACAGGAAGGGGCATTATAAGACGGATTGCTGGAGGAAGGGTGGCGGCAAGGAAGGGCAAGGTCCCAACCAGCAGAGGCGGAAGGACGAAAAGGGGCAGAAGGAGACAGCCAATACGAGCTGCAGAGGCCGAGAATCAGTACGCGTTCGTCACCACTGACCTCGCCAGCGTAGCAAAACACCTTAAGGTGCCTGCCAAACGACGCGGCGCTATCGTCGACTCCGGCGCCACGTCCCACTTCTGCCCCGATAGGGCCAAGTTCACGAACTTCGTCCGGATCCCCCCACAGGAGATCCGCACGGCTGATGGCTCCTCCCTGAACGCTACGGGAAGGGGAGACGTCCACCTAGAGCTGCCACTCGGTGAGAAATGCACCAAGGTCACCCTGAGGAACGCGCTATACGCACCCGAAATGGCTTTTACCCTCATATCCACCCATCGAATCGCCGAGGCCGGTATGGCCGTACTTTTCGAGGGGCGCATGTGTAAAGTCTTGTCACATGGCCCCAACCGGAGAGTGATTGCGGAGATCCCGCAGGTAGAAGGTCTGTACAGTGTGGCAACAGGAGAGTCAGCACCCATGCATCATGCCAACATCGCAAAAGGGAAGCTCACCGTCAACGAGCTCCACAGAGTGTTGGGACATGTGTCCCAAGTAGCAGCAGCCGACGCCATAAGCAAGGGACTCATTACCGGCGTTAATCTCGATCCAACCTCCAAGACTGAATTCTGTGAGGCCTGCATGAAGGCGAAATCGGTGCGTCAGCCAGTTTCCGGATCAGTCGAAATCCCGCACAAGTGCCTATGGGGAGTTGGTGCATACGGACCTGTGGGGACCAGCCCAGACCGCAAGCAGTTGGCGGCAGCTTGTACTATATGAGCCTCACTGATGATTACAGCCGTCAGACAAAGTTATACTTTCTGAAGGCGAAGAGTGAGGCGCTCACCGCTTTCAAGGCCTATGAGGCTTGGATGGGCAGGCAAGGACCGGGAGCGAAGGTGCAGAAGATCTGTTCGGATAGAGGTGGGGAGTACCTGAGCGCAGAGTTCGACAAACATTTGCATCAGCAAGGCATCAAGCGTCAGCTGACCATCCATGACTCACCACAGCAGAATGGCGTGGCCAAACACCTCAATCGGACACTGGTAGAGCATGCCAGAGCAATGCTCCTCGCCAAGGATCTGCCGAAATTCCTGTGGGCGGAGGCCGTGAATTACGCGGCATGGCTGAAAAACCGCTTACCTTCTAGAGCCACCCCCGGCACCACTCCATACGAACTCGTCCGGAAGGCGAAACCCGACCTCGCACAGGCCCACGAATTTGGCGCGAGGGTATACGTCCATCTTGTGGATGCCGGGAAGCTGGAGGCGAGGGCAGAGGAAGCGTTGTTTGTGGGGGTTGATATGGAGAGCAAGGCCTATAGAGTGTACTGGCCGTCAAGATGCAGGATTTTGGTGGAGAGGAACCTCACCTTTGCGCCTATGGACATACTGGTTGCCGAGGATACCCTGAACGAGGGGGAGTCAGCCGTCATGCAGAATGACAAATACAACGACAACGGTAATAATAATACCGCACCTTGCGTTCAGTCTATCCCATCACCTCCTCCTGCCACCTCAGATGATCCCCAACACTCTGTTACCCCTCCAGAGCCAAGACCTACGAGGCACAGGCCAGGACCAGGGTACTATGCCGCCCTCCATAAGGGGGAGACAGCGACCATAGCAGTGGATTCCCTGTTGGAAGCGTCAGAATTAGATCTCCTAGACGAAGAAAACCATATTCACCTTGCGCTAGCAGCAGCTGAACCCGAGCCCACCCTTCATCAAGCCCTGAACGGACCTGATGCAGTCGAATGGCAAGAAGCAGTGGATTACGAAATTAGTCAACTTGAAAAGCTAGGTACATGGGAAGTCGTTGACCCACCTCGAGGCGCAAATATCATCCCCTGCCACTACGTCCTTGCAACGAAATGTGGACCAGACGGCGAGAAGCTCAAGTTGCGAGCTCAACTGGTTGCTAATGGTCAGAGACAGCAGCAAGGCGTCGACTTCTTCGAGACCTTTGCCCCCACCGTGAACATGACAACCATTCGGACCGTACTGACTATAGCGGCTCAGCGCGACTGGGAAAATACATCAAGTCGACATCAAAAGTGCGTACCTGTATGCGAGCATTCAAGAGGAAATCTACATGAGACCGCCGCCGGGGTATCTGAAGGCTGAGAGGGAGAAGAAAGTGCTGAGATTGAGGAGGAGCCTACCTGGGTTGAAGCAGGCCGGTTTTGAGTGGGCAGGAGAGCTGGTGGGAGTATTCAGTGCGCTGGGGTTCCAACGATTGAAGGTCGATCAGTCCGTGTACTTCAAGTGTACCTTGAAGGAGCACATAGTTGTCACGGTCTCCATGGATGACATGGCCGTTACTGCTAACGACATCTTGCACATCCTACGCTTCAAGACCCAGCTCCAAAAACACTTTGAGATTACGGATTTGGGTGAGCTAAACTGGTTGTTAGGGCTAAAAGTAACCAGGGATCGAGCCGGATGCACCTTAACTCTATCACAGAACACCTACGTCGCCACCCTCGTCGACCGTTTCCACCTAACCAATGTGAAGAATGTCCAAACATCTATCGAGCCCAGAGCAGGCCTATCCATTGAGCAGTCCCCAGCGGCACACGCTGAAATACACGAGATGCGCGATGTACCTTACCAGAGGGCCATTGGCTCCTTGATGTATGCTGCAACCAGCACGTGCCCAGATATAGTGTTCATCGTATCGACCCTTTCGCAGTTCATGCGGAATCCAGGCAGGCCCCATTGGGACGCTGCCAAATGTGCCCTCCGGTATCTAAAAGGTACGGGGAACCTTGAGTTGAAGTTGAGCGAAGGCGAAGGAGGCCTTGAAGCATACATCGATGTGGACTGGGCCTCGCAGGCCCACAGACACTCTACTTCTGGGTACATTGTACTCCTGAACGTGTAAGGATCACATATCCTTTGTGCCCCGACCAGCGCTTCAAAACCAAGCGTTCGGACGAAAGTCCAAACCAACCACGTAACTCACAGATGCGAACAAGCGTCACATTCGCATCCGAGTTACGAGGTTACATCCTTTGTCTCTTACTATCATTATCTCACTGTCGTCGACAACCAGCTCGCTCTCCCGCCTTCCTTACACGATACCCAGACATCTATAAACCTTCTTTCGTCACTATTCTCATAATCCCTCCCTTGACACACCGAAAACAGCCAAAACCAATACGAAATTCTCGTCATTCAGGTGCTCAACGTACTACACCATTACCACCAACCATTCAAAAACTTCTCGTACTCCATTTTATTATCGATGTTTCACCCTGTTAGGCTCAATGCCACCACTCTCCGTCTCACCAAATCATTCTTTTCGTTACAGCAAGGACCCTTACCCTATTTTCACAACTTAAATACACGCATGTACGCTCATTATGATTAGTCTTTGCTCCCCCGCTAGATTCACGCGCGCATTCCGTCCGAAACGTCCTCTCGTCAGAAGCCTCAGCACTCTCATTAGAAAAGTCTTTCATTATATTCGATCCCTTCTACTATCGGTTACTTCGATGATCCCCGTCGAACTCGCAGATAGCCTTACATATTTTGGAGCCCACCGCGAGGGGATCTGTCTTAACACCCCCTTGCATTACGAATCAGATTTGCGGATCTCTACAGATCTTCTAGTCTGAATCGTTCAATACCCGGTCTTTGGACCATTCTTACAATAATTATCTCAAAGTACTACCATCCTAACGTGCAGCTACAGCTCAAGAAGCAGCCACTTGCGCTGGCTCCAAAGAAGAGCCGAACTCGCGCAAACACGGTCGACTCCCCGTCCACCTTATCGTTGACGCAACCATCCTTTCTTGCACCCCCCGCACGCCGGTCCGTCACAAATCAGTACAATCAAGTATAGACACCTCCGAAGGACCATCCGAGTCCTCTCTTTCAGACGACGAGACTATAGGACCCTCCCCTAACACGAACCCCCTTTTCCCCATTATCCCTCAGCCAACGTTC